CCCATCCGACTCGGCGCGCAAAACTTCAAGTCGCAATCCCGAGCGACGGACAGACGCCAAATCGCCCGCCTCTCACTCCCGGAGTCAGGGTCTCTCCTCCCCCCATTGCTCTCGACCGGCACACGACCGACCACCGACAATCGTCCCGCAACAACAAAAACGCCCACGATGGCTTCAGTCTTTGCATGGGGCGCCGGCGCCGCGGCCGCAGCCTTTCTCGTACGTCCGTCCATCGGCCCCTTTCCTCTACTCGCCGTCCACCCGCCCGATCGCGCACAGTAGCGGACAGCTGTGCGAGTTGTCTGTCCTTCGAACGAAGACGTTACGGACACGAGACAACACTCGCGAGTGCGATGCGCGCGCGTGTGTGTGTGCGCTAGAGGAGTGAAGAGTAGAAAGTGAAAGTGCAAAGAAACTGACAATACGTTCACAGGGCCGAGCCGGACTCGTCGCATGGCGGCGCTCTCGCGGGGGCGTCGGCGCCATGGGCAAGGCCTTTTACAAGGGCGGCTTCGAGCCCAAGATGAACAAGAAGGAGGCCTCCCTCATCCTCTCCCTCAAGTACGACCCGCCCTGCCTCTCCCATTCCACCTGCGCGCCGCTGCATGCGCGGGATCAAGCTTCACAAACACAGCGGACCCGCGGCGCGCGCGCGCGGCGAAGTGGCATGCCACTAGATACGGGACGTTGCAATGCTAACGGCTGGACAACAGTGAGCCTGTCTCTTATACACATCTAGATGTGTATAAGAGACAGCTCCCATTCCACCTGCGCGCCGCTGCATGCGCGGGATCAAGCTTCACAAACACAGCGGACCCGCGGCGCGCGCGCGCGGCGAAGTGGCATGCCACTAGATACGGGACGTTGCAATGCTAACGGCTGGACAACAGTGAGCGCTCTCTCAGCAAGGAAAAGGTCCGCAAGGCGCATCGGACGCTCATGCTGCTCAACCACCCCGACCGCGGAGGCAGCCCGTACCTCGCGACAAAGGTCAACGAGGCCAAAGAGTTCCTCGACAAGCAAGTGCCGTGAAGAACGCAACGGTTCACAACCCCGACCCCGACCAGCTTGGGCCAATAAATAAGCTGCCCAACTAAGCGACACAACAAGGGAGTACAAAAAGAGCATCGGGCCACGACTCTGTGTCCGACGGCACGATAGGCCGCACATGGGACCTGTAAAACATATGGTTACATAGCGATGGCGTTTGCTGGGTTGTTTCGAGAGCTAGCTAGCTAAGGTAGCGAGGCCGTTGGACGAGACGTCTAGGCCTGCGCCATGTTGTTCCATAATCCAGAGGCTGCCCGCGCGCAGCCAACCTCCTCTCTTATACCCTCGATATCATTTCTCCTGAGGCCTTTCCCCACAGGCTGGTGTCGCTGATGCCCGTGCCCCCTTCATCAAAGACCAGCCCAGAAAGTGGGATCCTCCTAGCGCGAGCCCCCCAGCCGGAAAAGAGGCACGTACAATTTCCCCTGCTGCAAGGCCATGGTCTTGCGCTCGTCCTCGCTTGCGAGGCCCAGCATGGCCCTCATGGTGTACATGGCGTCATTGCCGGCGTTGTGCAGGTTTCTGTATTCCATGCCGAGGTCCGTCAGCAAAGTTCGCAGGCTCCGGGCGTCGTTCGAATCGCGCCACTTCTGGTGCAATACCACAGTGTCGATCGCTCCTATGACACCCGGCAAAGCCATACAGTCGATACCGATCTGGTGGAGGAACTTGAGGTCCTGCTTCGAGTCATGAGCGACGAACATGATCTTGCGGCCTCCTTGGCTGAATCGTTCGAAAAGCCGACGGATCAAACAAGGCATTTGCTCCTTCTTTGGAAATTTACTCGTTCTGAAGACTTGTCAACGTCTCGGACTACAACATGCAACCCCGACTGTGTATCTCACCCAAAGTTGAAGCTCTCTGGGCAGCCGTGTACATATTTGTGGTTCCTGAAGCCAGAATATTCTTCGGTTCGAAGATGGATGCATTCGATGAAGGGCCACCAGTTAGAGCCATTCGTGCCTGGCGCGATGATTCGAATCTTTTCCGCATCCAAGATGGCAAGGCCAACCTCAGAGATAGAGTGAGGAGGGTCCTCTAATGCCTCGACATCTATGCAAATAAAGATGGGGCGGTCACGAGTCGTTTCCTCTTGGACAAGACCCAGCTGTGTCTGCACCTGGATCATCATTGCCTGGCGATCAACGGCCCTCCGTCTCTCCCGCACCTGGGCCCTTTCAGCCTGAGTTATAGGATTGGGCGCGAGGAGTCGGTCAAACTCCTTGAGAAATGCCACTTGATGCGGCAAAGAGGACTCATTGAAGCCTCGCCAGTCTAGTTCCGGAAGCTGGGGCCATTCAACGTCGTCCAGACTGTGCTTGTTCTCCGAGCGTGCCAGATGTCGCGGTTGGGGTGTAAGACCCCATAACCCAAACCTGAAGCAGAATTTCTGCCGATTTTGGTGCGGAGGTATAGTCAACTCCGTGTCAAGCTTTCCATTGATCTCTGCGAGGAACGCCACGAACTGGGCAGTCGGCACAAGCAGGTGCGGTTTCAGGTCCGGGTTGCGAGGGTCATGGAGGTAGAAACTGGCCGAGTCAGCCCCGGTTCAAGTTGTTTCGTCGCGCATGCCGAGGTACTCACAAGTCCCAGACCCTTCCGGTTAGGATGTCGTTGAAAAACGGACGAGCCTTCGTTTGTTAGCGACCTCGAGGACGCGGATGGGCGGACACTTACCCGGGGCCGGTTTCGTCGTCCGATGAAGTGGTCCGGATAGGACAAGACCGCCCTCCAAGGGCAAAAGTAGTCTGTATTGACGCCCTCCGATGCATTTTCGCGCCGGGCTGGCCTACCGACATCGACTGGAGCTGGGCCTCCTGGGGACTGCGCCTCCGGCTCGAGCATATTCTCAGGCCGTAATCCCCGCATGAAGGAGATGCACGCGCCGACAGTTAAAGTGCGTGCGAGTTCTGAGTCGTCCTGGTTCTCTTCCGCATCGTTCGAGGCTGGGACGGCAGCCTCGTTGTCCTCATCTAGCGGGATCAGAGTCACTTGCCTCCCTAGAGCCAGCCCAAGTTGGCGCATGCGAAGGGCCAGCTCGTCGTCGGGCCCTCTGTAAGTCGCCATGCCTGATGGTCTAGCAGCAATGGAATTGTAATGTGGAGTATTGATTTCGATGGTGAAGAGCGCTGGAGGAACAGCCCCGGATAAATAGTTGTGTGATGGGGCGAGCTGTGGCAGTGTAAGGCTTTGGGGCCTGAGGAAGAAGAGGTTCGGGTTGCAAGTCGCTGCAGCAATGATTGACCGACTGAGGTGTATATGTTTCGGGGAAGGAAGGATGCGGCGCACGGGTTGCACTTGCAAACGGCGACCCGGTCATTACCTGGAGTCGCCGCACGGGAAACCACAGGCCCTGGACGCTGCTTCCAGAAACAGCCCCCGGCATCTCAACATGCAGCTCGGTTTGAGCACCGTTTGCAAAACTCGTTTAGCTAATCCACGGCTTTCTGTCCCCAAGAGGCACCCGCTTGCTCAAAACCTGCCCTGCCACCCGATGAACCTCCAATAAGTGCCATTAAGAACCCAGTTACCTGGACCTGTAAAACTATTTCTCTGACGTCAGAAGGTATCTGTCAGGTGTAATGGCGGGAGGAGGGGACATACCTCTTCGGCTTCTTCATGTGTGACCTTGGAGACCTCTGACTGCTCTTGGTCGATGAGTCCTTGTCGTGACCACCGGACCTTGAACCAAAAATCTCTCCTGTCGCCACCAAGCGCGCCGGACAACAGCCCCTTCTTCAGGTCGCGGACAAAAGAGTTGTACACGTCCGGCTCCTCGAGATTTGTCAACTCGTCCCGCATTGTGCCGATGCACTCCATTGCCTGGGCGTACTTGCTGTCGCCAAAGCTGTCTGTAACCAGTGACCGCACGATAGCCCCCATCTGCTTCGCTGCCTCTTCGATCTCCCCGACCTCCTCCGCCACAGCAAGTGCTCTCTTGAAATCTGGGACCGGATTTTCCGGAGACACTCGGCCTTTTCTCTCTTCGCCGAGCAGGGCGTCCACATCCAGGCCGGATATGGGCTTGACGGCCTCCCGATGCCGTCTGCCCTTTGCCTTTGGTGGCACTAGAACATGTTAGCATGCACCAAAACAAATGACGGATTGTATCATACCTTTCTTGACTTCTGCAGCATCTATGAGCACATCGATTTGTCCACGGACTTTCTCTATCAAGTACTCTGGCGGCGCAGAGAATTTCAGCAGCTCAGCCGGGGTCTCTGCCACGGGCTCCTCGGGATGTACTGCGCGCTGCTTGATGGCATGGTTGATTCGGTGGATGGATGGATTGTAGGTTTCGTCGATGGGAGCATACTCTTCAGCTTCCCTGCAAATAGTGAGCATCCAACCAATCCGTCATTGTAGATACATACTGGTTATCTTCAGATGCACTGCTGGAAAAATCCATGGCATCAACGTAGTCGTCCATCGCCTTGGACAGCTCCTCTGACGGCAGCAGCCGGTGCTTCGTTAAAACCTGTCCACTGACAGTAATAACTCTGTCGAGGGGAGGAAATTGATAGCCGCGGACGTCTTCTGCAAAGGGGAGCGGGATGTCATATAAACACTCAAACTTGGCTTCCACGCCCGGCGCCAAAAGCACCAGCAGTGGTTCCTTGCCGTCTTTGGGCACGATGCGAGCCACCGCATAGGACCCCAGTTCGTGCAATGCCCAAATCAGGGAAGACAGGGCAATCTCGGACTTGGCATCGTTCTTGCGCGCGTATGTGACGCACGCCTCGCCCATGTTGAGAAACGGTTCATACTAACATCGATTCTTAGAAATGCAATATCACGCAGGGTTGGTCGTGTGGTCCGCGCTTACCTTGTCGTACGGGATGAAGCCGACGATTGAAAAGCTTTTCAACGTCTCAATCTTGGTAATGTTGTGCTCTGACTCGCTGATATGCACCGCGGTTCTGCCATACTCGTATCCCTTGGCAAGCGACTCATACTCGACGTCGCGTTTGCCGCCGGGCGCGTCTGGGTCGTTGACCTTGTAGGTCCTTGCCTGTTTTACCGCGGAGAAGTCGACTCCCTCCATGGCGTCCTCGTCCAGGGTTTGAGTTGATTGAGTCTCTGATTTGACGACGACGGTGCTCGCGCCTTGCGGCCGCGCGAGATGAGTCTTGAAGTATCGCTCGACTCCGATGCTCATTGCAGTCGGGCTTTCTGGGTCGCCGAGAGTAAGAAGACCGTCGTAGGTCTTGTACGGCTTAACAACCTTGGCCCGGGGGGTTTGCAGGTCGTCGATGGCCTCCGCCATGGTTGCAAACATGCCGTCTTTGCAATGCTTTGTCAACTCCCTCAGCGTTGCTTCATTTGCAGCCTGCAAGCCCGGAACGGTTAGAGCGCTTCAGTTGGCCGACATGGAGAGATCTTGCCTTGGTGGGCGACTTGTCTTCTTCCTTGAAACCGTACTCGGCATCGTCAAAGTCGACACCTCTAGAGCACGAGTCAGTAATACCCCCGCCTGGAATTCGCGTCGCTGGTGACTTACAAGACGGTCAATTGGATGTTGGAGTCATTCATCTTCTTGGCAATGTCGCTGACATCGTCTGCGTCCATGTCCGCCTGGCCATCGGTGATGAGGTAGACTCTTCGAATGTACTTGAGCTTCTTGGTAAAGGTGTCGATCATGTCGACGGCAACGACAATGGCGGATATCGCGTCGCCGGACCAGGTCTTGCTGGGTGCGATGGAGGCCTGCAAGGACCGCAAGCCGGGCATGGTCATCTGTCCCAGGTCCTGCAAGACCGAGATATTCTCGTAGCCGTCATCGTCCTGCAGGATGTTGCTGGTCTCATCCGTGCGTAGGCCGAGCACGCCGACACACAGGGTCTTGCGGTTGGCAGAGACAATGTCGGTGATCTTGTCCCAAACGAAGCGCATGCACCAGTCCAGGTCCGACTCGCGGCGCCCGCTGTTGGCCTTGGCCATGGACGCGCCGAGGTCCAGGATGAAGACTGTCGCCTCCTTGTCGGCCATGGTGACGATGGCTCTGCGACAGCGAGCAATTGAAGAGAAAGAGAAATGGCCAAGTTCACCAGGCAGACATGGCCTTTTCAAGGCGCGAGTGATGCGGTGGGCCAGACGCTCAGCTCAGGCTGGGAAACGGCGCTTCGTTCTAGGCAGAAGGCCGCTGGAGTTGTGAGCAGCCGGCCGCCAGGCGCCAGCACAGTGGGGGTGGGCACCAGCTCCAGCTGTCCAGCTCCCGTCGCACAGTGAGTGAGCCGGCGCCCCAACGGTGAGCGCGGCACGACGCGGGTCAGTCGCGACGGCACGTGATTCAGGCATGACCTCATTATCCTCTGCTTTCGGCCGGCGACAGCGACGAACCTCCGCTCTCTTCGTCCACAACCTGGAACTGAACACCTTCCGTCGCATTGACCTGTATCGCCATTGCGCAACTAGGCAACATGACCAACTCCATCTTGGTCTCCGTGGCGCCGTACCACATCATCTCGTAAGCCCTCAGCCCGATGGCGCCAACCGTCAATGAGATGAGATGCCTGAACCGGACCGAGCTTACAAGGCAATAGCTACGGCACCCTCCTCGGGACGTCCTTTTTCCACGCAAGTCCACCTGCAGCGCCTCTACAGCATTTAACGTAGCTAACGGCCGCATTCAGTCCTTCATCAATGGCCCGGTCATGTACAAGTCGATCGACCGCCCGGCTTTCTCGGCCGCTCAGACCAACCTGTTCCCAATCTACTTCAGCATCCAGACTGTCATCCCCGTCATCCTCGCCCTGACCTTTCCCGGCAACACCCTGACCGGCGTGCCATCGGGGGTCTCGGGTCTCTTAGACAACTCAAGCAGGTGGGACTCGCTGCTGCCCATCGCAGCCATGTTCGTGACGGGTCTCGCCAACCTGGCTGTCATTGGGCCCGCCACCACCAAGACCATGAAGGAGCGCCGCGGACAAGGTTTGTCAGCTCTGATAATTATGAATTGAGACGAGGCTCACAAGTTGCATGCAGTAAAGCGAGACGGAAAGGAGTGGTATGCCGAGGGCCCGCACTCGGACGAGATGCAGGCCCTGAACAAGAGGTTCGGCATGCTGCACGGAATCTCATCGCTCATCAACCTGACCACGTTTGTGTCGGCTGTCACATACGGCTTCACCCTGGGCGCTCGTATTCAGTCTATTGCCGACAGAGTAGCTTGAGCGAGTCTAAACACACGAATACACACGCCTCTCTTCCGCACCGTGTTATCAAGGCAACCTCGTCCTGTCTCATGTGGTGTTGCGCGAACCACTCGCACCTTAATTCCGTCACTTGGGTCCGTGCCCCTTTCGTGTCGTTTTCTCTTCCTCCTCGTCGTCAGACGTATCGGGTCCCGCATTGTAGTCGGGCATGGGCGGCCGAACACTCGCCGGTAGGCTCATGCGCAAAACCTCGGCCGTGTTTAGGCCGGATCTTCGTATCAACTCCATAGCCTCCGCCAGCTGCTCGTCGGTTCGGTGGGGGTCTTTCCAGTGCTTCGGCCTGCCCTTCTTCTTGATCCTGTTGAGGTAGTACTCTTTATTGCTCTTGATCTCGCCCATGCCCAGACTCCTGGCAATGCTGTCACACGACTTGATCTCTGACTCGTACGAATGGAAGTCGTCGGAATCTGATGGTCTCATGAAGTCAAACTTTGGTTTCGGGTTGGAATCGGTGATTGTTGTGGAGAGAGGGGATTGCTGTTGCTCCTGTGTTGGCCTTGGTAATGACATGGATCCTCTAGGTGCATCTCCGTCTCGGTGGCCTGATGTCAATGCCTCGACGGACTGTGGGGAGGCCATGGTAATGATGAGAACGAGGCCCGTATGCGAACAGGTATCTGAAGAGAGGAAGGGCAAGACAGATTCGGTCGGCTCAGCAAGACTCGTTGATGGCCAGCAGGCACTGCCGTAGGCGTGGACGCTCGGCGGCGCAATATATACCGCCTCGCCTTGCTGTTTAACTTTCGGTCGCCTGCGCCTGCACGGGCAATAATGCGGCACGTTTCGAGCTTGCTCCTCAGTGTCGCCACTCGCACCGGCGCGAGCCAAAGAGGCATGCGATTGTCGACCCGGCACTTCGGATTCACACGTGTAGCATGGGACCACGCGGATGGGATTTGTATGTGTGTAAACCACTTGAGACGGCACTTCGGTCACATCGCGCCATGAAATAGGTAGGCGGCCAGACCGCTCGTGCCGGCGCAGCAGAATCCGCCCCGCCACCTAACCGCTGGCAGGTTCTGTGACCGGGCATCTCGGGGTCCCAGACTAGGAACCCGGGGGCAGACCGAGGCGACAAAACCTCCGCATTTCTTCGCGCCATCCTCCAGGTCACCCGGCGGTCCGTGACGGACAGGCAGACCACCCCCCCACGCTCCACCGCGGCACAGTGACGGCCCCGACGCCAAGGAGCTCGGATAGGGGAAGCGACCTCGTTCTGCAGGGCACGGGGCCTGCCTTGCGGGCAGCTTGTACTTGTATGCAGTAGCACTGTTGGCATGTCGTTAGGGTTGGTGGCGCGCAGTAGGCAGGGTGGGTGTTCCCGTTGTGGCACCCGCGCCTCGCATTCGCAAATCGGGATCTAAAATAGCAGCGCCTCCTCCTCGGTTGGTCGATGCGATGCGGCGCGGGGAGGTTGCGCTGCTTGACTCGTTTCATGCCTCGGCGCTTCATCTCCCCTCGTTGTGTGTTTCTTGTTTAATGACACCCGCACCCGCATCCGCACCCGCACCACGCGCATTCGGTTTGCTGGGCATTTCCCCCTGGGCTGTTATTTGATGGTTATGTCGGCTGCTCGCATCGGAATTGAACCCCGACTGCCAGCGGCACTGATGTGGTTTAGTGGCCGTCAGACACGGAGGCGGAGGCGGAAGCGGCCCCTCAGCCCCGTCCAAATGCGGATGCGACCTTGGTCATAGCACTAGTGAAGATTCTCATCTGCAGCCTTGAGCAAAGGATTATATTGTCGCTAGTGGTATACCATTGAAGTCCCAGGCGAGCTGCCTAGCTCGCGACGGCCGTCGGATTCATATCTGCTCGAACAATTCTGTTCTACTTCATACTACTGAAGCCCGGCCGCGCGGCACCTCTCGCACAAGAAATCGCCCGGATATACCCTCTTGTAAGTATTAATGCCCATCTCGCAGGTGCCCATGTGCCCTTCTATGTCATCCGGATACTTTTCCTTGATCTCCGGGCACGGCGTCATGTCTTCTGCGTAGGCATACCTTTTCGTTTGGCACACTCTGCGGCAACGAAAGTATATCAGCGCCTGGAAGCACATGCTGGGCTGATGACTTAAGAAATCTTTGGTTCGGATCTGCGGATGCCAGTCGAGAGCACGTGGATGCCTTGTGTGCAATGTTCCTGTCGCAAAGGCAGCTACCAGGTGTTTAGTAGTTCAGGTGCTCGCTACGCTCGTCGTACTGCACGAAATTTATAGAGTCTACCGAGAGCCGCCGTGAAACAAGACGCAAGAGACGCATGTTTGTTGTTTAAGGGTCACCGGGGCAGCTGGGCGATTTCATCGTGAACGTGTTGCCGTGATGTAAGTACCACCGGGGGACCACGACTATTCCGGCCGAAACGCATGACCTGTACCTGATGTATGGATCCAGGCTTGGTACGAACCTCCCTTCATCAGCATCACAGGTATCAAGTTATTCGATTCACTAAAAGGGGGAAAATAAGCTTGGGCTGTCAAGGGCTGGCATGTAGAAGATACTGGCGCAAGGTCATCCCAACGGTAGAGCATGTCACTCCATCTACCCACTGTTCTTGCCCCGTGAAGCGCCCACCCAGGCCCAAAAGTGAATGAAGCTTCATTCCATGCGCCATCCAGCAGTCTACCCTACGTCTCTCTCTCATCGGATGAACAATTAGCAAACCGCGACTTCGCATCCCGCAATGCAGTAACCATGGCCTAGGACGCGCGGCAGTTGTCGCACGTAAAGCGGCCCATATATGTCTTTTGGTAGCATTCGATCCCCGTCTTGCAGGTGCCAATGTGCTTCTCTGGATCATTAGGGTGTTTGGTCTTAATCTCGGAGCATGGCTGAGCCTCTTCTGAGAAGGCGAACTTTTTGGTGCTGCAGCCGCTTTTGCTGCAGCGAACGTACACCAGTCCCTGGGGACACATACTGGACAGACGGCTTGGGGATCTTTGTTTTGAATCCGTGAACGCAGCTGTTTGGTATCTAGGAGTTCATGTGCTCGGTGCATTCGCCGTCCTGCACGAGATTTATATATGCTGCCTGGAACCGCCGTGAGACAAGAGGCAAGATACAGACCGTTTGTTGTTTAAGCGACTGCGCGACGATCGTGCTCGTCCCCTTCCTCTTGCCAGCATGAATGTGTTGCTGTGCGAGCCAGTGTCGCGGGGGGCCAACGGCCATTCTGGCCACTGCGCATGACTGCCATAAAGTACGACCGACGCATGCCTCAAATCTTGGTACTCTTAGCAATCGTCACCAACATTATCACATACATCAAGTCATTCGATTCACTAGCGAGAAAGGACGCTAAGCTGGTAGATGCGCCTTGCAATTGATGCTCGTTGCTGAAATAGTGCCATTCAGCCGGCAAGCTCCCCCGTCCCGGCAGCCGCTCCATCTGCCGACCGTTCTCGTCTAGTGGCTCGCTCACTCAAGCCTGAGAGTGGGTGAAGCACCACTGAAGCCTCATTTCCACACCACCGATTCCAGTAACCTACCCTACATCGCGGTCTCATTCGATTCTCAATTTGACACAGCCCGACTTCGCGTCCCGCAATGCGGTTTCCAGGGACTAGGACGCGCGGCTGAAAATTCCCAGCATTATGCGCGGAGGGACCATTGTCCACTTGTGAACCCACACTCTGTCCGTCCTCTCACCTCATCCTCAACCTCAGGTGGGATGGACCGACACCGGCGAGTCATGCCTTAGTCATCGGTCTCCGACGTCGAACCTTGGGAGAACGGTCACCTTTCAACTCACTTTCTTTCACTCCGAGGACGCGGGCTCGCGTGTTAAAGGACATAGACGGGCAAAGATGGCTTCGCCAAAGTATCTGACCGGCGATAAAGCCGCCATCGATGCGTTCATCGACCAGTTTGACGTGAGTGATTTTCCCACGACCGGACAGCTCTCCGCTCACACATCCCTAGACGTTTCTCTTTGACTGCGACGGTCAGTAGACCCGACAAGGAGGTGGCTTGTAAAACCTGGCAAGCGACATCTGACTGACAGTTCGGCCCAATCTTCAGGCGTCCTCTGGTCCGGCGACCATGTCTTCGAAGGCGTCCCCGAGACGATAAGCATGCTCCGCTCGCGCGGCAAGCGCACCGTCTTCGTCACCAACAACTCGACCAAGTCGCGCGACGAGTACGTCAAGAAGCTCACCAACCTCAGCATCCCCGCCGAGGTCGAGGACGTCTTCGGCTCCGCCTACTCCTCCGCTGTCTACATCTCCCGCATCCTGCAGCTGCCCCCAAACAAGCGCAAGGTCTTCGTCATCGGCGAGGCCGGCGTCGAGAAGGAGCTCGCCTCCGAGGGCGTCGCCGTCGTGGGCGGCACCGACGAGCGCTTCCGCAGGGACATCACGCCCGCTGACTTCGAGGGCATAGCCAACGGGTCCCTGCTCGACCCGGAGGTGGGTGTCGTGCTGTGCGGGCTCGACTTCCACATCAACTACCTCAAGCTCGCCTACGGGCTGCACTACCTGAAGCGCGGAGCTGTCTTCCTTGCCACCAACACGGATTCGACGCTGCCGCTGCATCACGACCTCTTCCTCGGTGCCGGGTCCGTCATGGTGCCCTTGGCTAACGCCACGGGCCAGAAGCCGCTCGAGCTCGGCAAGCCGAGCCAAGCCATGATGGACGCCATCGAGGGCAAGTTCCACTTCGACCGCTCGAAGACCTGCATGGTTGGCGACCGCCTCAATACCGACATCAAGTTCGGCGTCGACGGTAAGCTGGGCGGCACGCTCCATGTCGAGACGGGCGTGGACAAGAAGGAGGATTGGGAGAAGGCTGATGCCATTGCCGTCCCCTCATTTTACGTCGACAAGTTGAGCGATCTGAGACATGCAGCATGAATATGATAGAGCGTAGATACACAATAGACTTGGAGCGGCGCGATGTGCGATGGCTATACTAAGCAATCTCATTTTGACCACTATATCGCGTTAGAACTATGACCGAGTGTGCCGCCAAAGATGCACGCCAGCGCTCCTGACCAGGCAGACAGTCTCCCATTACTTCTGCTTCTTCGCCTCCTTCTGCTGCTGTCGCTTGGCCAAGTCGCTCGTCCTGATTATCTTTGGCGTCTTGGCAGGCGGTTGGCTGTATCCCCGCAGCGAAGTCGGGATGAACATGCCCACCTGGCTCTGGTACTCTGGATACTCGGGGTATTTCCCAGCCGTTATGAGCTCGGTAAGCCAAGTCGAGCCTTGGAAGAGGAGGATCAAAGCCGCAGACCCGGCAAAGGTGTAGCTGTACAGCGAATTCGTGGCGAAGCAGCTCCACTGATATAGGACGAACCAGATGCTCTGCTCGGCGAAGAAGTTGGGGTGCCTGCTGAAGGCCCAGAGGCCCGAGGTCACGAAGCCACGATCGAGGTCGGCCTGGTTCCAGCCCCTGGGGACCTTGGCATCCTTTTGGTACTGATGCTTGGCCGTCTGGTAGGCTGTGACGATGTCAGTTGTGCAGTCAGGCATGGATCGCTGCGGGTAGACACGCACCCCACTGTTGGCCGTCGCTGAACCACTCGCTGATGACCAGAGCGACCTCGACAGAGAAGTACGCAAAATCAGCAGCCGTGAGATTCGGCTCAATCCGCGTCGAGAGCAGGATAGCGTAGGCCGGCACGCAGGAAAAGGCGAACAGGAGCACGCTCTGGATGAACGAGATGAACGTCACGTTGAAGAGGAAGAACACAAAGGCCGGAACCTTGCTCTTGACGATTTCCCTGCACATGTGTGAGCTTCAGCCATCTTGTTTGCGAGGAGGCCACACCCACCATCTGTAGTCCTCTGATCCGACGTTGTAGCCGCCTCTACGCCAGTAGTTGTACGTCAAACGGATCTGGCGCGCAGCGTCAGTTGAACCCAGAGTCAGACACTAGATTTGGCTAGAGGGTCCTTACGCTCCACAAAGTAGAAAAGGCAGCGACAAGATCGATACGGCTGTGAGGCAGCCCAGCCAAGCGCGCCCAAGTCGCCAGGTGGATGATGTAGAGGTTTGGCAGAATGCTCCACATGCGGTCGACCTGAGAGTAGTTTCTGTTCACCTCTGAGACGACGAGGAACACGAAACCAAGGACTACGGAGACCGCAAAGCCCGTGATGAGCGGGTTCGTCTCGACATAGACCTGCGCAAGGCCATCGAGGCTGCCCGCATGGAGGAGACGCGACGGAAGCGTGTAGAGCTGCGGGATGAAGGGCTCAACGGTGAGGGCGTACTCCCCGCAGTCGCGCAGGGACTTGATTACGGGTAGAAGCATCTTACGCGGCGGTGAGCTTTGTCGCGATGTGGAAAATGGCGGCTGGGGAGAAACCAAGTTGTTTCGAGGACAAGAGGTCGTGGAAGCTCCCTCGTCATCGATGTTGCGGGTAGGGAGGTACCAGCCCCGCTGTGGACCAGTGTAACGGTACACGGATGTGACCTCATTTTGATGGCCCGGGGGCGCAGACGGGACGGAAGCTCACGCGAGCGCCCGCGACGGGGAATTTGTAGCGCGTCTCCCGCTGTGCTAGCCCCCCGAGCGTCAATGGCCCCGCTGTGCTGTTCGCCCCTGGGCCGCGTTTGAAGGTCGATTTGGCCTGTGCCCCAGTGCTGGAACTCGCCCCGGGCGTGGTGGGGCTTGGAATTTAGCATGGGACGGAAGCTGCGACTTGGGACAGACATTTACCTGCATTTACACGACTCCCGACAAGGCTTCTCTGATCTCAAAGCCAGAGCGACAGCGACGTCTCATCTCCTCTCAAAGTCGGCAGTCTCGCAACCCGCCTCTCATCGAGGCTTCTCAAGACAAGTCAGCTCGTACACACGCGCAAACACGAGTGGAGACCATGCCGCGGTCACCCGTGTCCAGATGACACGCGACGCGTTGATGCCCTCACGATACCGACTCTTCCGTTGAGACACTGAAGCCCCCGCTACCACAACACGACCTCGGCACGGCGGCAATGACCAGCTTTGGAAGACACAGACGAGATGAAGGTCCTTTGCGTGGCGGAGAAGCCGTCCATCTCAAAGGCCGTCGCTGGCCACCTGTCTGGCGGCAACTTTCGAACCGTGAGTGTGCTGCACTACACGTCGTGCCCCTGCTGGCAATGCTGACGTGTCTACGAAGCACGGAACACGCAACCAGTACATCAAGAACTATTCATTCCAGTTCAACTTCGGACAGTCATGGGGCGACTGCGAGGTCACCATGACCTGCGTCTCGGGCCATCTCACCGGAGTCGAGTTTCACAGTGACTACAAGAATTGGGAGTCTCCTCCACCAGAATCACTGTTTGCCGCTCCAATTATCACCACCGTACAAGAGGTCAGTGACAGCTGAGCATGAATCGAGGCCAACTCTCTCACAGACGAATGCAGGACAAACGAACCATTGCTCAAAACATTCAAGACCAAGCCAAGTACTGCCGCTTGCTGGTCATTTGGACCGATTGTGACCTGGAAGGGGAGCACATCGGCCAGGAAATCGTAGATGCCGCCAAGAAGGGCAACCGCCAGCTACTAGTGAAGCGTGCCAGGTTCAGCAATGTCGAACGGGCGTATGGCAACCACCAAACCCACTCGCTTAGAATCTATCCGCTGACCTGACCAAGGCATGTTCTCTCCGCAGCTCGAAGGCTCATTGACCTGGACGACAGGCAGGTCAATGCTGTGAGCGCCAGAATAGAGCTGGATCTGCGTATCGGCTTCGCCTTTACACGGTTCATGACAACCAGACTGCGGAACCTCGGCGGGCCGCTTGCCGAAAGGATATTGAGCTATGGTATGCCAGCTCTTCGCCTGCCACTTTGATGGCCGCTAACAGCATAGGGTCATGCCAATTTCCCACGTTAGGGTTCGTGGTCGACCGTTACTTTCGGGTTCGGAACTTTGTGCCTGAGCCATTCTGGAGCATCAAGCTCATGCACAAGAGAGACGGCAAGACTGTACACTTTTCCTGGGCAAGAAACCGCCTTTTTGATCGGATGACAGCCATCATCTTATACGAGAGGTGCCTTGATGCCAAGAAAGCCAGGGTCACCAAAGTTCAGGAGAAGCCGACTCGCAAGTTCAAGCCGCTCCCGCTTACGACTGTTGAGCTTCAGAAGGCTGCAACCCGGATGCTGCGCATGAGCGGTCACCAAGCTATGACAATTGCAGAGGGTCTCTACAACAAGGGGTTCATCAGCTACCCGCGAACTGAGACCGACCGCTTCGACAAAGGTATGAATCTGAGGGCCTTGGTGCAGAAGCAGACACCGGATCAGAGATGGGGTTTGTTTGCCCAAGGACTCGTGGGCGGCGCGTTCCAACAGCCTCGAGAAGGGCGGCACGATGATAAAGCTCATCCTCCCATTCACCCGATTACCTATGCTGCGCCTACAGTGCTGTCTGCTGAAGAAGGACGTCTGTATGAGTACGTTGTTCGTCGTTTTCTGGCCTGCTGCTCAGACGATGCCAAAGGTATGGCGACAGACGTCGAACTTCAATTGGGAGACGAGCGTTTCAGCACTCGGGGGGTCATAGTTCTGGAACGCAACTATCTTGACGTCTACGTCTACGACAAATGGGACAATACGACAGAACTGCCCAAGTTTACAAGAGGGGAGGAGTTTGCGCCAACCGAGGCAATGATGTCAGAAGGCAAAACTTCGCCACCGAGCTACTTGACGGAAGCGGACTTGATTGCGCTCATGGACGCCAACGGCATCGGCACGGACGCCACCATGGCTGAGCACATCCAGAAGATTCAGGACCGCGAATATGTCGCGACTATTGAGCGTGCTGGCGGGTCGACCGGTGGTGACGACGAGGAGGGCGAGGCGATGCCGTCCCGAGGCGGTCGAGGACGTGGCGGTGCCAGAGGAGGCCGTGGGCGTGGAGGCGCAACGGCAGGCGGGCGACGAGGCGGCGGCCAGAAGGTGTTCATACCGACTCAACTGGGCGTGGCATTGATCTTGGGTTTTGACCGAATGAACTTTGAGACCAGCCTCGGCAAGCCTTTTCTGCGGAAAGAGATGGAACTCAAGATGAAGGCCATCTGCGAGGGTACGACAACAAAGCGTGCCGTTCTCGAAGAGAGTCTCGCCCAGTACAAGCAGGTGTTTCTGCAGTCGCAGGAGCAGCTAGGCGTCCTGATCCAGGTAGGTTCGATGCGACCCTTGTGAGAGTCGCGAACGATGATCTGACAAGTCACAGGCCTGCCAGGAGTTTGTCTTTGGGCGTGCTCCCCGACGATTGCAGAGTGACAGCGGTTAAGGTTCATGTCGGCACCCCACGTGCACGGCTCAAGCAAGGGAGCGAGCTCCTTTGAATCGTCATTACGAAATGACCACTACAGTACAGGACGATGCATTGATACTGTACCGCAACCTACTCATGCAGTAAAGTACTTACTGACAGCAACGTCGAAAGTGACAAAGCCAAAGAGGATCCTGGGTAAAGCCCGCAGAGACGGTCCAACACAGTCGACGTTGTAATCGCAGCGCAAGGCACATAAGCCCGTCCGCCGAAAGAGGGGTTGTCTCGCAGCGATCCTCACCCACGTCCGGAAACCGTCGCATCTTGGCCTGCGCTGTCCCACGCCCACGGCGCGACGTTGGACAACGTGGGGTGGCATCCAAGGCCCAGAGGGGCATTGCCCAGTCACTCCGGTGTCGGGACGCGCGGAGGGTCGCCCCGCGCATGTGGTCAGAGGATGCACAAGGAGGGGCAGTTTGTCACGACAATGCACGCCGTTGGGCATGGCGGATTCGAGAGGAGACAAACCGGTGTGGGAGGCGTCCCAGCACCCAACTGCCTGGCAGCAGCGGCGAAAGAAGGAGCTCTAGGACCTTTTGGTGAGCCCCAGAGGACGACAAAGATACGGGTTTGTCGGAGGTGGGAGGTGGGCCAACGTGCCGGAACTCGAACGCTCGTCAACGAACCCGCGAGGTCCGGTCATGACGACAGCTTTGGGACCTTTGAGCCAGTCCCTCGGGCATTGGACAGGCTCAATTGAGTCCAAAAGCGACGTCGAGCCTCTTGAAGGCACAGCTCCGTTTGAAACCCTTGGATGTTTGCAAGCAGCTTTGGAGAGACTTCCCGTTCGGGCAGCGTCGGAAGGCAGAGATCCAATCAGAGCGGCGCAGAGGCCAAACGTGATTTCTGCGCGGCGGCCGTTTGGGCGGCGACGGAGCCGGACCGAGACAGGCACGCAAGACAAGTTTCTGCGTTTTCTCACGACGGCTGGCGACTGCCGGGACAAACGTAAGACTCCTCTTTGGTCGATGAAGAGACGTGGTGGTGCCATGCCTGCGCCCGCAACATGCGTCCTACGCTTACACCCACGCCCCCTCGGCGGTTCCCCTCCTCCGCCACCGGGACACCGAGCCCGGTTTCCCTGTAAGCCGAGCTGAAAGAAGGCGATGAGAGCAAAGGGACAAGAAGCACGCAAGGAGGGAGGGGGAGCGGGCGAATGTGCATATTGGGGGCCCAGCACAATGGTAGTCACACGCGTTACAAAGTACAGTCTTACAATGTACAAAACATAAGAATTAAAATATAAAGTGCGTTCGAAATACGCCGAGAAAAAGAGTGCGTCCAACTTGTGGGCTGCAGAAATGCGAGAAACCCCGGGCTTGCCGCGCACCGCACCATCCCGCGCACGTCATCCGCATCATCCCTCCCACGGCCGACCGCGCCGACACGGGGCCTCGGGGAGGCAGGGCAAATGCGCGGTGGAGAAAGACGAAAAGGGACGGCCGGAGCGCTGCCAACGACGAGCCAGCCCAGCCGAGCCACGCCCGGGTCGGAAAGCGGCGGACACAGTACAGTACTAGGCAGGACGGAGGAATTGAAAATGTGGCCTACTGTATGCACGACATCGCGGGCAAGCAGCTACGACAGGAGAGGAAGTACGTAGCACGAGCCGCGGCCGGCGCCCACTTGGCTGGTTGGGAGGATGGTGGTTACATGGTGGGCTGTGTGGTGTGCGTGCTGCTGCCGCGGAGCCGGGAACTCTTGCTGCAGTCAGTGAGACTGGCAGCTGTTGAAGACAAACTTGCATGTCTCGGAGACGGCGTGGGTGCTGTACATAGGCATGGCGGCATAGGTAGGTAGCCAGCCAGATGGCTCAGCTCGACAGTCATTCAGTCGGTCGTCAGCCATGCAACAACGAAGTAAAACGTGTTTCGGCCCGTCGCACATAGGGCAAGGTCCCAGGCTATGCAACAGACACTACGGCAACTACTAAAAACATACCTACTACAAGGAATCGGGACCTAGACGCATCAGCAGTGAGCGCCAGGGGCAGACCGGCCGATCCGTTCCATGCCATGCCATGGAAGGCCATGGACCAGGGCAAGGCAGCGGGTCCGCCTTGGACCAGAGCAAATCCGGGCTGATGATGACGTCTACTACTCCTTCGTACCACCAGTGCTCGCCTCCGGCAAACACTCGCCGCAGAGGAGCGGGTTCGGCCTCACGGTTTGCCTGCTCGCCCCCGCGTCCGGGAACGGAGAGTGAAGCTACTACCCGGTTTGCTCGGCACCAGGCGGGCTGGATGATGCGCACGAACAAGATGCGTTGGGGAAAGGCGCTCGTCGTCTCGCTGGGCATCAGCCCCCCGTCGCGCTTACACGGCCGCCCGAAGTCCACTAGCAACGTGCGGGTTGATCGACGCGGGTCAAATCTGCGACTACATTTTTAGGCTGTCGTCCATCTCACGTCGTAGTACTAACAAGATCAACAAGATGCTGTACGTACACAATACGTACTCCGGAGTCCAACCCCATGTTCGTTCCCCCTCCGAACCGGCCAATTCGCACCCCACCAACGTTTGTTCCCGGTCGGTCCAAATGGACGAGAGACCTCCCTCACCACTCCACATCTATGGAGCACTCTGCCTGCTTCATGGTCCGAGAAGCCCGACAGCTGTCGTATCGGTAGTGACACTGTATGTCCCCGAGACACATTGTCAGCAATGTCCATGAAAGCTCGTCGTCCTCCACTGAGGGGATGCTGCTGAGTCTTCTCGGTGTAGGGCGCGAAAGGGGAGGCGACACGACGTACCGGCATGTCGCGGGCGCAGGCTACGCGCCTCGTCTCGCACGAGTCTGGGTGAACCACGACGCAGGCGTTTCCATTGGTGACGCAGACCTACAGCGCGGACAATTGCAATGTTAGCGGCTTGACTATATATATACGAGCAGCAAGTAGGCGTTGCTACACTTGCCCCTTCAATCCACATCGACTGGGAAGGCAATCCGGCGCCGACACCGAAAAGTGCGTAGGCGACGATGGTAAATGCTGGGTTCATGTTGTTAGTGGCCCTCGACAAACACCGTCCGGACTCCCTCGTCACTGACACACCCCGTCCCGAACAATCTGAAGTGCATTACCACCCGGCCCCTCTTATGTTCACTCATCTACGTGTATATACGGCTTTGCATCGTCAGTAGTTTCGTAGCCGAGCCAGGTAACCGACTGACTGTTACGCAAGAAGCACCCGTGCACCGAACTGTCGTGACAGTTGTCAACCTGCTCGTGGTCCCCGCCGTTGGAGGGGCTGGCGTGGCCCACCTCAAACAGAGCAACACGCAACACACGCACTACGCACTCTGGGAGCCGTGCGATGCATGCTCGGCATCCTGAAACCAGGACTTGCGAGGAGGGGTCGACGCCCCTCAAACGAAGCATTGATGCCCCGTCGCAGGCGCGCAAAAAATTCGCAATGATATTCGCCGGCAAAGGCAAACAGCCAGCCTCATCTTCGGCCATGTCGAATAATATCGGCCATGCCGTGCGTGTGGACGCTAGAGAGGGCATTACGCGCGCCGCCCTGATGATCCATCTGCTCAATGCGGAGCACGAAGCTCATCAGCGGGTTCCACCCCCAGACTCGGGAAGACGCCCTCTAAGTTAGTGCCCATCGCAGCTTGTTGCCGCGAAGTACGGCTCCGCAAATAGCACAGGTGCCCGTTGGCAGTGGCCCTGCTGCTTCTCGGACCGGGGGCACGTTGTCGAGGCCGTGGCCGACATGCTCCGACGGGCGACCCCGCCACGCAATGCCATCGCGATCGCGTCTGGGAACAGACTCGCAGTTTAACTAGTTTTCGTGCGCGTGTGTGGACATGAACGAGGCCGGCCGTTGAGGGTTTTCGGGGGGACGCGCGCAAGAGTTCCGAGTCAAGCCATTATTCTCTTATCTGCTGCTGCTACGATAGGGGCGCATGGGCGCACAGGCGCTCTTCGAGAAGGGAAGGCGAAGGGACAGGAAAAGGCCGGATGGATGGATGAGATGGGTGGATGGACGGAGGGAGGGGAGGGGAAGGGCTGGAGGGGCTTGGGATGGCTGGACGGATGGTCCGATGCCCTGATGCGAATGGCGGCGGCGACTGTTGCCGTGGCTCGTGGTCCGTGGCTCAAGGCTCATGGCTGATGATGGGCTGCGTGCGTGCGAGTGTGCGTGCGTGCGCAGAAAGAGAGAAAGCGCCATGGCCGTCCGCACCTGCTTTGGGCTTATCGGCGCGAGTCACAAGATGCCGAGCCCGCCCAATGAGCTGCGTCACTCCTCCCTCCTCGCCGGCGGCCGGGCGTGTGCGCAGTGACGTCGCCTGGCCAAGGGCAGGCACACCCACGCCTGCGACGCCCGCCCTCCCCAAGCCTCCGGTCAAGAGGGCAGGAGCACGCGGCCAGCGGCGCTCGCGTCTTGGAACCAAAGCAGAAGGGAGGGCGTGGGCGCATCATGCCTGGAGTCCGGGAATGGGCGACGGAGCAAGTCGTGCGCGCGCGCCCGCGCGTTGCGCTTGCCCAGCCAGCCCAGTCCTTGCCCTGTCCTTGTTGCTGGGCGGCGGCGGCGGCGAAATTGTGAGGGTGAGAGAGGGTGCCGTGGCTCGGTCCAGCACTGGACGCGGCGAGGTCGGTTGAGGTACCATTCAACGGCGAGGTACTCGTCGCTCGGGGGGTACAAAGAATCGCGAGCGAAGTGCCTGCCTGGCTGTGCCTCCCTCCCATCCTTTCATCTGCGACTCTCCTATCCTGGCTGACTCCGGGCTGAGATGAAGGCCAGGCGAGGCGAGGTGAGACGCGGCGACGACGACCAGGAAGCCGGGCCTGTTGTCAGGCGACTCACAGGGGCCCGTTGATGAGGCAGAGTCCCGGTCTCCAGTGCCGGACCGGCTAGGTACCTGCTATTTTCATGCACTTCGACACGATGATGAAGCGAGTTGTGTGAGCGACCACTGCGCATCGGATCGGCCGTCTTCGGGTTCGGCAGGTGTGTCAGTGGCCACCACCGCCGCCGCCCGCTGCCACAACGTGGACGCCCGGGCGAGGGAGAATGGAGGACTTGAGCACACCATCTCGTCGCCGCCCAGGAACCTTGGGGCCTCGCTAGCCCGCACGCGCCTGCAGGTATCTCCAGGCCGCCGGCTGGCCGGGCAGGTACCCCTGTGGTACTGCAATGATACTGGCATGCCCGGAAGGAAGGGGGGCATGTCTCGCGAAGCATGGCAAAGTACTGCGGCAAGACAAGGTACTCGCACCCACAAGCTCGCTCCGACCCTCCCCCCCAAAGCGCCCCCCCATCATCCCCCGTAACGATAGCGGCTAGCGGCCAGGCCAGACACCACACACACGGACACGCCCAAGGCCCAGCAGCCAGCCCCAGCCCAGTCAACCAGTCAGTGACACACCCGTCGGCACACGCATGCACACACGCTCCCGACACGGGCAGGGCAGGGCAGGGCAGCGCCGCGGGCATGAGCATGGGCATGGGCATGTACACCCGCTGCGCTGCCGCGGGATACCTTGCTGGAGTACTTACAACCCGTCAGGCGCGCCTCTCCCCTTCCCTTCCTTTCTTCTCCTTTCAACCCAAAATCAACAACGCAAACAAACCTGCACGATTCCCATCGAGAATCACCCGTCACAGTCCCAGAGGATCACGCCGCCAGCCCTGCCAGCCCTGCTATCTCTTGCTTTGCCCCCAAGTAGCCGTCCGTCTGCACACCAGTCAGTCGTATCGCCACGGCTCCAGCATTGCGTCAGGTACGTACCTCGAAGTCGCATCCTCCGCCCGTTGCCCTGTGTGAGTCAACGACGACGACGACCACGACAACGGACGACAGCTCCTCGCATCAGACGAAAGCTGCGTCGCATACGCGCCCCCGACATCTTCGTCTCCGTCTTTCGTCGCTTCCCATCGCATAGCACTCTCACACACGACCCACGCGCGCTCTCCCTCAGACGCGCCCGCACACTACCTACGCTGTCCGCTCTCAAACGAGGACGCCTCCCGCTGACACGAGCCTGCCCACAGACCACCTCTCTGAAGCACATCGCTACCCAAAACAACGCAGACATGGCTTCTCTGGCATCGGCTGCTCGTGACATCCCCAAGGCCGCCTCCTCGAACCGAGACAACTTAACTGTTGTAGCGGATCGGAGCGACCCGGCGACTGTGGCGCGTTCTCATACCCTCCCGACTCCCCCCAACTCCATCTCTCCGGCCCTGCCCGCTCATGGCCTCAAGGCCCAGCTGCAAAAGGCCAAGCTCGAGCCCATCGACTCCGACTTGGACCTGCACGACCACCCCGACGGCAACGAGCGGTCACCGTCCCCCGCGACCACCCATGAGGCCTCGGGCGCCATCACCAGCGCCCTCCTGGCCAAGTACCACCTCCCAGAGATCCTGCTCAACCACGGTCCTCTGGCGATACGGCACATCATGGGCTACCTGACGACGTCGGTACCGGGCTTCTCGGGCATCCCGCCGACAAAGGCTCGTCGCTTGGTCGTGGGGGCCCTGGAGGGACGAGGGGGAGAGGGAGGAGGCTTGGAAGGAGACGTCGAGTTCGACAAGGTAGGATGGGGGCGGTGGGATGCCCGTCGCCGGGGGTTCGCCTCCCGCGACCGCCAAGGCACCCCGCCACCCTCGGCCGGCGCGGGCATTCCCATCTCCAAGACCGGCGCAAGGGGACAGGACAGGAGCCGCCTCAACGTCTCCGGATCTGTGGGCGAGGAGTCGGTCCACTTCTCACACGACGACCACGACGACGTTCACATGATGGAGACGGAGGCGGACAAGATGTCCCTGGACGGTTCTGCATCGGCGTCGTGCTCGGAAGCACCAGACGACGACGTGGCCATGAACGACGACCCCGAAGACGTGACCGACGACGAGGACTGGGCGGCCATGGGCGCTGCGGCTCTCCGAGCCGAGTCGTATCCGAACATGGCCGCCGCCCAGTCGAGCGGCGCCCTTCGATCTCCCAACTTTGCTCTCCCTGGTGGACTGCGAACCTTTTCGGTGAGCTCGGGCATGGCGCGCCCACCACCACAACCGGCAAACCTCGACCTCGCCGCCCTGACCGGCACCCCCGATGCCCAGGAGCGCGAGGCCGTCGAGGCTCTTCTTCGACTCGGTTCTGTATAATACCAACTTGCATGCAAGGCGTTCTGGAGGCATGGGGTATGTTTTTACCCCTTCTTTTTTTGGTGGGAAATGTCTGGCCCGTCATGGATAGGCCCTCCGGCGGCTGGGCCACGGAACGCGTGTCTCGCACGATTGGAGGCGGCGCCCTCGACATCATACCAACTATGTTCACGATGACACGGTTCAACACTCTTCTTTTTTTTTTTTCTCATTAATCACTGCCAGGCTCGCACCATCCGAGCTCCTTTCTGGCTTTTTGGCGGCGGTTGGCCGTCTGTCTTTCAGCATGGCTCTCTCGGCGTGCAATGGGCTGGCACGCCGCGAGTTGGAACGCTGCTCTCCCCTTGACGATGCACACACCCGGGGGTATGCGGTTGCAACCTAGACAGGTATATATGACATGACAGAGCAATCAACAGTGCTCTCCATTGGGCAGATGCTCCCATCTGACTTCCCAATCCGTTGGGTGACGCGCGCGACCGCCGTTGACGGCACTCTCTTTTTCACTCGGACCGCACTTTGCGCGTATGGCCTTCAACCCGTCGATGATAGAAGTCCAAGCGAGGAGGGTCTTTTCCTCCCGAGACTGGAAAAAGCGGTCAGCATAGAGCGGCGCGAGACTGGGCTTGCGGGACCTGCATGGTTGCAAATAACGACGCCCCAATTCCTCTCGCAACTGACGCGGGAGCAAACGTCAGGTCCGGGATCCATTCGCGGCTGTCCGTGGAGCTTGCGAAGATACGAGAGCTGCTCATCATAAATGTCGAGGGGACAGGCATAGAAGCCCTTGTTGTCACAGGTGATTTTGGCGCCGCTGAAGTCGGTGCGCTTGTTGATGGCGGAGGATGACTCGGGGCGAGCGGCGTCGGTGTGTGCAAAAGCGACGCCGTATTCGGGGATGATGGTGGGAGGTTTGTCGGAAGAGAGAGACGGGACGGCGGCAGCCGGCAGGGCAAGAAGCGGGATCAGGACGAGAGTATGCATGCTGGCGGTTGTATGTATGTCGGCGCGTGGCAGGAGACGTTGGGAGGGAAGGCGGCGGGCGGAGAGACAGATATCAAGGGGTAGAGGCGCACGAGTGTACGAAGTGCACAGAGTGTATATACAGAGAGGCGTGCGTGGATGAGATGGGCGTTTTGCGCGTCACAAGCATGCAAACATACTCTTCCCTCCGAGGTGGTGCTGCACAAAAGAGACAAACGCTCACGATGTTGCGGTTGGAAAGTTGAATCATATCCTCCTGTCCGTCGGTGTCACTCCCCTGCTCAGCCTGTGGTATTTTGCCCTCGAATGCGGCGCAACACTCTAGCCCCCCCTTATCGAGGACATCAGTGCCCGCCCGTAAGTCCGAAATATTCTGAAACTGCTGCAATGCAATGTATGCTGGGTCGAGGAGTGCAGCCGTCGTGTGAAGCACAGCTTGAGCCACGGCATGGCCCCAGTGTGCGCCGCGCGCAGAGACCACGCGGAGGCGTATATCCTACCCTGCCCTGCCCTGCCCTGCGCCCCCTTGAACGTTTACATCGTGCGTTGGAGGAGGCATGGGACGTAGGTACGAAGTGCGCAGCCACCCGCTGGAGGGTGCTGTTGGCGAGTGCGCCTTGAGAGAAGTCTCTCGGGGGAGAGGGACGGACAGCTCCTCAGGTTTCGTGTTGGTGGTTTGCGGCTACCCTGCGGTTTGGTATAAGTACCCGGTATTGGGCGCTTTGGCGACGAAGCACATGGACCAGGAGATATACTGGAGGAGCAGGAGGAGGGCAAACGACTGGCACGGACGAGGAGGGTTTGCTGCTTGGTTCGACGTCACACGAGGATGAGGAGAATAACTCGTGTGAAGTAGGTGCAGAAGAGGCGCGCAGCATCGCTGTCACCGCGGGACGAGGATGCAAAGAAATGGGTTATCAGGATTGTAGCCTGTGTTGCTGAATCGTTTCACATGATTGCGTCTCTTGTAATATGTACGTGTCTATTCCCACATCGCCGCCTCCCTCCGTTGCGCAACTTCACCTAGATTCTCTCTGCCCTAGGGTTGGGCGAAACCAACTGCTGCGAGGCTATCACGACGAACTCACACAGGAGAGGAAAGACACTCGGGCGAGGTGGCTTGCATGCCTGCTTGCACATGCCTTGGGGGCTCGGGCAGACTGCCTCCCACGCATTTGAGGGCTAGGTCGATGCTCGGACAGAGCAGTCAATTCTACGGAGGACCTACTTTCGCCTTGTCTCTGTTGCGGTGCGTGGGCTTGACTGCAGACTTGTCTGTCGCATCTGCAGCAGCACTCGCTCTCTGCTCATCAATGATGGGGCCGAACGCTGGAGATCCTCCTCCCAACACCATGAGCATCCCGTGAAAGGGGCCTTGGTGGTCCATAGGCGACGAGGGAGTGCACGACGCCTTCACCGACCATCCTCGCCTTGGGTCGGCGAGCCCACATCTCCAACGCCGTCAGTCACCGCCGTCACGCGCCCTCGCAGCAGCGAGACTTTCCGCTCATCCCTTCCAGCCTCCCTTGAATGAGTTGAAGGCCCCCATCTCCTAGTGTTAAAATCGTATGAGCTTCATCGACATTTACCTGTCACCCGCATGGCCCGTCGTGGAATTAGCTGCGGGCACCGTACGGTTGAGGAGCCGCGTGTCTGTCCCTCCGCTCCTGCTCCCATCCGACGAGTCTCGGACCAAATTCTAGATTCACGCATGAAGGCGGACGGCCGCTTTGTCTCGATGATCTGGTCACAAGCAGAGGGGCTCCTCCGATACTTACCTGTGCTATTCCAAAAACCTTTTGCATCCGGAGAGTCTGGTCCGGAGCAAAGCGGGCTGCTGTCCGTGGCGGAGGGCTTTGGGAGCAAGTCTGCCGCCACTCATACGCATAACGATGGATTAGCCTCGTTCGTTGCAGGCGACGGAACGATGTCTGCCCCGGGGGTTTCCTTTCAGGGACAGCTGCGCAGGCGACGCGGTATGTATATGGGCTCGCAGGTTGTTAGTTTGTGGCATGTTTAGGCACCGTTGCCTCTTCAAAATCAAGCAGCCCAAGCGGGGAGAGGCGGCGGTCACGCACAGGGCGTGTCGCACGAAGACGCGCCACTCCGACATGGCTGATGCACGACGTTGAAGGCGTGAGAAAGGGCCCCCTTGTGTTACAGTCCCGCATGCCCCAAGTCACGAGTTCTGAAGCCGCCGGGGCAAGTTTTTATGAGACAGCCGCCTCACCATAAGCGTGCATGTGCCTTACCCAGCGGGCGAGCCGCGCAGCTGTCGGGGCATTGGCGTCCAGCTTGGGCGCGTTCCTGGGCGTGACTTCTCGTGGCAGTCACTGCCACTGCCGTTGCCAAGTAACTTAAAAGCACGCACCCGGCGGGACGAGTCCCACCGAAATCAGGGCACATGCGTTATAGCATGACCATGGGTATCCTCCCGAGATGTGAGCCTGGGGCCCGCTCGAGTAAGGCGGGATTAATGCCTCGTTGCTGACTGGGACAGAGGGCGCACTCGAGGCTTCCGCATCGTCCGTCAAGCCCCGGGGATCACGGGGAGCGAGGGAGTAAAGGCATCGGTGTCCCAGTCGGCAGCAGGCGATTGAGTCAAATCAAGGTTTGGACGCGCCGCTCCCAAGGTTTCGGCAGACGCAACGTCGTTGTCGTGAGCGACGCTGGTTCTTGGCTCATTTGGCCGCCGCAACGTCTCCCCTGCTGCTGCTGTTGTCGTCGGTCTGTCGTCGACCTCCTGGCACAACGCAACAGCAAACGGGAGCCGGAAGCGACATGGGACTCTGGGGCCGGGCGCGTGGCTTCTTGGCCCGAAAAACAAGCTTACTTCTCCGCACCGAAAGTGGCAACAGCCCAAAAGATGCACTGCCCTGTGGCTTGCGGCGCCCGCCAATGGGCTGCGTCTTGGCGGGAATGGAGCGGCAGTAGTCCATTCTCGCCGACGTCTTGGCGAGCTGGTCCTGGTCTGGGCGTGCGTGGGTGTCGAGCTTGGCTTTGGCTTGGTCCTGCGATTGACAACGGCGCAGCTGATGGCTGCGGGTTCGGTTCGGTTCGATTCGAGAAAGCCCGATGATGGAAGCACCGCATCATCGCGGCCGCGGGCGAGCATGAAGCATGAATGTCGTTTCGGGCGAGCAAATGCCTCCGTTGCATTCATGCCGGTGCCCCATGCCCGGGAACCTCCGTCCGTGATTGCCATGATATTAGTTCGTCCATGTATGGTCGTGAGCGGAGGCGCCGACAGTGTCGACGACGAAAACCCACGAGTCCAGGGCCAGGCCTCGACCCTGCACCAAGCCGTCCCTTATCAGCTGACCTGCCACATCGAGGTGATCCACGGGCTGCTTGGCACGGTTTCCATCCACTTTGGCGAGCGTTGCAACGCGCAGACCATCGCGCACCGTGCATATCGTGGAAACATGGGGCTTCACCAGCAAAGTTTGAGTACTGCGAGGCCTGTCCTAGCGAGGTCCAAGGAAGCGTTGCCGTGCTGCGTCGAGCTTGACTCCTGCTGCGAAGCTGTTCCGTCCTCCGAGGCTGGGGAAGCAAAGCGGTACAGGAGGGGCCTGCATGGCTAACATCATGGCCACCAAAGTGACGCCAGATAATCAGGCCGCTGCGAACCGCAGGTATGTGACGAGCCGCGGTACGCGTGGAGGAGGCGCAAAGCCACCGCCACCAAACGGTGCCTTGTCCTTCCCCAGACGCAAATCTTGTCGAGGCGTGCGCGGCAGACGAATGGTGAGCGAACGTGCAGGCGTCGGCGGGCTGCCAAGGGCGGTCACCATCTCTGCGACTTGGCTCTGTTACAGTTGGTACCGCCCGCGACCTCTCGGCGCTTCAGCGGCTGTGGGCGGAACCTGCAGCCCGAGCGGGCGGAAAGCTTGTTGATTCATCGAGCCTGGGCATAGCGTTACCGTTGCAAGGGGGGGCCACTGTCAAGCAGGCGATAATAAACTGGGGCTGGGCGTTGGGTCAGCGGAGCTTGATCTTGAGGCAGATGCTCAAACTGGGCGGGCACTCGGTGTTACGGAGCACGTACCGTGCGTCCTTGCCCAAGTACGAATACGTGTGCTTCGCACTGGGCCAGCCAGGACCAGAGCAGACCAGCGAGGGCCATCCAGAAGGAGAAGAATGTGCGCAAGTGGTGCTTCCATAGCGCGAAGATGCAAGGGAAGGATGCACCGCTGCCGCCGCGGTGGCCGGTACGACGCGTGTACTTGTACGAAGTAGCGTAGGTGGGAGCGGTGGTTGGTGGTGGTGCGAACGGCGGGCGGCCACGGCTGATTTGTCGCGGGTCTACTTGCTCCAGCGCGCCGGACTCCGAAGGCGCGAGCCGGGGCGCCTGGTAACGTTAGGTACACACTACAGTGCCGCTCGAGCATTTGGCCGCCCCTTCCACGCCTGCGGCCTCGGCGGCGGCGCCTGTCAGGCGGACAGTCCAAGGCGACACAGGTGCGACCCTGCGGCCGGGAGACTACCTCGTGCATGCAGCCAGCGCACGCAATGTTAGGTTCGGCAGGCCGACCGGCGTCGACTGACAGTGCTGCGACCATGACGCAGCAGCGAATGACTCGCCCGGTCTGGCGCCGTCCTGTCGACGACGCCGACGATGGCGCCTGGGCGTTCGTTGCCCGTCAGGCGATGCCCAGATGGCGCGCCACCGGGAGCAGCAAGGTGGTGCCTATGCATGGACGAGTGCCCTCTGATGCCTCGGTGTTATATCTTTGGGCCAGGGACGTTAGAGTCTGCGCAGTCAGTTGCTGGTTGTGCTCGCAGCCGTGCCAGAGCACCGGTCCCGACACGTTCCGGACGGAGAATAACTAATACCAACACCAAGCCTCAGAGGCACTGGCTTGCAGGTGCGAGCCGGGCGGCACGCACAGTGCATCGACGACGGTCGGCTCGTGGAGGGGGGGCGCGGTGGGCAGTGGGCATTGGGAGGGCCGGGTGCTTGACGCAGGCGAGGCGAGGATGCGAGGACATGGTATGGCCCACCGTCCACCTCATGGCATGGAGCTTGTGTGACGCCCGCCGCGGGGGCTTCGATGGCCCCGAGGGGTGCGCCTGCCAATCGAAAAGTGGTGATGGCTGCGGATGGCAAGAGATGGGCCAAGCGCCCAGACTTTGCCAAGACTTGGCGGTCTTGGCATGGCCAGCTCCGCCGCAAGTCTTGGCGTACACGCGTTAGTGGGTACGCCCTCGGCGCCCTCCCCGCCGCGGCCGTTGTGCTGCCGCAGGTCACGCCGGCCGTAGCGCCATCTCGGATACCCCGGTGCGAATGCCAAGACCGCCAAGAAATTCCGCTCGCCCTTTCTCGTCTGCCCAGACTTCTGGGTGTGAGTGCGCTCCCTCAGGGAGCAGGAGGCCCCGGGAACCTTCTTCAACGAGCCGCTTCCTCCTCGATCCTCGCTCTTCAACTCTCCAACTTCCCATCGTGCAGACGAAGCTTTCGATTCAGTTGTCGTCCGCCGCCGCCACGCTCCCGACTCTTCCTGCGCCCTCTTAGCAGCCCAGCAGCCGTTGAGCCTAGCATCAGATTACACGCCACCGCCCGTCTGTTTCAGATACCACCACACGCCGCCATGGCCGCCCAGGTCTCCGATGCCGCCCAGGCATCATCGGCATCCAGCAACAACAGCGGCGATTCCAAATCCAACACGCCCGCCCCTTCGAGTGCCACCTCGAGCACTTCACAGCACGCGTCTTCCCCCGACGACAACTTGACCTGCCGTTGGAACCAGTGCAACCAAAAGTTCTCGAGCCCCGAGACCCTTTATGTAAGTTGGCCCGTTGAAAGGCCGCGACACGCACGACCATGTAGCTGACATGCCGGCTTTCCCCAGGAGCACATCTGTGAGCGCCATGTTGGTCGCAAGAGCACCAATAACCTGAACCTCACTTGCCAGTGGAACTCGTGTCGGACCACCACGGTCAAGCGGGATCACATCACCTCGCACATCCGCGTCCATGTCCCGCTCAAGCCACACAAGTGCGAGTTCTGCGGCAAGTCCTTCAAACGGCCGCAGGATTTGAAGAAGCATGTCAAGGTCAGTACTTTAACCATTCAAACGCCGTGACCGCTGCCCAGACTTACACGGTTCAGACGCATGCCGATGACTCTGTCCTCTCTCGGCCCGGACAGGACCTCAACTACAGAACACAGGCTGCCAAGGGTAAGTCGGCCCATCCGATGATTTTGTTACGAGAGCGGGCTTCCGTGTCTGCACCTTTTACGGAAGAGACGCTGACTGGCATTGCAGCACCAAGCTACTATGATCACAACGGCCAAATCCGAGGCGGAGTCGGTGCCTTTTCGCACCAACCCGCCCACGGCAGCTACTATGCGCCCCAGCCGTCCACCAACTATGCCCTGTACTTCAACCAGCCTCCTCTGAACACGCCTCGAAGCGAGCACGTGGGCTATGGCACTGCAGCTGCAGGTGGATACGATCGCAAGCGAGCTTACGATCGCACCTACGATGCCATGGACGACTTCTTCGGCCACGTCAAGCGGCGCCAGATCGACCCCACGTCGTATGCGCAAATCGGCCGCTCACTGCTACCCCTTCACAACTCGCTTTCGATGCCCAATGGGCCCCTGGCCACCGCAGAGCAGTACATGCCTCAGCATGCACCCGCCCCGTCAATGGTTCACTCCGGCCCGGCGCCCACGACGAACCCCCTGACCCAGCAGTACTACCTCCCCAGCGCCCGGACTCAGAAGGACCTGATGCAGCTTGACGGTCTCCTCGGTCAGATGCAAGACACCATCTACGAGAACGCCAACCATGCCACGGCTGGTGTGCACATTCACAACCACGGCGACGGCCACTTGGGCGGTTTCAGGCACAGCCCGTCGCCCACGGTTCTTCAGCGCTCCCCCGGTGGCCTGCCCGTGACGGCAGACACATATCAGCCCGTGACCGCGCCGAGCATGGCCTCTCCGCTGACCACTATCTCGTCAACGGGAACCCCCGCCGTGACGCCGCCGTCCAGCTCCATGTCGTACACCTCGGGACACTCGCCTAGCCCGTCCGCTTCGTCTGGCCTGTCCCCGCAGTCCCGCCACAGCTCGACGGCTTCGTCGGTCATGTACCCAACGCTGCCCACGACGCTGCCCACGGTAACGCAGGGTTTCGGGCAGTCGACCACGGCAACCCTGGGTCCAAGCTTTGAAAGCAATGAGCGCCGTCGCTACTCTGGAGGTATGCTGCAGAGGGCCCGCGGCATGCCACCGCCTCCCCCGCGGACCGCTGAGGAGAGCGGGCGGACCACGCCCAAGGCTGGCGACTCAGCCCTTTCCGTCGGGTCCCCGTCGTCTGAGTCTGACAGCGACTCTACCAAGGAGCGCGAGGAGCAGTACGACCGCTGGCTCGAGAACATGCGAGTGATCGAGTCGCTGCGCGAGTACGTGCGACGCCGCCTTGAGCGCAGGGAATACGCCGACGAGGACGGCGAGACTCGTGAGGACAGAAAGAACGGCGATGCCATGGACGTGGATGTCAAGAGCCCCCGAAGCATCCCCCTGCAGCCCATTGGCCCCCGCGAAGGCGGCTCGTCGCTGTACCCGAGGCTGCCGGTACCGGGGTCTTGAGCCTCTGGCAAGCGCCAGTTGGGTGTGTGTGGAGTTGGCTACTTGACGTTGGTCATGTCTACGATCAGAGGTGTGTTGCCATATATGCGAGTATCTGTATGCTTTGACTAGTGGGTTTTGTTGAAGTGATGGGCGTCCAAGGCGCCCCGGGCAAAATGGCTTTCAAGGCGCGGTTGCGGACCGCGTCGCGCATGTATTTATCTATCTATCTGGTCGCTGCAAATCATGTTGCAGAGCGGAATTGAAGCATTGCTCTCCTCGCAATTACCTGGCCCCCGTGGCAGTCGGGATGAAGCTGCTCGTCGCAAAGGCAGAGAGAGGTGACGGTTCGCATCGGAGAGACGCTAGTCGCATCATGGCATTCCTGTCAAGGGGTCATTTCAGCAATTCCTGGCCCGACGGGCGATGTAACACTGGGCGCACTGAATCTCGGCAGGTCTGGCTGGCTTCTAAGAATATCGCCGCAGTGATGCCACAATGGCTCGAGCGACGATGGGCTGTCTCGGCCAAGGCTGCGACGGTGCGGCCAGTGTCTCGACCCAGCACATGTTTGGCAATTTTGCGCCCGGCAATTGACGGCTGAGTTGGTCGCCCGGTTAAGGGTTCCGGAACGTCGGGGACGGGCGACGTGCATGCAGACGGATGGTAAGCTTACATCGTTGACATTTTGCTACGACATCCATCCGTGGCACGCGGCAGAGAGCTGCACGGCGAGTCGCCCGCCGGTCGACCCGGCGCAGAGCGGCTGCATGCACTTTTTGTCGGTGGCGGTGCGACGCTGCCGTGCCTGCAGGACAGGGTCACTTACATGCCGTGCCGTGCAGACATTTTACATTACATTCTAGGATACTCGGATATGCTTGGCCAACCGTCGTATACCTCCGCTGACTTTGACCGAACGACCGGCCAGGCCGTGCAGCGGCAGACCTTTTTTTTCCCCTTGCCTTTCCCACTCTGCCATCTCATGACTTTGATTTTACGTGATGCGATGGCCGGCCCCTTGGAGCAACCATGACGCGTTGGCTGCGACACTCACCAGACACCCACAGACTGCTTGCTGGGGCGGGCCTCGATCTCTAACCTTGCGACGAAGTTCTGCACGTGGGCGGCCAGGGCGTCCCGCCATCATTTGCGAGCCGTGCGGGCACGCAAACAAGGTGAGACATACTCTCGTAGCTTGATTGTGCTCGTACGGGGGGCGAGCGCGCGCGAGCCATTCCTCCCTCCCCTGTGTCGCGGGCGAGACATTTGCGCAAAAGAAACGCTGGGGGGGGGAGATCGATGGAATGAGGGTTTGTTAAAATACGAGGTTTCGTCGTCTCTGATGCCGCGCATGATCACGAATCACGACTTTACGCTCACTCGCACTGAACGATCCCTCTCGGTCTTGCCTCGCCAGAATTATTGTGCCCGCCAGGTACTGCCAAGGTAGCAAGCACAAAGTTCCTGCCACCAAGTTACTATTTCGCTCTTGCCTCTCGGCCCCCCTCGGCATCTCTCTAAGCCGTAGCCTGCAAACAAACCGGCAGGAACGATCACTTGCATCAGGCCACTCCCTCCAAGGATTCGACAGGACGGAAGGCAACGCCCAGAAGTTCTAGAGTTACCTAAAAGTTTTCGCCATCCTCTGCTGCCCGTCATCACCAGACTCTTCCTCCTGCACCTCGCGACGACCCTGCTCCCTGTACCGCCGCTGCATGCATCGTGCAACCTGATCGCTCAAGAACCGTTGGTGGCGTGGAACTGCAACGGAAAAAGTTCCTCACAGTCCCGCTGCGCCTCATCGACGCGGCTCATCTACGCCAAGCAAGACACGGAAGCACTGTCAAGTCCTTGTAAGTCTGCAAACCCGAGCCCGACATACGGCCTGGGGCTCAGGTATAAAGAGCATTCGGACTGTCTCAGAGGACAACAACTGACAGTACCTCAGATCAGGCTTCTCAGTCATCGGATCAGATCGTTCCTCTCTTCTACCAGCTGTAAAGCTCAAACAACAAAACACCAAGCCATCTTCCTCCAACTCCTCTCAACACGATGCGCTTCGCAATCACTGTTGGCAGCCTCTGTGCCGTCCTCTTCGGACTTGGCGCCGTTGCCATGCCCGCCGACCCAGCGGCTGACGCCTGCTGCTGCTGCGACATCAGCCGCAACGTCATCTCTTGCACGCGATCTATCAAGAAGTCCGAGTGTATGTGCGCCGCGGTCGCGTGCCCTCCCAACGCCCCGACCGTCTTTGACGATGCTCCCCCGGCAACTCGTCAGGAGAGAGCGCCTTCCGGTCCATTCATCCCCCCTATTCCTACTCCGGGCCCCGTCGAAGTCGTCCCTCCGCGTGCGCATGCCGGAGACGACAGCACCAAGGGGGATGTCCGCAAGCCGACGCCTCTTCCCCTCAGCGAGAAGCCACGCACTGTCGCTCCCAAGTCGGGTGTGCCAAACACCTGCTTCCCGGCCAACACTCCACTGACCAGGTGCTGCTGCTGCAACATCGGCAAGAATCAGATCGAGTGCGAGATGGTGGCCACAGAGGGAGGTTGCTTCTGCCCCGCCGTCGTCTGCCCTGCGGGCGCCAAGACGGTCGACGTCCCCCCGGCTGCTTGTACCTCTCTCTAAATTGGCGTCTTGTCAGTGAAGTTTTGGCGCGCTATGGCATTAAGCTGGACATAATTACGGCATCGGGGGCATAGAGTGCGAGAAAACATTGAGCGAGACGGGCGATAGAAAAAAAATTGTAGTGCTAGTCTGAACAGTAATAACACCGAGTTGGGCCCATACTGGAACTACACCCATCTTATGCAGTCATCTCAGTGGCATATCCTCGACATGCTCGGTCTCCCTGAATCGATCCCTGACCGAACCAGCCCGGTTGTACTTGATCCTACGCGACCCAGGGACGCTGTCTCCTGTCATCAGTCTCCACTTCTCGTCACTGGGCGACCGGCAGCGTCCAAACAGCTGGTACGTCATGAGGCCGACAACCCATCCCTCTTGATCTGGGAAGCAGGCAACAGACACTTCGTAGTCCGTCAAGCAGCTCTCGCACGACCCGCTGGCATCCACGCAAGCCTCGAAGTACCTCCCTTCCCCTTTGGGCGGCGCCAGCTCTGGGATGCGACGGCCGCGAACCGGCGCATCCAACCCTTGAGCATCAACGTGGGCGTCGGTGCGCAGTGAGCAGCACACGAACAGAGGTGTCTCGTCGAGAAACGCCCGTAGGTCCTCCGTGCGGGGGTAGTCGCAGTAAAAGACGTACGAGACGGCCATGTAGAGCTCGTCGTCAATGACTCGAGCCGTGCCCGTGATGTCGAGCATGCGGCGGCCAGAGCGGTTCCCCATATCCCCCTCCAAGGACAGAGCAGCGCCGAAGCGGAGCCGCCGCAGCGGGTGGCCCAGCTCAGGGCTGAGCTGGCGGTACTTGACGGCGAGGTGGGCGAGGTAGAAGGGCAGGGAGTAGACTGGGTTGAAGCGCGGACTGTAAAGCATCTTGACAGTGCATCCTTGTCCGGCGTAGTCCAGCTCCTGGGATTCGCCGCTGCGGGTGCGGCTGCGGCGGCGAGGGCGACGGGCGAGGGCTGCCGTCGTGGGCTCGCGGCGCTGCCAATGATGCAGGCGATCGCAGGGATGACAGAAGTAAAGCTGCGGGAGGTCGTGCTCAAGGCGGGTCAAAAGGGCCAGGTTGACGGCGGAGCGGCGGGCGAGAGAGCGGTCGAAGAGGCGACTGTAGAGGGAGTGGCAGGTGAGGCCGAGGCAGAGACGGTCGGTAGGAGAGCAGAAGTCGAGGATGCAAAGGAGGATGTCGATCGGCACAAGCTCTAGAGGTGATCGGCGAGCTGCTGCCTCTTCATTATGACCATTGCCAGGTGAACGTAATAGGGACGATGATGGTTGACGATGCGGGTGACAGCCCACCGCATGCCGTAGGATGCCTCTCGGGGGTGCGGCCGAATGATCAGGGACGGAGACATTGGACTTCTTTTTGGCGTTCCTTCGCCGCCTTCCGCGGACTCTTCCTCTCAGGCTCTCGATGAAGCCCGCGATAGCAGCGCGCGGAGCCATAGTTGCGACGCGGAACTGACACGAGGGACAAAAGCGTCGAGCAGTCGCCCAAGTTTGCGCAATAACAAGCAGGAAAAGCCCTCTGGTAGGGTCCTGTTTCGTATGTTAACTCAAGTCATGGCAACATCGCTTCGAGAAAAGGGCATTATGTTTTCACGTCTTTGTTTCCTGAGCACGCCCTGTGATGATGATGGAAGAGAGCGGCTAGCTCAAGGGTTGTCTCGGCGCCGGCGCGAAGCCATCGCAAGCCACAGCCATCGCAGGTGCCGAGTCAAAGACGGCGACGAGTGGTTTGCTCTCTGCACCGGAGCCTTGGGTCACGCCCGTTTTTGTGTTTTGTTTTTCCAAGGTTGTGGCTCAGAGTGCCAGCCAGGTGAGGAAGGCATTCGGCTTGAGGAGCTTTGCGGTGGATGGTTACCTCGCTCGCGGTGAGGCACCAGGTACGTCGACTGACGTTGAGTTGAACTAGGCGTACAGAGACACAGGGTGTCTGCTTCTTCGCACGTCCGGACAATGCAAGGAATTGCCTGCTTGGCAGTCTTGTTTCGGAGTGTCTTCACGCTCCGTACGATGGCTGACGATGACGAGATCACAACGCCTGACAAGACCACGCCGGGCGCTGAACACCCAGATTGAGCAAACGCTGCAGACCTCTCCCGTCGAGTTATGACACTGTCAGCAAAATCTGCCGCCAGAGGTGATGATCACTGGTTTAGCAGAGCTCTTTCGGGCCTCAGGAGGCTTCGAGCGCGTGTGACTGCGATGGGACCAACGGCTCGCGCTTCCCACCCTGTGCATGGCGTTGAAGGTGTGTTTCCAGGACATGGTGTAGCCCAGTGACGAAGGGAAAGACTTAACCCCAGACAAAAGGCAAAAGTGATAAAGAACATTTGCCAAGAATTGCCCAGTGCCGTAGATTGAGTCACACCAAAAGACTCGAGTCCAGAAGCTTCGCGGAAGCTTGGCGGGCGGAGCTGGCGGGAAGGAGCGACGCTGCGTGTCAGTACTTCGTACTGTACGAGGTACTGTACGCCTCCTACTGGGTCGCGCCTTCTCGCCAGCCAGACCGAACTTGGACGATGGACTTTACTACACTAGATCCGCAGAATAGAAACGCTTCCCTATTGTCCCCTTCATCAAGAAGGAAGGTGGTTTGCAATGTTACATACATATATGCCGCTTCTGGACGCCGCGCGAGGTTATTAGAGACGAGTCGTTTTGCCAGGAGCGGCTTCTTCCGCCGTCACGCGCTGTCGATTCGCCGACGTTGGCCCAGGCCCCTTCGCGACTTTCTTGACAGGACGAACACCGAGAATCGCTGAGACCTGACGAGCGAAAGAAGCGAGACAGATGCGACCTGTCAGAACGGCGGTTCGAACCGATCAACGTCAAAGTTGCCAGAGTCGTCGAGTCACGCGGCAAGCACGCTGCCAGCCAGCCAGAAGAATCGTGTGTTCGTCGACTCCGAACGGTCGTATGCATGCACAAGTCGGCCCCTCTCGTTTCCATCCGTTCCATCATCCAGCCTATGCACCGCACCGACGGACAGGGTGCGACGGCCAGTGACGACTGGGTTCGGTCGTAGTGCGACACGTGCAGTTCCTGGGCCGTGGTGCGATGCGATGCCCCGGGCTGGCAAGCTGGCCGGGTCCGTGGCTTGATGCAGCCGCCCGCCGAGCAAAGGTTCCATCAGGGCCAACCAGATGTCAGCTTCCCCGGTCGCTCCGGCTCTCGGGGCTGCCAGCACCAAACGGGCAATTCGTAGCATCCAGTGACAGGCCATCGACGAACGGCCTCGGCCGTCCTGGCAAACCTTAGGGGGTGCTGGGCACAGAGGACCCAGAGCGACACCCGCCATGGCGCGACACGGTGAGGCTCCAGGGCACCCGCGGTCTATCTGTCATGCATCCGAAGCGAGCTGAGGCGGAACCAGTTGGCGCAACCGCTCGAACTACGCAGGGCAATTGTACCACGCGAGTTTGACCTCTTTGGTCTTGCCATCGACCCTGTGAAGCGTTCTCGGCGGTCATCTGCCCCGCCGACTACCCGCAGACATTTTTCTGAGGCGCAGACGAGATGGGCCCTTGGCAAAAACCTCATCGCTGGCTGCCCATGCGAATTCGGGGCCGCCGTCGCCAGACGCGACCAACTGCAGCCTCAGCCCGAGCAAGACGAGCGACTGCCGAAGGCGCCACTCCAATACCGACCAGGACTGCTGGTCCAGCTCGCCATGTTGAGGCCCAATGCGAGCGCGGCCCTGCCAACGATACCCCAGGTCGAGTCGGTCAATGTGCTGTTAGCGGGATGCCCTGCATGAATAATCACTACAGGTGTTGGCCCGAAGCCCGCGGGACCCTCCTGGTGCGTTCCGTCCCATAGTCCATGGATCTGTGCCGGAGCTCGGGGGTGGGAGGAAAAGGGGTCCCCTCAAGACGGGGCGGAGCAGCCAGGAGAGGACAAGGCGAGCATCAGTTGGCGTCCCGCTGGATCCGACAGCTTGGTCTTGAGCATTGACCACGACGAACGCACGAGGCCTTCGCGGGTGTTGAGGTCGATGACACGGGCCACGACCAGTGCATGTGCAAGCATGGACGGAATACAATACGTCACCACTTGGCGGACGACTTGGCGATGCAGTCTTGAATTTTGATGGCAGGGCAGACGCACACCAACAGCAATTTAGGCTGACGAACCCCCCGGGCCATGTCCGCCGGGGGAGGCTCATGCGTGGTCGGGTCTCGTCCGCTGTGGCGTCGCCGAAGCCTGCGGCAAAAAGTGGCATTGGCGGTCGGGCTTTGGACGTCGCCGACAGCGCGATGGAGACGTCTGACGTGCCACCAACAAAAAGGGACGGTTTGGGCGCTTGGGGCGCGCCGGCTCGGCCACCGGGTCGCGTGTGCTGCCCTCGGCCGGCATTTGTCGCCCACATGGCGGCGGCGACACGACGCAGACTGTGGATGAGTGGTCCCCCATTCCAGGATGGAAGTCCCCCGTCGGCCAGGACACGCACGACATCGAAGCGTGCGACCAACGTTTGCGGGCGTGGGTGACCGGCTCGGCCGAGCACACATAAGCATACTAGAATCTGATATCTGGCGCAGCCAACGGACAAAGGGCCGCGTTGCTGCCGAACGACGACGGGCAGCCATGCCACGGCCCTGATGCATATCGCGGGCGAAGGCGAGCAGAAGCAGGCTAGAACTGGCGGCGGCGAGCTCCACCATGATCGGACATGCGGACTTTGGCCTGGCATCAACCGCCGCAGGTGCCGTCTCACCCCCAACCCTCGTCGGCCACGCGGGTGGGCTGGACCGCCCGGGTTTTGCACGGCGCCCCGGTCCCCACGCTTCAGGTTCTGACGTTCCATTAGTTTGTTCGTTATCTGCTCCATGCTGCTGCCGTCAGTCGCCACGCTCACTCGCCCTCACCCTCACCCTCACCCTCGTCCTCACCACCTCAGACTCATCAGAGAGGCGCGCTCACCTGCACCCACCTCCACACTCACGCCCTCCACGCCCGTGCTGCCTTGCGCCGTCCTCGCTGCCGAACAAGCCTCAGCCACACCATCCTTCCCGTCCTAGCCTGCCCGGGCGCTCGACCCTCGTCCGGCTCACCCTCACCTCCTCCCACCAGACAGCTTCGGCACCGTCGGGCGAGAGCCGGCCTGGGCCCCATCGGCAGGCCGCCCATAGGCTGCGCTACCTTTGCTGGCTTGATTCCATCCGTCCATCCATCCATCCATCCTTCCCTTTCCTCACTCGCCCCGGCCATATCCTGTCCCTTCTCCTCTCCCTCTCCCCCCGGCTCCGGCTCCCGGCTCCAGCTCATATCTAGCCATCGTCGTCGTCCTCTTGTCCGCCCACCGAGTCGCGACCCGGCTGCCGTCGCTGCTGCAGCTGTCCCGCGACGCAACCTCTTGGCCTCCTGCTCACAACCTCTCGGCCGCTGCCGCCACTTCTGGACCCTTCCTCATGCATCTCTTCCGCTTCACCTCAGGTCGGTGTCTCGCATTCGCCTTCTCCGTACATGGATCCGCCGGCAGCCCGCGACGCTGATGGGCTACCGCTTCTCGCACCGGCCAACGCAAGTTCGAATGCGTCGGCCTCGCCCTCCGCCTCGCCTCCCCCCAAGCGCCGGCGCGCGGCTCCCGTCCTAGCCGACTGCTGTCGCACATGCCGGCTGCGAAAGGTGAGGTCTTGTCTGCCGGCCCGCCCGACCCCGTTCTCGTGCAACCCGCTCTCGCTAGACTTACTCAATCCATGTCTGAGGCGCCGGGTTGTCGGTTCAAAGTTTTGTCTGTGACACGGGCATGCGCCTTTGACAGCCCGGCCCACAGTGCTGCCGCGGCTGTCGTCACCGTCCACGCCGCATCCAAGTACCCATGGTCCGTATGCTGATGCTTGACAATCTGTCCTCAGGTCAAATGTTCCGGCAACCCAGGCAACGGGCCATGCACAAATTGTGCGAGACTTGAATTGGCCTGCAGCTTCACTATCGACGAGGACGAGGAAGCCGCTGGTGAGACCACTATGAATCCCATTTAATGTCCACAGGGCACGTCTGACCCGGCCAGCAGTCTCTAGAACTACACCTTCGCATAGCCACACGGAGGCCGGCACATTAAGGAAAAGGGCCCAGCGAGCCTGTAGCCAATGTCACTCTCACAAGACCAAATGCTCGGGTGACCTGCCTCGTTGCAAGAGGTGCGAGGCCAGCAACCTCAACTGCGAGTACACTCCAGCCAAGAGGAGGTTCACCAACGTCCGCTTTCAAAATGCACCAAAGTCGTCCGAAGTCCACTCTTCTGCGCCCAGCAAGTCGCCAGACGACACAGCCAGTCCACTACCTAGCACGGGCAATTCAGCCGGCGCATTCAACCTCCTCGTGGAACAGTCTCCTTTGAACGCAGAGTATGTCGTCACGGTACCGCCATTTGCGATACGCTTTCGCTGACTCTGCGCTTGTCTAGGGACCTGTTAGCCCGCAAGAACCTGATACTCCGCCATGTGGATGCTTTCATGCACAACCTGTATTGGCTTCCCTGCCAGGGGTATTTCCACCCCAAGACGCTGTACCGGGAAATCGAGGTTGGCTGCCCGCGAATGTTGTCTTGCTTCTGCTGACTCGTCTTTAGGCAGGAACGCTCGATCCAGCTCAGGCGGCTTCGATATGTGCTCTTGCGAGCTTCTTTGTGAACCCGACCGAGAGTGGCCGCGAATTCGGCCTCAAATGCAGCAACCACGTCGAGTTGTACCTTTTCCATAACGTTCACAAGTTCTCCGACGAGTCGCTCATCATATTTGCTCTCAACATCACCTTCAATTGCGTTCAAGGCTCATTTGCCAAGGTCTGGCAATGTTTCGGGATAGCGACCCGACTAATGCTGGGTTTGCGCATCAACTGGGACGTCGTACCGCCTGGCCGAACATTCATTCAGCAGGAGTGCCTTCGACGGATAGGCTGGCATTTCTTCCACGTGGATCGCCTACTTGCTGGAGGATACGAGGAGTACATCTCTTGTCGGGCAGACATCATGAAAATACCTCTGCCCTGCGACGAGACGGCATTCAGGGAGAACCGACCGGTGGTGGCGGAGAAGCTCTACGACAAGCCAAGCCGACCGCCCAGAACTATCAACATGCATGCGTTCCAAATTCGCCTCATCGACCTGCGGCATCGGATCCAGGTGTAAGTGACCAAGGGGATCCGAGATTTGGTACGAGAAGCTAACGGCGAGCAGAACCACCAAGAGGCTCTGCTCTGCATCAGGCGCAAACTTTTCACATATTGATGCGTCCAAGATCATGGCTGATATCAACGGGCTGCAAAACGAACTTACACGCTTCCACGCGTCCCTGCCTACCGATATTCTGCTCAGTGATCAGAGCATCTCACGCTACATGGCTATGGAAGAACGCCCAGGTTACGTCTTTCTCCACTGCCACCTTGCCGGAAGCCACATCGACTTGTACCGATATTTCCTGCCAGGTCAGAAGGAGAAGATCCCGGTCGAAATTCTGCGCAAGCTTCCGCCAGAGTTCATCGCCCGCTCCCAGAAGCAGGCTGTGGCGCACTCCATGTCCTTTGGCCGGTTCTGCGACGCTATCCAGAACGAGGTGGACCAGATGAGAGATACGGGCAGGCTCGAGCTGGCGGGTGACTGCTCTACAATCCAAATAGGGACGAGTTGCGTGCGCGTGCTTCTGATAGCCCTGCAGCATCAACTCTACCGCGATATCACCCGAGAGACAACTGCGCCGTTGTGGAGGATGGGTGATGTCGACGAGGCGCACATACGCTTCCTCATCAAGGCGGTACAGCGTATGACCGAGCCTTGGCGAGATATCTTGACGATAGCTCAGCAGGCGGTAAGATCCTTTCCATAAGCCAAGCCCTCTCTCAATACCCACAAACCGCGGTGCTGACCTCGACTCCAGTATGAACACAACAAGGCCCTCGTCGAGCACTATGACAAAACCAAGAAGGTCAGCGATGGACTGTCACCGGACAGGACGTTTCAGTTGCGAGCAAATGGCGACGGACGTCTCCCTGGTCCAGACTTCCTTCTCGAAAGCGTCGCTGCAGGCACCCTGGACGACCTTCCGACAAACGTGGCAACGGACACGCAGGGCTCTGACAGGTGGCTTCGATCATCACAGCCGCACAACGGCGGATCGTCCAACAGCTCAAACTCACCCTCTGGAGGATTTGTCATTGAGCCTGGGACACCTGGCATTCCCATACTTCTCGCTCAGGCGCGAAGCGCTTCGATGGACCCGTCGGAGATGTGCGGCCCGGACACCGATACTAGCATGGTAGGCATGGGGTCTGTAACCGACGCCCTTCCGAACGGCCATCCGATGGCACCACCGAACGGGCTGTCCATGATGCCCATGAACGGCGGCATCGATCCAGCCATGTATCAGCAGGCACAGGGGGTGCCTGGCGCAGCCTTCATGATGGCGCCGCAGGGCGTGTTCATGGACGGATACGGAGGCCAGTACATGAACGGCCAGCAAGGGCCCCCGAGCTACGGCCATCAAGGGTATGGCTAGCTCGAGGGGGCAGAGTATTTATTTGTATGAGGGAACGATTGACCATGTATATCATGTACGACGGGGCGCGACTGCCCCCGCGAGACGAGCATTTTGTGGATGTCAAACATCAAGCTAAAAGCAACGCGTGGCGCACATGGGTTGGAGTCGCTTGTCCTTTTTTTTTTGTACGTAGCAACTCGAAGGCACGACACAGGGGCGAATACACGTCGCTATGGAGCGTTTTGCGGAAACTCTGGGCCCTCTTTAGGCGAAACGTATGTGTGCTTCTGTGCTACTGAGGCTGCTTGCCTTATTGTTGTGTTACGAGCAAACAAGCAATGTTGGGAGATGGCTCGCTGGCGTCAACTCCGTGTATGATGTTACAACCAGGGAGAATGAACGTGTCGAAGGCCGTAGGACGCATGGTGCAGTGAAGCGATGCAACCTCGGCCGACGCCGGGCAGTTTGCTGCACGACCAGGCATACTAACGTTATGGAGGTTTCAAGACATACGTCACGACTCAAGAAACGGATATTCCAGTACAAGGTCCGTGGGCAAGAGTTTCCTCGTATAATTATACACTATCGAATATACAACTATACCACACAGGGGGCAGTCCGCGGCGCGGTCCCGTCCTGGTTGCGGCGGCGGGGCCTGCGTATGTACTTGTCGTCTTGCATCCTGTGCCACTGTCCTGGCCGCCTCGAGTCGCCGCCTGAGCAGCCTCTACCATGCCACGGCCCCATGTAATCGCCAGAACGCCCCTCGCACGCGGTGGGAGATGGCACCAGACTCGCACTTTGTCGTGGCAGTGCGCAGTAATCGGACGGTAACATGTCGGGTACGCATGATTTGCTTGCGAAGTTTTTTTTGCTGTTGTTGTCGTTCATCCAAGTCTGAGAAAATGAGAAAATAAGAGAGCGGAAGTTCCAAACTACACGCTGGGACAGGCTGAAACCGAGACCGAAGGAATAGACATTGGCAGCCGTCGGCAGAATGCTCATTGCCCTGGATACGGGGTAACCAAGGTAGAGCATGCCGTTGGACGCCCCGTCCTGCCGTCGGCGATGCGAAAACGTGACATCGGCATGTCGAGAACGTAATGGCTGAAAATGCGAGAATGGTCGTCTCATTGGAAAAGGCTGCGGTCCTTCTCTTTCAGCCCTCCGATCTGGTCCATGTCGATGGACTGGAACTGCCCCTTGGCCTCCTTTTCGTACGCTGGCAACTGCTCCTCGTGCATCGGCTCAAGACCAACCGTGGCGTTGTCGCCAACACGGACGACAAGCACGCGACCTGTCCTGGAGCGGCCCTGGTCGTCCTGCTCATCGGGGAAGGTGATGTGGATCTCGGGCACGTTGTCAGGAGAGTGCGGCGGAGAGTTGGGGTTCTGCAGCATTGGCTGGCCGTCGCGGCCGATATAGAGGATGCTCGAGCGTCCGTTGTGGGACGTTTCGATCGTCAACCCGCGGTGGTTCGACGTCTGCTTGGTCTCGTTCTGAGCGGCCAGGTTCTGCATGCGCTGGCGCATGATGCGGCGGCGGCGCTGGAAAAGGAAGAGAAGAGAAGCGAGGATGAGGGCCAGAAAGACGAGGCCGAGGATGATGAGCAGGAGGTTGATCATGTTGTCGGGGCCATCGTCGCCATCGGAGCGGCGAGTGATCTCGCGAAACGAAGGGACGAAGAGGCGGTCGGACCCGGGCAGGACGTGAGGCTTCCAGGGCTTTGCAACCGTGTCGGCGCGGCGAGAGAGAATGGAGTCACCCTCAGCGGAGGGGCTCAGTAGGGAGTGACGCAGAAAATTGGTGGGAGCCATGTCTGGTCACGACGTAAGGAGCGAAGGGAGCGGCGGCGTCGTAGTCGATAATAAATGAAGGGAACCGGTCGGTGTCTACCGTCGTCAATGGTCTCGTTAGCGGTGCTTGCAAGCGGGCAGCTGTCACGCATTGTCGAACATGTCATTCACAGGCAGGCCGACTATTGTGCGCCTCGTCTCAGTCCCACGAGGTGGGGTGAGCTATTGTGCGCGCTGTTGTGCCTCGGCAGTGTTGAGGGAAAGCTGGGTGCAATGCAATATGCGTTTATGCGCGTTTGGCATACCAGTGACCTGAAGGGTGCGTACAGGAGGCAAGGAGAGCGAGGAGGGTAGACTCACACCGCGCGCAATACTATCAAAAGCTGGCTCGGGATTGTTACGCACGCATAACAATGGCAAGCGGCGAGCCTCCTTGACAATGGATTGTGTCTGCGACCTAGGCGGTGCGACGGGGAAGGACTGGACGGATGCCGGCTGAAGGAATGAAGCCGGACGATCCTGGGTAAGGGAGTGAGTCGGATGGGCGGGGCCCGAGTATAGTCGTAGAGAGCGGCGTGGGGAGGAGCAACAAATGAATGAATGACGAGAGGATGCAGCGACGCGTCCTCGAGGTTGGCGAACCAAGCAACAGCAACGGCCTGGCGATGGTGTTGATGAAGGAGAAAACGGCAACAAACAACAGGCAGGGCAAGAAAAGCAAAGCAAATGGAGCCAGGCCAGGAGAGAGGAGGCGGCGGTGGAAGAGGCGATGGATGGTGGCCTGCCCTGCCCTGGGAAATGAAATGAGCACCAGCCCGCCTGCGAACGGGGCGGTGCAGGGGCCGCTGCCAGGCGCCCATTGGCCGCGGCGCAGGCGTTTCGACGGCAGGGGGCCAATCACGACCCGCCGGGCGCGGGCGCTAACGGAGCTCCAGCAGGCCACGGCCCTATCAGTGTCGCTGTGCCCCTGGCTAGAGGGCACTCGGGCCTCTGCGGAGGAGTGGGGGGCCACTAAAACGCACATCTGCCCACCCTGGATGGCCCTGGATGGCTGCGCGTCCACCTGGCAGGCATGGCGGCGGGCTTGGCCCGTTGCATGAAGAACGTCGGGAAAAGCATGGAGGATTTGCGAGCGGCAACGTCCATGCAACGTCCATCCACGAGTCTTGCGCTTGACTTTGGGTTCTCACGGCTCGGGCCTGGTCTCAATAACGGGTCGGTTATAAAACTGGCTTTCCCCCGCCCGTATCGCCTTGTCCAAGCGTGCGAGCAGGCAGCATGGTATTCGCCGAGTTGGCGCCCGCTGACTCTGCAGACCTGAACCTCCATTCTCCTGGCCATTGCAGTACTTACATATGGTCAACAGGCGCGAGCAAGTCCTTGACAAGGCGTGCTCGCTGTCCAAGGCCTCGCAGGAGCGCCCGGCCAGTCCGTGTCGTGGTGTCAGTGACGTGCGAACCATATTGCCCAACCCCGCCTGATCGTCATGACCGCCCACGCCGATGGTGCAGTTCTGCGACGAAATCCATCTCGGCGCCTACCTTATAAAGTTGCGGTACGTAGGTAGTCAGCGCTCGAGTACTCAAGGTATACACAAGCATTCGGTACAGTATCTGGCTCGATGGTGGTAGCCGGTACGTACATCGGTTAGTTGCGAGGTCGTCAGGTGCCACGAGCGGTCAGATCGCAATGGCAGCCGATGTTGCCTACCCGGAAGTGACTCCATGGCTTCATCATCTTCGCACCAACTCCCGCCAACAGCGCGTCGACCTCCTTCAAAGCCCTCCATGGGAGTCTCCCTTGTCCCGCGGCCGACGCCATATCGCGTCACGAGCCGCCAGCGGACGGCCCCTATTTATTTCTAGTTCAACATCATAGGGCCCCTGGGTGCCGCCTCTCGGCGTCGAGCCGGGGCCACCGCAACGCAACCCACGTCCACATCGATCACACCACCATGACAGAGTCACATCCAGTTCGACCCAGCAAGCACTCGGCCACAACCGAATTTGCGGTCACATGCGCTGCAACACGAACACCCCACACCAGAGTCGCAACCGCGACGGCTCCGCCCCTGGCCAAAGCCCTTCGTCCTGCACATCGGTCAACCGGCCTGTCTCGGGCCTCTCTGCAGTTGCGAGCATCTCGCAGTATTACCATGTCACGAGCCGCCCGATGGCAGACGCGCAAGGCACTCGTCGTGAATTGCAGTGGCAATTGTTACTCCACGGCTTGCCATGTCCCCGCTCGTGGCACAGGCGGCGAATTGCCCAGGCGAGGCATACGAACCTTCCCGTGGCCGATTTCCCAAAAGCGGTCTGCCTTGTTGTATGTCACCACGTTGACATTGCGAGACGTCAGGCCGGCTGATCAGGATGGCGACGCAACCTGGAAGCCCGACGGTTGGCTAGCCTCATCGAACACGGCGACACGGCGATAGTCTACCGGGACATCCGGGGCAGAGCAACCGGGTTCTCCTGCCACTGACCCAACGTGCCATCGTACGAACATTCACCTGATCCTCTAGTATACTTCCACGAAGGTGGCCCCGTGTTGGGGACAGAACGAGGCTTCTGCACGATGACACCCGCTGCGTGCTATGCGTCCGTGCATGGCCACGTTGATAATTCGCCTGCAGCAGGACAGCAAGCTATGCAAAGGTCTCGTGAGTCGGATGGGATCGAAGACTTGGCCAGCCGTGCGAGTGGGAGCACAATGTCGCCAACTCACCGACGAGCACACTGCCAAACTCTGCCTGACCACTTATTGCTGGGTGCAAAGTGTGACTGTGAGTATCACGGATGGGCATGGGTGTGGGATGTGAGATGTGTCTTGTCGAAATGTCTACCGCAAGTGCGGGCAAATACAGAATGCCCTTGTTGCATTCCAAACCGGCACTCACCTCGACACGGCACACGCTCATTGCTAGGACAAGGGTCTCCGAGCTGCGTTCCTCGGAGCGGATGGCCCAGCCTGCAACTCGGCCTGTCAGGAACAGCCCAGACATGCGGGATCCCCAGGCGCGGGATGTTGCGCTGGGGGACCGTCCCGTCGGGTGGTTGTGGGCTCGGCGTGGGCTTGGAGACCAACTCGCTTCCAGAGATGGAACATTGGGCTCAAGCACACCCTTAGCCTGAGCCGTTAAAGGCTCGGGCAGAGTCCCATGGTTCCACAGAGGTTGACCGAGAGCATCAACATGGTGCCGTAGACTCACTGGCTCTGGCAGCCGACTCGCAGAACCGTGGCAAACGGTGATACACAAGCAGGAGGGACGCGGAAGGGAACGACTACACAAGGAGGTGTATCGTCGACTATCGAGGACGGAGTGGACCTGGTCATTGCACGGGAGCTCGCGAGGGCGAGGGAACGGCGACAGATAAATGCACCGAGAGACGGGCCAGGGCGAGAGGACGCGATGGGCCGCCCTTCGCTTGTCTCTTACAGCGTAACGTGGGGAAGGAGGTGGAGAGTGAGACAGGCGAAGAAAGAGGACGTTGTGTGGACGCGGGCGAGGTCGCACGCGTGCCATGCCATCTGGCCCTGCGAAGGAGCACCCCTGCGAAGGCTTCGCGGCGCTCGTAGGTACGGTGCGGTTGCCATTGGGTGACTCTGTGTAGTCTGCCAACGGCATGCTGGGGGACGAGGACGTTTGACGGATGGCGAGCCGCCTGGGCTGGGGGCCGGGCTCGACGCCAGGTGACGCCAATTCGGGCTGGGGGCGGCTCCGTCTTGACAAATTTACGTTTACTCGTACGTTGTGCCGGCCGGGCGATTCGAGGGCTCGACGGCCGTACGTACGACGTACGCAAATGTACATGGAAATGCCCTGATGGTCGGTGGGCACGTCGTCCCAGGCTGGTGGGAGGCGGCCCCTGCCTGCGCGCTTCTGCAGGGTCGACTCGACTCAGGGCCATGGAGTCAACGGCGTCTCTTGGACTCTCTCTCTACATTGGGTCTGGCGCCCAAGGGCGGGCGAGCGAGCGGGTGTGCAGAGGGGAGATTGGGGCGACGGCGCTGGAATTCTGCCCCCTTGGGGTCCGCGACCCACGGCCCCGGTGCGTTTCTGTCTCGACGACGACGACGCGCCCCAGCGACGAAGGAAGCGACGAGGCCACGGGCGGGCAATCCAGTCGAGGGGGCTGCCGAGATGCGTTGTGGCCTCCGTTCCTCGGATGCCGCCATTCGGTCCGTCGCCATCGTTGTAGCGAGGCGAGCGCGCACACGACCATGTACGAAGTACGTACGTCCTTACGTACAAGTAGGAAGGGTGCTCGCACGAAGCACTTGTGTGTTTGACTTGGGCTTTGGCGCCGAGCAGCACCGGTGAGCCGTGAGTCGTGCGGGTGCCTGGTCGCACGGGGTGCGCGCGCCAAGGCGAGATTTGCCGCTCTGCACCCTTTGGAGTTCTGGCTGTACCGCCGTGTTGGATCTGGCCCATGGCATGGTCGTGTGCGATGCCTCGACGCGATGATGGGACGGGTTGCGGATGGGTGGCCGATTCGGGAGGCGATGGCCTCGAGGGGGGTCGACGGGTGTCTCTGGGGGCCATGCAAGACGACAATCGCCTCTTCCTCGGCCGCCCTCCGTTCCTACTCCAACGGGCGGGAGCCCCCATCCCATCCCATCCCATCGCCTCCCGTGCGGTCCCCATCCATCCCGTGAGCCGCAGCTCAGTAGCGTCGTGGTTGACGAACGGGCGTCGGCTCCCTTGCCTGGCCCTCGTCGTCCAACTGCCCCCTCGTGGCACCCTTGCGCTGTTCTGTGCGACGGCGGACAGACGGCGGGCGATTGAGCAAGCAGCGCAGAGCAGCAGAGGCAGGAAAGCAGCCAAGGACGCAAGCAGGCAAGCCCAGCATGCCAGGCGATGCATCGCAGCACAGGTGTGTGCTGCTGCATTCGAGCGGCCGTGGAAGGGGCAGAAACCTGTCACCGTCAAGTCACTGGACGGGCGCGGGCAGCGTCCAAGCTCACACGAGCGCATCTCGCACCTGCCGGGGCTCCTGTTAAATAGGTGATGCAGCGGCGCGACCGTCAAAAAGAATCGAGTCGTCCGTCTCGTCCTCCTCTGCGCCTTGCTTGTCCTGCCATTCCAACGCTCGCCAACTTCACCTCTTTTCCCTTTCCTTTTCTCCCTCCATCTTCAGATTACCTATTTTTTCTTCGCCTCGCTCTGGCCATAGTAATCCATCCGTATGCCTGGCGGCGACATCGGCGGCCGGTGCTAGCGCTCTCATCTCTCTCTCTTGCTCACACTCTCTCTCCCTTGGCCTCCCTTCCTGTGGGCTTTATTTGATTTCCAGAGGCGAGAGGGCGGCCCAGCGGCCCTTCTTCTACTTGTCTCGGGCGTCATTCCTCACGCGCATTACCGCATTACCCCTGGTCCGCCGGCCTCTCGTTTCGACAGCGGCTCCTCCAGGCACATTCCCGAAGGCGAACAGAGGGGAGGACGGTGCAAGCAAAGGGAAACGGCGCATCGTACGCCTGGCTGGCTGTTTGTTGGCCCTCCCCCCTCGGAGGACGGCTGCACCCCCCCTTCGTGCTTGTCGCCGTTTACTACTTCTACCGCATCCCGGCGCCTCGCCTTCTCTTCCTCTTCTCTCTCCGGAGACCCCCCTTCACACATACTCGTGGACATAGATGTGTCTTTTGTTGCTGCTGCTGCTACCGATTTGTTTCTTTTTCTGCCCCTCGGTTTAACTCTGCGCCGAGCTCGACAGCCACGACGGCCACCACTGTCCCCTCACATACAAGAAAGATCCCAGTACAGTACAATCGGCCGCCCGTCGAGGAATCGCGAGGACGAGGACAAGGCAAGGAACACACGCCGCAAAACACACACAAGAAAAAAGGAAAGAAAAAAAAAAAATCAATCGAAGACGACCAGGCTGTACATGTCGTCGGATAATTCACGTACTTAATCGCACCGGCTCGAGGTCAATCCACCATACGCAGTCGTCCAACTACGCTACAAACCGCCCCGTTCCGCCCACTTGTCCGTCCAAAGTCAAACAAGCACCTTGAACCGCAACGACCTCTCGCATCTGCATCAGAGACTTTCACCTGCGCTCTTCCTTGTCACCACCACCGATACTCTGCCTCGATAACACGGCAATCGCCTACGTCGAAAGGTGCCATAGCTTCCGTGTGCGTCGGGAGCTTTGACTGCCTCAGATCCTGGTGAGTAGCACTTCGAGCCAACACCAACTGGCCACCTTTTTTTTCCTCCTTCCTCCCCCCCGTCTTCACGCGCTCGCCCAGGCGCGGCTGCGTCGAATCTGCCCCGTGCCATTCACCGTTCACGGTTGGAACCAACCCTCCCCCCTCGGCCGCGCCCCCCCCTTGTTGGCGCGCCGTCCCCTCGGTTGTTAGGGCCATCAGCCTTACCAGCGCAAGGCGGCGTGGCTGTGGGACCGTGGCCAGGGCCGTCCTTGGGCCGCCTCCGCAATCCTGGGCTCTGCCGTGGCGACGGCGGCCGATTTCCTTGTGATCCCTGTTGGGTGGCTGGCCGCTCGCCGCCGACGAGGTGTTGGTCGTGTCGTGTCGTTTATGCTTACGACGGAACTGACTCTTTGTGTGTGTGTGCGCAGGCTCAGACTCAGGCTCCTCGCTCGCTCGCTCGCTTCCGCCGCTGGACCAAAGCCAGTTCTGTGCTCGTCTGCCCAGTCTGCTCCACCGGGTCGGACGAACAACGCAACGAGAAGCGCCCCGTCGAGCCCCCCTCGACGACATCCACTCCCGACGGAGACGCAGCGAAGAGACAGACAGCATTGAGAGGCGTGGTGCTACGTGCGTGCGTGCGTACCAGTACAGTACCGTCGAGCACGACGCAGCACAGTAGTACACTTTGCTGCATCTCCTCCTCATCCTTCTCCTCCCCGACAACCAAGAAGAAACAGACCGACCGGACCCCACTGCCCGCCGGCAAACACTTTTAAGCTCGACATCAAGTGGCGCGTGCCGTGCCATTTTGGTTTCACAGGGAGTCTGAAGTTTATGGGCCGCGTCTGCCTGCTCTGCAGCATAAAGTTTTAGGCCCCGAGGCGCGCGCGCAACCGCTTAAGCAGACATCTGCGTCGAAAAACTCTCCCTCGCGCTGCCCCGTCAGGTCCCTATTTATTGCCATGGCTGTTCAAGTAAGTCCCGTTCTTCTCGTTGCTGTCTCGCCCACGCCAAGGTTTTCTTTCTCCTCCCCCGCTGCGTTGTCCTGCTCGTCCTCTTGCGCTCGCTCCTTACGACACTCTTCCTCGCTCCCGGATCGAACCGCGCTCGCCCGCTGCCCGACTGCGCATCGGCATCGTCACGCTCGTCGGCTCGCTCTTCTCGCTGCATTGGGTCACGACGTCAGAGGGGCTCGTGTCTCAAGGCGTCGCACGAGACTAGGGAGGCCTTGACCCACCAGCCCTCACCCACCAGCACCAGGGCCGCCACCACCCACTGCAGGCAGGCAGCCCAGGGCACCCACCCACCGCAGCCGCTGCGGCACACCCACCACACCCGCCGTCTTCCACCTCATCCGCCGCACGTCGCCCCCATGCGCACGCAGCCGCCTGGGCCCATTCAGCGCCCGCACCAGGGCCCCAGAGCACCCCCAGCGGACGGATACCAGGTACCTCAGGCGGACCCTGCCCTCTGTCCTCTGCCCTCCCCCCCTCACACTCCCAGCGATGCCTGCCCACCGCAGCGCGCACCTCAGTCTCAGTCTCAGTTTCAGTGCCTCTGCCGCTGCCTCTGCCGCTGCCAGTGCCACTCCCTTCCTCCCGTCCCGCCCAGCCCAGCCCAGCCCATTCCAGCCAGCCAGCCAGCCAGCCAGCGCCCAGCGGCAGCCACTGCCAGCAGGCGAGCTGGGGGCCCAGACCTCCACCGCAACCACTAAACACCACTACACCACCACTCACCTCCACACGCAACCGCATCGTCCGACCTTGGTTTTCTTACCACCCCTTCGGGACGCCCAGTTTCGTCCTTCACCACCTCGCATTCTTCTCTCTCTTCGTCTCCCCTCCGCCGCCCCTCGCTAACCATTATTGCTCTGCCCGTTTCTAGACGCGATCGAGGGGCTTTCCAAACCTCAACATGCCCCCCGGGTCCGGCGACAAGCGTGACCAGCCAATGGGCTCTGGTGGCTTCTCTGGCTCCAACCTCTACGCCAACAGCGCCATCTGGAACGCTTCCTTTCAGGGCGCCCGCGAGCGATTCATCAGCAGCCAAGGTTCGTCGCCATCGCCCCTGACCCCTCGACGTATGCCCATCGTGGCACGCCCGGCGGCCAGCTGACTCTCTGTGCAGAACCCGTCGAGAACCAAGCCGCCGGCTCCAGCGCCCTCAATGCCAACTCCGAGGCAGATGTCTGGCCCGGCGCTGCCCCGAACCCATGGGGCACGAACTCCAGCAACGACCGACCCGGCCGCTCCGTCAGCACCTCCCCTAGCCGAACCCGAGATGGAGCCATGCCCAACGGCTCCAGCTACTTCGATGCGCATAATCCGGTGACGAGCCGCGGCACCTTTGGCAGACCTGATGAGCACAAGATCTATGCTACCTCCCTTGCTTCTATCCTCTCTTCCTCGCGACAATCCCAAGGCTCTCCGGTCTTCCAGGATCACTATCGCCCCGGGCACACCCCGAGCAACTCGATCCACTCCCAGCGCCAGATGTCGAACCACACGACGTCCTACTCCACCCAGAGCGCGAACCAGCGCGCGTTCAACATGAACAAGCAGATCGAGGAGGACGTTTCGGCTCAGTTCAGCCGGAGACTGGCGCTGGAGAGCTCCAATGGCACCTCGTCCTATGCCCAGAGCCAGCAGGCATTCCAGCTGAACCCTGGCTCGCAGCCATGGACCGCCGACGGCCCCAGTACTCGATTTGGCGGTTTGGACACGACCGCATCGGACGCTCTCGCCGCTCACTATGCGTCGTCCTCGAAGCGGCCCTCTGTCGACAGGATTTCTCCGGCCCCTAGCTATCGCCTCGAGTCCAACAACAGCCCGCGGTCGTACCAGCCGAGCCCAGAGGCTTGGTCCAGCAGATCTTCTCGAGACCCGAGAATCGCAGAGCTCGAGCGCCGCACTCCGGCACAGCAGTTCCCCGCCGGCTTTCATCCCCAGTACTTTCCGAACCCGTACGCGCCCTACGTCCACCTACCGCCCGCCCAGTTCCAGCAGGGCTTCATCGACCCCTATAGCCAGACCTTCCGACACCATCCGTTGATGGCTGGATATGGGCTTGCCACGATGCCGGCGCCGTACGGTCTGGGCTCGGGTCTACCCCCGGTCAGACCTTCCCGAGAGCAGGACGCGGGCAAGGGCATGCGCAGCGCACTGCTGGACGAGTTCCGCGTCAGCAACAAGTCCAGCAAGCGGTTCGAGCTCAAGGACATCTACCATCATGTTGTCGAGTTCAGCGGCGACCAGCACGGCTCCAGGTTTATCCAGCTGAAGCTGGAGTCAGCCAACAGCGACGAGAAGGAGCAGGTCTTCCGCGAGATCGAGCCCAACGCCATCCAGCTGATGAAGGACGTGTTCGGAAACTACGTGGTCCAGAAGTTCTTCGAGCACGGTAACCAAGTTCAGAAGAAGGTTCTAGCGGAGAAGATGAAGGGCAAAGTCATCGACCTTTCGGTGCAAGTCTATGCGTGCCGAGTGGTCCAAAAGGCAATGGAGCACGTGCTGGTCGAGCAGCAGGCCGAGCTGACTCGGGAGCTCGAGCCCGAGATCTTGAGGGTCATCCGAGACCAGAACGGCAACCACGTCGTTCAAAAGATCATCGAGACCCTGCCGCGGCAATACATCGATTTCATCATGAACGCGCTCCGAGGTCAGGTGCCTAGCCTTGCCGCCCACACCTATGGCTGCCGGGTCATCCAGCGGATGTTGGAGCACGGCACAGAGGCGGACAAGGCGGAGATTATGGTTGAGCTGCACGCGTCTGCGCACATGCTGATTACGGATCAGTTCGGCAACTACGTGGCGCAGCACGTCATCGAGAAGGGCAAGCCCGAGGACAGCAAGAAGATGGTTGAGCTCGTCATGAACCAGCTGCTTACGCTGTCCAAGCACAAGTTTGCGTCCAATGTTGTCGAGACATGCATCCAGTATGGGACTGCGGAGCAGCGGACGCGCATCCGAGAGCAGTTCATGACGGTCGGCAGCGACGGGACAAGCCCGTTGGGGCAGATTATGCGCGACCAGTACGGCAACTACGTTATTCGTAAGTGACCAAAGCCCCTTGGGCGCCGAGGAAGAGGACTCTGGCTAACTGTGGCAGAAAAACTCCTGTGTCAACTTGAGGGTGCGGAGCGTGAGGCGCTTGTCGAGGTTATCAGGCCGCAATTCTTCAGCATCAAGAAGGCCAACCCGTCTCGCCAGGTCCAGGCTCTGGAGAAGATGCTTGGCCTCGGACCGGGGGGCGAGGGTGCCAAAGCCGATGCCGCCCTGACGCAGTCCGACAACGCATCCCAGGCCGACGCAACAGGCGCGGACTCGGCCGCGGCCACGCCGGCCTTGACCAACGAGGGCGTCAGCCCGCAGAGCAGCAGCCCTCCGAGCACGCACGTGAGTGCCGACGGCATCTCGACAGACCAAGGGTCCAAGACGCTGTCCGAGCAGGTGCCTCAAGGGTCCCACCTCGGGGTTCGAGAGCCGGACGCGTGAGGACCATGTGCGGACCCGACGGTTCCCTTCTCGAAAAGTGTATTATGACGACTACCACGGACGCGGCCGGCGACCTAGATTTGCACATTGTCGGGCGCGATGGGGCCTGGCAGGAAGCAAGCACTTATAGATAATGTCCTCGCACTGAGACGGTACAATTTCGCAGCAACACATTTACGGCATCCTCGTACGACTTTCTAATATCCGGCCTGGGTGGAGGGAACGGGTTGACAGAGCCCAGCCTCCCTCGGACGACGCTGCACGACATATCACGGCGATTCGGCGGAGGGAAGGGGAAGGAGGATCTCAACGCGGGCGTGTCGAGATCCCCGGGATAGCAGCTGGGGCTTATTGCCGCTCTTTTATTCTCGTCACGATATTCTATCTGGGAAAACGAAGCACAAAACGGGGGGCCGTCGGGAAACGAGGCTCGAATCCATCATGTCTTTTTGTCGAATTGGTGTTTACTCGGATTTATTGCGTTTGTCACATGGGGTCTATCTTGAGGGTTCTCCTTGCACGCTTGGGTGGGTTTGGGTGACGCGCTGCAGACGTTGCGCACGGGACGGACGATCAAGGTTTATTTAGGGGGGGACCAGGAAAGCGCGGGATTCATGGATTCGGTGTACTCTATCAGCGGGATCGGAAACAAGCTGCCTCGGGATGCCCTACAGGCAGCGTAGAATGACGTTGGAACAGGGCCTTCTTGGACTTGCGTGTGTGTGCGTGTGCGTGTGCGTGGGCGTGGGCGTGGGCGAGTTGGAGGTGAGAGAGGCGAGGAGGCTGTCCGTCGTGACTCGTAGAGGGCCGTCAGCTGTTGTTGTTTGGCTTGGGTACGTATGGCTGTATATGAAGCCCGCACCTGCTTGGCCTGTACGAGCCGTCGGGCGTTGTCGACATGGACCGTGATAAATCTGGGCCCAACTGCCGAGCGGCAGATTGACAGCAGATTCGGCGCCGTTTGAGCGGGCCCGTCGTCGTGCATTGCAGGGCACCAAGGTTACCTTCAGTGCGACGTGTCCGCGGCAAAATGTCGGTAGCGCCCCGGGGCGGTCAATGGCCTGCCCCACGCCCACCTCATCACACCTTTAGCATCCACGCGCGCCGCGGGACAGCGAGCTTCGGGCGTTACAGCAGGGGCCCGGCCCCTCCAGGGCCCGCGGGCTGCTGCGACATCGCAGCTCGTCGATTGGACGCGCCCGCCCTGTAGCTGGGCATTTCACACCCGACGCTACCCTCGGGAGGCGGCGTCGCGAGAACCCAGTACGTAACGAAATAAAGCTCTCCTGTCCGCGTCTCCGCCACGTTTCTTGCTTTAACCACCACGTACGGCATTGTGCGAGCCCCCTTCCGTATCTTTCCTTTCGATCCTTTAAAACCAACTGGTGTGTTCTTAACTATCGGCCGCCTGACCTGTGGCCTGCGCCGATACAGTTCCTTCTTTCTCTCTTGTGGCCCCGAAACAGTCTTGCGACGGACCGAACGAACGAACGGTGTGACCCGCAACGCGCAACGGCGACGGATAAAACGGAGCTCTGTTGCTGGCGGTCTGTTCGGCGGGCTGCTCCATGACGCTGCTGCGCTTGCGACGATCCCGATAGCGCCAGCGACGTCACGACACGACCAAGGCACACCGACTGACCGACGACAACGACGTGCGATGGCGGGTGCGAGACCGCTCCTATTTCTGTACCCACAGCTGCTGCGGGCGGCTGCCCGGTCGCCGTACTCGTCGGCGACGGGACCGCGGACCTGGGACGCCGCGACCGCGGCTGCGACGGCGCGCGCCGGCAGGGCCAAGAGCTCGTTCGCGCCGCGGCACGGCAAGGGCGTGGAGCCGGCCGCCTGGGAGCAGAAGCAAAAGGGCGCGCAGGAGCTGGAGCAGGAGGCCATCATGATGCCGCCGCCGCCGCCGCCTCCGCCGTCGCAACCACAATCAGCACAGCCGGCCGCGAAGGAGGCTGATGCGGCGGCGGCGGCGACGACGACGACGACGACGTCGAATGCGACCGGCGCTGCGAGCACGGACGCAGCAGAGGCGAAAGGCGGCCGTGAACAGCAGCAGCAGGCTCCCGTGGCGCCGGAGCTGGAGATCAGGGACGGCACGGCGGCCAAGGCAAAGGCGGGCGCCGAGGCGAGCAAGAGTAGCGCGACCGAAGCGGGCAAGACGGACGCCGAGGAGGGCGCTGCCCAACCACCGCAACAGCAGCAGCAGCAACAACCACAGCAACAGGCCAAGGGGAAAGAGGGCGACGAAAAGGGCCCGCGGCCGTCGGGCCCCCTCGACGAGGTGCTGCTGATGCAGGCGCCGGAGCACACGCCGCCGCAGCACCCGCACATGTCGCCGCCGCCGTACGTGCACCACTTTGACAGCTACTCGCTGGTCAAGCAGCTGCAGGAGGGCGGTTACTCGCAGGAGCAGGCGACGACGGCCATGAAGGCGATCCGGACGCTGCTGGCGCAGAACCTCGACGTGGCGCAGAAGAGCCTCGTGAGCAAGAGCGATGTCGAGAACGTGAGTGTCTTCAACCCTGAATCTTTTGCTATCCCATCCCTCTCGCCGTCCCTTCACCCGGCGCCGGGGCGCATGCGCACCAGCCGCCCGCCGGGTGCAGGATGAAAAGAAGAAAGGATCGGAGTGAGTGTGTGAGTGAGTGAATCATTTGACTGACGGGGCACGAACGCGTAGGAGACGTATCTCTTCACGGCAGCTTGCTCGGAGCTGGGCACCGAGATCAAGAACAACAGGAGGCTGCAGGACGAGCAGATGCGCCAGCAGAGGACGCACCTGCAGCACGAGGTGGACATCTTGACGCAGTCGCTCAACCAGGAGCTGCTGACGCTGACGGACAATGTGCGCGGCATGTTCAACGACCGCAAGATGGCGGTGCGCGAGGAGCAAAAGGCGGTCGACAGCGCGGTAAGCCTCACTCCTCTGGCTCCCCCACACCCTTCTCCCTTCCCCTATTCCTCAGAGGCTAACAGTTGCGACAAACAGATCCAAAAGATCACGTACAAGATGAGCATCCTGCTCAGCAGCGACTCCAAGTCGGAGATTGAGGGCGTGCGGTGGATCCTGATCCGGCGGTCGGTCCTGGGCATCATCTTCATGGCCATACTGACGCTCGGGGTGCTGCGCTACGCGACGTACACCCGGCAGCAGCGCAAGAAGGAGGCGGACCGGCGCCGCAGGGAGAAGGAGAAGCTGCGCAAGGACGGCGGCAAGACGGACCACAGCGCGGCGGCGGACGCGGCGGCCATTCTCGCGGCTAATTGAGGGAAGGGGCCCGGTGAGAGGTGGCGCGGTGTGATGTGATGTGACGCGCGGTGATGGAGATATCCCGGCTGGTTTTGGTGTTGTGTTGCTTACAGATATGCGGACCTAGAATTGGAAGGCCGGAAAGAAAAGGGCGGCCTCCTCAGGAGCGAGATGATCTTTCGCAGGCTCGTTGCTAGATACAGACAGTATATGACAGATAGAGATATGTAGATGTCCGGAGACGCTGCCAACTCCGTCAAACAATAGCATCTTTTTTGTCCCCCCTTCAGACACCGTGCCTACTACCTGTTGTTACGCATCTCGCCCAGTCAACCATCGTCAGAAACCACGGTGAGGATCAAATGATAAGTACACCAGGGAAGCAAAGGGGGTGTGCATCGAATCAACCGGGGGGTTCGCCGTCCTTGCCTGCAAGCCACGTTTCTTGGCTGGCGTTGAGCCCATCCTGACGCCCACGCCCACCCCCTCCCCTCCTCGTTGATCGCGCCTGGGCAGGCTGACCAGCGGCGGCCTTGGCGGTTTTACCACTCCTGTCACTACGTACTCTTACAGAACGCCCCCTTTCCGACGTGTCTTTGCCCGTGCGCGCGCCAGCCCCGTCCCTAGGAGGGTACTGCTTACACCCGGGTGCTACGACCGCCCGGTCGCCGCCGGCCGAGGGTGGGCTCACTGACGGTGAGGTGAGGTGAGGCTGTGCCTGGCCCGGGCGGGCGGACGGACGGGCGCCCCGTGGCGGCGGCGGCGGAGGAGGAGGAGGAGCGACGACGTTGGCGAGGACCCGCATTTTCCGGCTTCGGCGCGCAGTTGCAGACGGACGGAGGTGCGGTCACGTGCTCACGCTGCAAGCCAAACGGACTCGCGACCCCGCGTCGTTGCCGCGGCGCGCGCGCACGCGTGCGGGGAGGAGGAGGGAGCTTCAACGACACCTGAGGTGCTTCGTTGCTACAGGGCCCAATTGACGACAGCGCGTCTCGCGAAGCCCGAAGGCGCAAAAACCACCATCCCACCCACAAACCCCTTCCCACTGGGGGTTAAATCACGACGCTACGCTGCCAAAGTACCGGATTGGGGATATTTATTGTTATCAATTGCGAAAAGGGCGACAACACAAACACCTGGATTGAAGCGCGACGGACGGTGCGATTGCGAAGGGGAACGATAGACGAGACGAGACAAGACCAGCAACGCGACGAGGGGAAAGCGCGAGCTGCACAAGGGATTGACAGCTTGACTTGAGAGAGAGAGAGCGCGAGCGCGCGAAGAATGGCCGCCGGCGGTCGCGGAACCCACGACGACGACGACGACGCGATCATGGCCGACGCGGGAGACGGCGCGCCGCCTTCAACGGCCGATGCGGCACAGGACACCACGCAGCCGCAACAACAGAGCGAAGGCGCGCGACAAGGCTCAGCGCCCACGCAGCAAGAGGGCGACGACGCATCAGCCGCGACGCAACGGCACCAGGCCGAAGGACCATCACAGCCACAGCAACAACAAGAGCAACAGCCAGACTCGCCGCCGCTGCCCGCGCGGCACGCCCCCGTGGCGCCCGGCCCGCGCGCCTCGCGCCTGGGCGACATCTACGCGCAGGCGCTCGACCACACGCTGCGCCGGCTCGCCGCCTGGGACAGCTTCGCGGGCTGCTACCCGACGGTGGCGGCGCGGGCCGAGCCCGTGCTGCGCCAGGTGCAGGGCCAGATGGTGGACAAGATGCGCGAGAAGTGCGAGGTGAGAACTGCGCCCCCGATGGCGATTCCTCTCCCCTCCCCTCCGTCCCTCCATCTCTCTCTCTTTCCTCCTCCCGTGCGTGACGCGGTGGATGAAAGTGAGCGAACGGGGACAAAGGGAACAAGGGGGTGATGGGGAGGGAGAGATAGAGGGAGAAGGAGGGAGAGAGAGATGTACAGTCTTACTGACTCCATGCCCGCAGAAGGAATTCGACAACATCCTCGCCGCGAGGCACGTCGTCCCCCGCCTCAACGAGCTCGAGAGCCTCATCGCCGACGCCTCCTCGCGCCGCGCCTCGTCCTCCCGCAACGACCCCCAGCCCACCCCGTAAGTCCCCCACGACTTCCCCCTTTGCGCGCCAAGTATTACGCCTTTCGTCGCTAACCACGGGCACCCGCACACTCATCCAGGCCTCACCTCCTCCCCCCCGACGCCATCCTCTCCGCGCACCTCTCCCCCGCCCTCGCCCCGCACCAGTCCCTCCTCAACGCCCGGCTGCAGACGTCGCAGGCCCGCAACGCCCTCCTCGCCGACGAGGTCCGCCGCCAGCGCGCAGAGGTCGAGGCCCTGCTCGCCCGCCTCGAGGCCGCCGTCGACGACGTCCACGGCGCCAACACCGCCCTCGGCGCCGTCGCGGAGGAGCTCGCCGCCGAGTCGAGGTCCGCCAACGTTTGAATTGCCGAGCGGTGGATAGATGGATGGATGGCGGGATGATGGATGATGCTGTTGTGCTACGGAGGCTGAAAAAATGCTTAACCATCCTTCCCTCGCGGAGGGGCCATCAACGTTGCATGCTGTATGGGGTGTTATGCGCTGGGATGGGTTGGGATGGCACCACAAACGTGTGCCGGATCCAACGTCGGTACGCCCGCCCCGGTTGGTGTACCATGAATGTTATGGATATCACGGAATTTTACGGCACGGAGACGGAATCTCGGGAGTTGAGCCGGCTAGCTCAGGCGCAGATCGATACCCAAGACACATTCGATTCACATCATCGCGCGACGTTGCTGACCGCCTTCTGGGCTGAAGTGATGGCCACAAGGGGCCTCTGTTTCGCCTCCGGGCACGCCGCTCTCCTGGCCAATACAGTACAGATGCGCCACCTTGCCTGACCACAGGTGCACTGGTTACCCCGGGATCCAATGCTGCCACAAATGGGCCAACCCCCGTGTACAAACCGTACACCTGCAAAAACTCCGTCCATGAAGCGACATCCCGCCGCCAAGTATAATGACAATGCTGTTTCCGTTCACGCCGCATCCTATGCATCCAAAAGAAAGGCCCAGCACTGCTGCTTCCGCAGCTCACTGCTGGACATGGGAGGTGTCGACGAGGAGTAACGATCCAGGGACGTTGCCTGCGTTGCTCCAGCCTAACCTCAAAAATCTGCCGCCCAAAACCCCACCATCATGCGTCTTCGACCTTTTGTCTTCCGTCCGTCCTGGGTATATCCGTTCGTAAATTCACGTCGCTGCTTTCTGTCATGCCGCTGTTGTAACGACTCGGCGAGTCTCCTCATCCAGTGGGCGAGGTAACGGGTCCGATTCATGCGGGTGGGCCTCGAAGCATCCCGCTCGTCACGAGCAAGTATGAGGCCTTCTAGATCCTTGCATTTTCGGTGTGGATGACCTGCCAAGGCCCGAAATAGTCGATTTCGCCGTAGTTTGGCGGCAGGACGCGCACCATTCTCCCCGTACCCCAGTCCACAAACCATTGTTTGCCTTTGCTGATGATGTAGTTGGACTTCCGGGGGCTGCGGAAGAGCAGGTTGCTGTAGCACAGCTTGGCGTACAGCAAGTCGTGAGCACTCGACCACTTGTGTTCTGGGAACCACTTGCCCGTGTGCGGGTCGACGGATGGGTTCGGATATGTCGTGGTGCTCATCCGCCGCGGTGGCTCGATCCTGGACGGCCCGCCCGCGGCATCGGCTTGCTGAGGAGCCGGCGCGGATGGCGTGGAAGACTCTCCCTCAGACGTGCTCTCGGTGGGGGGTGAGAGTTCCGACGGCCGTGACGGGGCCCGCACCAGAGTGCCGCCAGAGGTCGAATCTTCGCTTGGTGACTGGGCGTCGTTCGCCTGCGTCGAAGTGGCTGCGTAGCCTGGCAGGGCTGGAGACTGGCCCTGATACCAGCGAATACGCTGCACTCTGGGGATAGACATGTCGCGTGGGAAGTCCCTGTCATCGATGGGTGCGGCCACGTCGATGGCGGCGAAGAGACACTCGAGCCATTTGACAAAAGTGCCAAGCTCAATACACGACAGCAGAAACTGGTCCGTTTCGGCGCGTATTCGAATCACGTAACGACGCCTGAGCCGCCGTTAGCTGCTGATACTCTCTAATGTTGCTCTGTGAGATTGAGTGCGGAAACACTGCAACCCCTCCCAGCTTACCCAACATAGCGGGTATCAAGACATGTGATAAGAAGGAAAGACTTACTTGGTGTAGTCTGCGGCGATGCCAGCATCAGCGTGCAGCAGGCTGTAGCTTTTCTCCAGCTTTGCCTTTCTCACCCACGGCGGGTTGTCCGGGCATATCGTGGGCCCATCTCGTGTTTTGCCCCATCCCCAATCCTTCTTGACGTTATAGACGTTAAGGGCTGTACCGTTCAGGGTGACGAAGACGGTATGCCAGTGGCGATCTTCGGCTCTCCTCGTCGTGTTCTCGATTTCGTGCTTCTTGGCGAACACGCCTTCGATGCTGACGGTGCTTTGGTAGTTGGGTAGTTGCTCGGTCCCTTCGTCATCTCCATCGTACACGACTTCCTGCTGCGGTCTTTGGGTTTCCTTGCCCTTGGGCTTCCTCTTCTTGTCACGCTTCTTTCCCTGGCTGTTGTGAGCGCGGCTGGGCTCGGGAGAGCCGGGCCGGTAAGGCGGCGGTTGTGATGGTCGTCGTTGAGGGGCACTCATGATCTGGTTGTAGTATATGTCCTCCTCCATAGAGTAACGCCGCCGGAGAGGCGGCGTGGATTTGGGTGACGATTGTCCATCCTCTCCAGCCGAGGCGTCGGGAGGTTCCATGGCGGCAGAGCCGGCTTATATGTGCCGACTGCTCGCCCAGTGGAACTGGCGGAGCAGCGGCAGCCGGAGCGACAGAAACAAGAGGGCTGACGGGAGCGGCAGACGGACGAGACGTCAGTCTGCTACCCTTGCCGTCGGGGGGGTACAACTCAAAAGCTTCCCAAGAGGAGTCTCCCTAGCTGAAGTCAAGGCGAAATGTCTACTCATAACGACCCGCTTGACAGCATAATGGGGTCACTGGGCAGCGAGTTTTGCAGAGGAAAGAAGGAGAGACGTGCCCAAAGAGCGCGAGAGGTATGGGCCCGTACCAAGACGAGCTCGCCGAGGGGGGTGTCTGGGTGGTCCCGGGGGGAGGTGGTTGCAGTGCGGCGGCTCTTTTGCTAGTGTCGATGGAACCCACAGAAGAACAGGACGTTCGGGTGGGAACCGTGATGGCGACGAGGCCACGCAGAAGATGCGCAAGACAGTGTCTCACTGGACGAGGTGGTGAAGCTGGGACGGTCGCAGCTTCGCCGGGTCGGGGTGGGGAGCGAGGCGGGTATGTAAGATTTGAGAGGTCGAGGGATGGTGAGCGGCCGCTGAGCCGGACAAGGACGGGGACGAGGGCGCGGGAGAAACAGCGCCGCAGCGGCAGATGGACAGGAGGATGACCCTAATGCGAGTAACCAGGGGGGGAGGGGGTGTATCCTGGGGCATCCGGAGAGGTGCGACTGCGAGCGACGAGCCTTGGAAGGAGGAGAGGAACCCAAGTGGGCTCTCTGGCAGGCGTGTGGTGAGAATGGAGTCGGGGTTGAGACGAGAGAGGACTGCGCATGCGCGCGCAGCGCGGTGGTGCAGGACGATCCAAGGTGATGCCGGATGTGGAGCCCGTGCAGCTGGGGCGGCTCCGAGAACCCTTTCTCCGTAACGGGCAGAGAGTTCAAAAGGGCGTGCGTCAGACAGATGACGAAGTCGAGTCGGGGAACTTTGTGGCCAGGCAGGCAACACGGGCGAATGTGACTCGAGAGGGCGCGGGACCAAGTGCCGCGATCGACGGGTACAGTATCCCTATGTTTCGTGCGGGCGGACCTGAGCGCGCTGGCAATTCCGCTATATCCGGACGAGGTTGCGAAAGACTCGAGTTGACAAGTTTGTTGCGCCGCGGACGAACAATACCATAGGCGAGACGGCGGGCATTGGTATGCAGTCTCAATCTGTCAATGGTGGTGGCGGCGGCGGCGTCGGCGGCAGCGGCAATTCGTCAGCAGAGACGCAGCGAAACGGTTCGCCTTGGCGGGCTCTTTGCAAATGGAAACGGTTCTGGAACCCAGCTGGGTGGCCCTTTTGAGCAGACCCAAGGGATCCAAGGGCACCAAGGGAGACGGCCACCACCAAAAGGCCCGTGGTGAGCCAGCGCCCGGAGATCAGCGCTCGACAGAGACGCGCACTATCCCCAGACGCGGAAAGGGGGGCGTGGGGTGGGCGTGGGTCGACGGGCGGACGGACGGCCGGACTTTGTCTTGGTGCGCGCGTGCGTATTATTGCTGCGCTGCCCAAGGGCCAGCGAGCGCAGCGCGGTGCTTGGACGATGCCCTGGCTGGCTGCCATGCTAGCAATAAGTTTGGGGGTGGGAGGGCCCAAGCATCCAAGGCGCGGCGCCCGTGTGCCTTGGACGACGACCGAACGCTGTGTCCGATGCTTCGTCTTGCGTGGGTGGTGCCCACCCCCAAAGGTCCCTCCAAAAGCCGCAAGTGGAGGAGGCCCGGGGGCCGGTTGGTACGACGCTCGTCGCCATTCGCACCGCGGCGAGCAGAGTTCCCACTGATGGGCGCCGACGCGGCGACTGAAGGACTGGCCGAGTCTGGCTGACGCTGCGCTATTCCATGGCTAGTAGGTGCCACGCGGGGGGAGGGGGGGTGTGGCAGGGAGTGAGGCGAAGGGAGCCACGGCGGATGCAACGGGGGGGTTGCCTGCTCTCTTCGCCAATGCCGAGGGCTTGCTTGCGTGGGCAGGAAACGATACTCCTCGGCGCAGTCAAACGACGGACAGCACGCCGTCGCGACCGCGAGATGGCATGGATTGAAAATGGACGCTGAGGTGATGCAGTATGAATGGGGATTTGGTGTTTTGGAGGAGTCGGGAGTCGGGAGTGGCAGGTCGGTCGAGGTGGAAGGAAGACTCGAGACTTTTTGTCAGTGTCGTTCCTTCCTGCTGGTCGCTGCCGTGACCTGCAGTTTGTCTGCCCTGCACAAATCAAATGTACACTGGGCAGGGTCCACGGTGCGAAGTACATGACGCGGTAATGCGGCACAAGAGATGCCTGGCCTGATGCGAGCAAAGAGAAGCTTCAAGGTGAGGCTAGCACGAAAGCACTGTATGGTGCAACAGCACATACATCCTCCTCATGGTGCAACGACGAAGTACAGCAAGCTGTCGCTCCAAGGCGTGCAGACCTGGGCAGAGCAGTGTGCGTGCGCAGTGCTGCAAATATGGCACTGTCCCGTACCGCAACGTGCACGACGAGGCCAGGGAAGGTGGTGCCTGTCCGTCAGCAACTGTAGACCAAAACGGCAGGGACCTTTTTTTTTTTTTTTGACTCCGCTGCGCGTGCGTCGCTGGCTGCGCTCCTTCCTCGGCGACTCCTCCCTCGCAGTCGCGTTGCTCGTACTTGCGCGAATGGTAGAGTTTCGGCCGGGTCCAAAGTACCTGCCTTGCTGTACGAGTGCTATAGCCGTACCTAGTCCTGCGCCCGTCGCGGTCCATGCCCAGGTGCCATCAGGGGGAAGAAGGCCACTGAAGCGCCGTGTCCCGCGACGGCTTCACCTCGTGCGATTGCTTCACCCACGCTCGCTCGCCTGCTTTTTCTTCACCGGGCAAGGCGAAACACCAGCATGCGACCAATGCCACGCCAAAGGGCCCCCCAAAACGTCCAAAACGTGAAGGGGCCCAGCGCCAGCCAGTGGGAATCGTGCCCTGTCCCCTCGCCCTGGGTTCGCCTCTCCTGCAGCCACGCCCCCGCATCTCAGACTCATTCGGGAACTTTTGACGGCCGGCCTGGCATGGCATGGCATGGCATGGCACCTGGTACTGGTACCTTTGAAGCGTGCCAGCCTTTCTGGAGCCCGGAGCACCGCCAGCTGTGCCTTGCGGGCACGGGAACACTGGCAGCACTGGGCGCTGGGGCCAGGGCCGGCCGACAGCGCAAGGTGCCACGGACGGCAACCCGAGGGACGGCCTGGTTTGCACAACCCTGCTCGAGGCGCTCTCGGAGAAATGCTGCACAGTCACAAACAAGCACGAAATACGGACGTCTCCACGCATCGCATGGGCTCGAGTAAGACGGGGTCACGCCTTGGTAAGCCCGCCCCGTACGTCCCGTTTCGTCCCCGCAAGCAGCATCGCCGACTCCGCATGACTTGACTTTTGCGCTGGCCCTGATTTGGCTGCCGCCGCGCAGCGCAGCAGCGTCCGTCGTCGCAGCCCTCGGAGCCTGTCTCTCGCATTGGCCGACGTGCCCGCCGCGTGCTGGCGACCCAAGTTGCGAACGGGCAGGTGAGGTTGCGTCGTGCCAGCATCGCTGCAACCCTGCTCTGCCCGCGCGGAGCTCGCAGCTTCAACGGGCATGGCACCACGAGACGAGCCTCGAATCTCCGTCTCCCGATCTCTTGGCCTTTTCGATTCACCCGCTGCGAGGACCGCCCGCCGCTGCCATTTTTAAGCCATCGCGTCGTCGCCGACCCACCACGGCGGCCGTGTGTGTGTCGGCCGACACACCCTTTTGGCGCACACCATGCCGACCCCCTGCTGGTCTCCCGAGGCCAAGGGGTGGGCGTTTGCTCTCTGCTTTCTCTGAGCAGGCCGCGCTGGTCCGCCCGTTGCCTGCCCGTCCCTGGGTGAGTCGAGCCCGACGAGGCGGCGGCGGCGGCGTCCTCACTCCCGACCGGCCGATACGGGGCACTGCTTTCCGCGTGGTCGGGTCCGCCTGGCTCTGGCCGGGCAGGCAAGAAAGCCGCGGGTCGGGGGCATCCTCTGATCGACTGCAGCGCGAGTCAGAAAATCAAGCATTACCTTGCCAGGAACCTGCAGTGAGCCGAGAGCGCAGCCACGGGACGCGGCGGCGAAGCTGGCTCTCTCCGCGCAGATGGGTGCCGCACAGCGCATGTGAACTGCCTGTTGTGTAATCCGACTTGATTGCGAAACATGGCAGCAGGGACGCCGTGAACTCTACGCCATCCATTCCCGACGTACCAGCCGATGACCTGCCGCAACGGTGCGACTTGCCTGCGCGTCATGCCGTGACGCGACGAGGGCCACCAGATCGTACCAAGCCGCATTGGACCGAGTCGAGGACGCCTCCTTTGGTTCTCCATCCGTCCTCTGCGGCGCGGATCCCAGCGGGAATGTCTTCACGGGTATGCTGTGTAACAGCTTCTCGCTTGCACATGCCTACGAGCGACATAACGATGTCTGGTCTCTGCCTCGCTAACCCGCTGCAATGTGATGTCAGCCGCTGTGTGGTTTGGCAGATCTGATAACAATGCCAGCGCTCGTCCCTGTCTTCTTGGCTCCCGGTTGTGTGAGCCGGAGAGGCTCACGCCATCCATCTTGGCAAGATTGCCCTGGGCGAATCTGTCTGGGCAAGTTGATCGGCACGTCCCGCCATCCCAGCCAGGCTCGATTCCAGGGCCACCAAAACGGTTTGCGCTCCCGGCCCCCCAAGATTACGTACATCCAGTCGCCTGGCTCAGGGATTTGCGCCCTCGCGCGTCAGACCGCTGAATGTTCCATGGATGGCCCAAGTCGTCGGGCCACCAGGCGCGCCAATTGACCGCACAAGGGATGCCACACACGCCCCCCCCCCCGCTGAGGCCCAGCCATTACGCTCACTGGCGTGTTTTGCCCGCTTGAATGCTCTCACTCATCGTCACAACCAGGCTTCTCACATAAGCATCGACTTTTCGTCGTGCTGCGGAGATTGTGGTGCAACTCAGGCCTCTTTGCTCTGCTTTGGCCATGATTCCTGAGCGGTACAGGAACAATAAGAGCTAAGCAGACTGTTAAACCTTCTCCTGTCAAGGTGCCTCAACAAGCCTTCCCCAGCCCACGCCGTCTCTGGGGCCCCGCCCGGTCCGCGTTGGAGACTACGTCCGGTTCCAACGCCTGGTCCACCAGCAGACAAAGGAACCTTCTGCGTCGTTTCTTCCGCCGTCGACGAAGCTGCTGGACCCAAGCGGGTGCTGTACCCTGTCCGGGCGGTCGACCGGCTTCAACGGGAGCTTGGGGCCTTGGGATGATGGACTGTGCATACCCTCAGTCCAAGCCGCCGGGTGAGCCCTCTGGCCGAGAGGCATGCTGTGTTGCTTCTGTGCCACCATGTTCCACGCCGAGAATACGGATGACGCAACAAGAGTTTACAAATCCAATAACCCGATACACGTCTCAATTCTAGCGACGGTACCCTTGTCCCAGAAGAAAGAAAGGGTCATGATGGCCTCGTTGGAAATCCGCGCCGACTCTTCCCTGGCCCGCGAGATCCAAATGTCCTCATCGGCCGTCATCGGCGAAGTGCGCAGCGGGGTCAGGGCTGGAGCTGAAAAATGGCGGGCTCCACTGCTTCCAGAAGAACTCGCCGTTGAATTTAGCGACGAGACTATAGATGTGGACTGCAAGCGCATACCCATACAAACCACGGACACGAGGACGGGTTTGGATTGTTTTGCGACGGTCAGCTCCGCCGCCGGGCGACCATCCGCAGCCACCGCCACCCCGCTTGCTTCGTCGCCCTCGACGTGTGCCCAGGCAACAGGCTTGCCATGCTACCTGTTGGCTGCAGGACCGAGCAAGCGCGCGCCAGAAACGACACCAGAAACGAACCAGCGGCCTGCGTTGACTCCGCGGGCTGGCGGCGGCTCGCATTGGCTGGCTTATAACAAACCTCCGCCTGCTACCACATCTCACATATGCAGTCCCGCGGACTGTGTTCGCGGCGGCGGCTGTTGGCTCATTGAGAGAAGCATCCACCAGATGCTGTATGTACTGTACTTGCAACAGTAATGGCAGCATTGGCAGCCTCTTTTTGGTCAGTCCAGGAGCCAACTGAGAGGGCCACAGGGTGTATGCCGGCGTAACTGTTCTCGTATATTTCACCTGGATATGGCCCCATCAGCAGGACAAAAGGTCCCTCGTTGAGCCGTCTCGAAACCCACGTGTCTTGAAGAGTCAGTCAGCATCATCATGCACATACGAAGGGCAACACGTGCTTAGTATGGGCATCGTATTCGCGCATCGTGAAGTTCGTATACAAGGACAAGGACATGGTCAAGGACAAAGACAAGGACATGTCCCCGGCTGCCAGTCGGCGCGTCGCCGCTGCCCTCAAGCCGTGCATCCATCCCTTTCATCATGGCACCGGGAACCCGGGTCTCTGCGATGCTCTGTGCGTGCCCTGCTCGGATGCTCCCTCCCTCCCCTCCCTCCCTCCCTCCCGCGCCATGCAGCTGGCCCGTGATGTTAGTCCTCCTCACTGTACTTCGTAATGCCCTAACTATTCCCCCTTTTCGTCCCGATCGTCTCATGCACGGGGCAGCGCATGTGCGTGCCGCTTACTCACTCCTCCTCCTCGTGGTGGCCAAGCTTAGACGGAAGCCATGTGACTGACTGACTGACCATGTTTGTTGTTGGGACGAGATTCGACAAGAGAGACTCACGAAACCACCAACCGCAGCGACACAACAGCCAAAGCTCCGGATTGGAAGCGTGCTTGGTTTTCCACGCGGCAAAGTGACATGTAGCATGTAGCATGTACTGTACATCAATTACAGCCCTTTGCAATCAGGGTCGGCCAATCTGATATACATACTTGGTCCTTTTCCTCCCCCGCGCCGCGTTCGGCCCCGACTTCTTCTCTCCCTCGCCATAACGTACAGGCGCACAAGACCGCAGCTAACAATACGTTCTCACAGCTCGCATGACGGACAACCCAGCCTCAACTCTGCTTCCAGCCGCGCCAATGCTACTTGTCGCTTCTTCTCTTCGTCATCATCCCTCATACCCAGTAAGGAAATATACACATGTCTCTTTCCCCTCTCCCCCGCCGTTCGACCCCGCCGCCCCTTTTTGCTCTCCATCGCATGCTTCACGTTGCCCTGCGATATCATTAAGGAGCGCCGTCGCAGCCATCGACTGGACGGCGCGTCCAGACGACACTCCAGAGGGCTCGCCAGCCCAGGTAACAAATGCACATCAAGCAGCGCAATGCAGTGAGAAAACAAGACCGAGAATCAAAACCCGATGCAATCCCGACCTTGGCGCCGGCGCCGGCTCCAAACATGGCTCCGGCCCCAACTCAAAATAACTCCGATTACCCACCGTTCTTCCCCCGCTGCCTCCGTCTGCCGTCCGGAGTGTGTGGGAGTGGTCGTCCCGTCATGTCCAGAGCTCTCATCCCGACGTCGGGAGACGCACGGCCGGCTGGCCGCTCCCGTTCCTCAACTGATGCCCGCCTAGTTCACGAGCGCTGTAGGCCTTGTATGCTTCACCTAGGCATTGTTCGCCTGCGAGCCGCCGCGAGTGCGGGCGATACCACCACGGCCACGGTTCTGGCCAGAGTAGTTACCACGCGAGCCCTGACCGCCGCCGCGCTGGCCGTCGAAGCCACCACGTCCGCGGCCCGACGCATTACCTCGGCCAGATCCGTAGTTGCTGCCGCCGTAGGCAGTCGACTTGGGGCGGCGCGGCTCCACGACGATGTTCTCGCCGTTGACAACATGGGGGTTGGAGGCGACGGCGGCCTGGTAACCCTCGATGGTCTTGTACTCGACGAACGCGCAGTTCTGGCGACTGGTTAGCGGCTGCATCAAGTTGTTTTTCGTGCACAATGGAGCGTCCATACCTTCTGGCGGTTGATGTCAAAGTAGGTGAGCTCGCCGTGAGCTGCCAGGGCGCTGCGGAGGTCCGCATCCTGGACCTTCTCCGTCACATACTTGACGTAGCCCATCGTGCCCTCCTTCTCGACGATGTTGCCAGAGATGGACTGGGGTCGGTTCTGGCGCTTCGAGTCAGCGCCGGCAGTCTGCCATCCAGACGCCTCCTTAGCAGGAGCAGCCTCGGCGGCGGGAGCCGGGGCACTGGTTTGCTGGGGAGCAGCAGCAGCGGGGGCAGCGGCCGGAGCGGCAGCCGGAGCAGGGGCCCGGCTCTGGGTCTGGGCCGGAGGCGTGGCCGTCTTGGGGAGGGGAACGACGGGGCGAGGACCGGCAGCAGCGGCGGCACGGCTGGCCCAGGTCATGGGCTTCAGAGGCGCGGCGGGCTCGGCAGGGGGAGCAGGCTCGGCCGGGGGCGCCACAGGCTTCGTAACGGGAGTAGGGCTCGGCTCATGGGGGGTCTCGACCTCCTTGACATCCTCCTCGGCAAGCTCACGCGCCGTGGCATCGGCGTCGGCGGCCGGGGCGACAACCTCGACCTTGGGCTCGGGAGCCTCCTCGGCAACCTCGCCGCCGTTCACGGTGACGTCGGTCTTGGTGGCCTCCTCAAGCTTCTGGTCAACGACGGCGGCATCGAGGTCGGCAGTCTCTTCCTTGACAGCCTCCTTCTCAGGCTCGGGCTCGGCCACAGAGGCGGCAGCGGGCTCAGCGGCAGCCTCGGCAGCGGGCGCCTCAACGGCGGGCTCGGTGGCCTCTTCCTCGGTCTCCTCATCGATGTACCTCAGAATATCGTTGAGGACAAAGTAGCCCGAGGGCTGTTGAGCCAGAACAAAGGTCTGGACAAACTTCTTGGGCTCAGCCGCCTTGTTGGAGGTCTCACCGATGACCTGGATGACAATATTCTCGAAGGACGCCTGCGAGTCGACGTTGGAGACGCGGACCTTGCAGTCGTGGAAGTCGAGCTGCTTGATGCGCTCCTGGATAGCCTAGAAGGGGGTTAACAAATGGCTGACAAAAGCGGTGGGAATTGGGTGAACACGTACCTGACGGCCAACGGAAACGTTTGCCACCTCTGCCTCGAGACCGTAAACGAACTGGGAGCGTTTGCCGTAGAAGAGCTGGGCACCAACGCGTTAGCTGAGCCGCAGATTAAAGTGAATGGGCAGACCGGATAACATACGTGAAGCTTCTCGGGCGACTTGCTCAAAGTGGTGTAGTACTGCTCGACGAAGTACCAGCCAACCTCATCCTTGGACAGGTTGCTGTTTCCCGCGGCGTTGGCGGCGGCGTCAACCGGGCCGGCGGTCGCGGGGTACTGCTCGGCCGAGACCTTGTACTGCTCCTGCTGAATGAAGCTGCCGTTGGTGGCCATCTTGTCGTTCTGGAGGAGCTGGACTAGGTTGAAGGAACGTGGGGATGCGCAACAGGAATCAGATGCTGGCGAAGAAGGGCGCACAAAACGCGTCGACAAGGGGTATCAATAGGGGAAAGGAAGATGATGTGCGGACGTCTGAGCCTAGGGACTCGTGGCGTAAAGCAGGGCCGCTGTGTGCCTTGGAGAGGGCGGAGGGCGGAGGAGGAGGACGGGGAGGCGGTGGTGCGGTTGCGGTCGTGGTCGGCACCCGATGACACAGGTGCAGCAGCGAGGCCGGGAGAAGCTGGCAGAAGCGGCTCGGGAGGAGCGGATGTCGCGGATGGAGAGGCGAAGGGAGAAGCACGCAGACTGATGGCGGAAAGGAGGGGGCCTCTTCGTGTGATGCTCGGGAGGATGGAGAGAGGGAGGAGGGTTGCTGAAGTGCAGTGATGCCGCAATGGGTTGTGGTGCGTTGTTGGGAGGAGGTGGAAGGAAGCAGGAAAAAATAACACAAATGGCCTGGGCTGGGCTCGGGCGGCGGCGGCAGGTAACCGGTTAGGTAACTCTGGGGGCAGGCGAACTGGGCAAGTGGTGGTGGCGGCGGCCGAGCTAGCGGGGGCCATTGGGACTACAGCGCGGGACGCACTAACAGGCAGGTACCTACGTGCCTAGCGGGCATCCATCCTCTCCAGCCCAGCCTGCCCAGAGGTGCTCCTCAACTCCGGGCTGCGTGCCCGGTGGTGCTTGGGGGTCGCTCCCGTCTAGTAGTGCTCTCCTGGTCCGTGCGCCCTTTTTGCAGCAAGCTGGGGTTCGCGCGTGCGAAGTTCGGAGCGGAGCGAAAACTGGCCCCCCTGGGCCAAGGTTCCCTTTGGCCGGCGCGCGCCATTGGATGAGTGTGGCGCCGCATGCCGCTGAGAAGATCAGCCTCGGGGGGGAGACGAAGCAGTTCCTCCAGGCGCTCCAGGGCATTGCACGCTACCGAAGCCGCAAGATCGTCGTCGTCCTGCGATCCATTGATCTATCCACGGATGCGATTTACACACTGCCGAGCCACGTCGAGGCAGGACGGCAAGGAGCTGGCTGGTTTGGATAACCCTTTTGCCTTTGTTTACTGACAGAAACATTTGGACTGCCTGGCGCTTTGACACCCAAACCGTCCGATGTTTGCTTGGCACCCTGGTGTGTCGCAGCGCCTGTCTGCCAATTGCACGGCATCAATTGGTGATGATGGTGCATATTGATGTACTTGTATCAATCGTGATGTTCTGTTACTGCGTAGCCCGGTGATCAATCGTGCGCAGTAACAACCGGTAGACGGTGAGCACCCGCAGCAGCGCACTTCACTGCTACGAACGGTTTCCCGGGCCCCTGGACCCCTGCACTGCAGCCCAAACCGGCCGCCGCCAATTGAGACTGCGGGGTCTCCCGTCCAGCTCCAGAAAAAAAGTTGTGTCCGCCGCCTCCAAAATTTTCCACAATCTTATCAGCGAAAACGCCCTGCGCCCGAAAACCACCACGGACGGCCGACACACCCTCCTCGCATCCGCATTCCACCACGCAACGCAGCGACCCGAGCCCGCCGCCCCGATTCATCGCTCGTCGCGCACGATATAAGGGCCGAGGAACCAGCCGGGAGACTATCCGACTAAAGAAACCAAAAAACCCCGAGTCGAGAGGGAACTGCGCAACCGCAACCGCAACCATGCCCAAGTCCAAGCGCGCCAAGGTCTACCACCTCACGCAAGTCTCCAAGAAGACGCGCGAGCAAAAGGACAAGCTCTTCCAGAATATCCGCGATGCCGTCCCCGAGTACCAGCACTGCTTCGTCTTCAGCGTCGACAACATGCGCAACAACTACCTCAAGGACGTCCGCCGCGACCTCGCCGACAGCCGCCTCTTCTTCGGCAAGACCAAGCTCATGAGCAAGGCCCTCGGCCAGTCCCCCGCCGAGGCCGTCGCCCCGGGCATCGAGGACCTGACCCAGTACCTCGCCGGCACCGTCGGCCTGCTGCTCACCAACCGCCCCGCCCAGGCCGTCCTCGAGTACTTTGAGGGCCTGACAAAGGTCGACTTTGCCCGCGCCGGCGTCACCGCCAACAGGTCCTTCACCATCCCCCCCGGCGTCGTCTACGCCACCGCCGGCGAGGTCCCCGCCGAGCACGACGTCGCCCTCGAGCACTCCATCGAGCCCGAGCTGCGGCGGTTAGGCGTCCCCACCCGCATGGTCAAGGGCAAGGTCGTCCTCGGCGACGAGAGCGGCGCCGGCGAGGGCTACGTCGTCTGCAAGGAGGGCGACGTCCTGGACTCGCGCCAGACGAGGCTGCTGAAGCTCTTCAGCGTCTGCCTCAGCGAGTTCCGCGTCAAGATTGTTGCGTGAGTACCCCATAGCTTGACTTGATCTTTTGGTCCCCTGGGCAATAACTAACCTTGGGGCAGGTACTGGAGTTCGGCGACCGGCGAGGTTACAGAGGTAGATCCCGCCGCCATGGACGGTGTCGAGGAGGAATGAAAGGACTACAAGCGCGTGGCATGAATGAGCAGAAAGGGAGAAAAGAAGGGATCTTGACACTGGCCAGAGCAAGAATGCTCCTTCATGGTCGGTTGACTTGGTCTCGGGCATGAGCTTTAAAGACGAGGATCTCGGCGTTCACGGTCATGGGACATACACACACTGGCGGGCACACAGTCATGTTTTCTCGAGCCCTGCCTCAGATGATGATAATACCTAGCATATTACACACCATCTACTGGCCGAGTCCATGTAGATACGACCCCCACGTACTGTACACCCCCCTTTGCATGGTGGACAAGGCGTCTATAGCAGCAGCATGCGCACACTCACCGTTGTCCTATACCTTACATAATGCATCGTCCGAAACGCGCTCTTTACTTTGGTCAGTGAGACAAGGGTGCCTTACCTCTGACCTTACCTGAGATACGCATTGCTTCATGGGCCATACACGGCCCAACCGTTTTGACCACTCTACCTACCCTGCAAAAGTACACGCAGAAAAACGACAGCACGCAGAATATTACCGCCCGTATACTTCCTTTCGTGACCCCAGCGACTATGTTGGGAGTCTAGCAATCGTCTTTGCTGGATGGGACAAGCTCCATGATGGCCTGTCATCGTCTTGGGTCTTCGTGACAGGCACGGAAACCCCAGATAAAGGGAGTAGGCGAACATGCTCATACCTCCTCGGTTGCAAAGCGCGTCGCAATATACTCGGGCGTACTGTTCTTACCCTTGCAACAGGTTGACAAAGATACTGTGGCAAACCACAGGTAGCATGTCGGGCAAGAGCTGACGCCTATTCGTTATGCCCTCTGGTCTCTCAGTAGCGTGGCATTTTCCGAGAGTCGTCGTAGCCGCCCCCTTCATATGCTCGCTTCCGGCTGTCGTCGTCCCGCGGCGGCCGGTCGAAGTCACGGCGGTCGCGGCCGCCACGGTCCCTGTCGCGGTCCCTGTCCCGATCCCTTCCATAGTCGCGATCACGATCGCGGTCGCGGTCGCGGTCTCGATCTCGGTCTCGGTCACGATACCCACCCTCTCGGCGACCAATTGGCTCAGTGTTGCTGCCAGTCCTACGGCCTGGATCACGGTCGCCGAATCGTCCGCCGCCAAAGCCGCCAGATCGCTCGGGCCGGTCATCGAAGCGAGGGCCACGGTCGTAGCCAGGCCCAGAGAAGCCGCGGTCACCATTGCGTCTGTCGAAACCTGGGCCCAACGGGGCACCCGAGGGCGGCCCGAAGCCGTTGCGGTCTCCTCCTCGAGGACCGTCAAAGCCACCGCGGAAACCGCCACGACCACCGCGGCCGCCGCCACGCCCTCGACCGCCGTCGAAGCCACCACGGAAGCCGCCTCTGAAGCCATCTCTGAAGCCGCCACGGGGGCCCATGGGCTGGAAGGGCAAGGCTTTGGTGTAATTGCGTCCGCCAAGACCCCCGCCCAGTCTCCGTGGCGTCCAGCCGACGACTGTGCGGCCACGCTCGACATCCAGCTTGACCTGTCTGCCTTTGATTCGATCACCATCGCAAGCTCTTACCGCAGCTGCTCACCGTCGCACAAAGCGACGTTACGTTAGCCATGCTTACCATTGCCTGGCGCGGTGTCCATAACAACAGAGGAGCGAGACGGGCAAGCTTGAGGGCCCTTTGTGTCTCGCGATGCATTTCAACGACGGGCAAGCCTGAGGGCCACATCGAAGTACGTGCATCGGTTGGGCGCTCATGTCTTTTGGTTCCTGAGTTCCAGGGAAGAGGAGTAGGGGATGGTTTACCTTGCATGTCCTTTTCGCGCTCAAACACGACAAAGGCATAACCTCTGTGAGGCTTCTTCTTCTTTCCGGGCTTCTCATGCGCATGGGTATCCTTGACGATTCGAATCTGGAAATTGTCAGCTGTGGAGCTCTGACGGGAGGTACGGTGAAGACGAACACGCTCAATGGGCCCGAATCGTCCAAAGTGCCGCTCGAGGTCGCGCTCATCGGCCTCGTAGCTGAGGCGGGCGACCACCATGGTCGACAGCGCATTGCCACGGACGTTGGGGTCTTCCTCTGGTTTGACTAGGCGGCAAAGGTCAGTCCGCGAAACAGAACACTCCAGCGGGTTTCGCCCACATTGTTTGGGACCCAAGGTAGCCAGCTCCTTGATCGCCTCCTTCTTGTCCTGCTTCTTGCGGTCGCGACGTTCGAGCCAGCTCTCGGTGGGTTCGGAGATTTCGTTGGCGTTGTACTCCTTCAGGTCCGAGAGGAATGCTCCGACTCCATCGATGTGGCGAGTCCGTCGCTGCTCGGGGCGCTTGTCGACGGCCTCGACCCATCGCAACGGGGGTCGCGGCGCGAAGAGAGCGCGAAGCTCGTGCGGGAGCTTCTCCGTCATAATTCCCGCCATGATGCTACGCCAGAGCCCTCTGCTGCGGGAGTGGAGATGGACTGGCGAGCGGTCGCAGGGCTGGCCGATGAAGGGAGGCGGCCGGGCTGGAGGCGCAGGTGATGGAGAGAAGCAACAACTTGGCGCGCGTTCTGGGGAAATTGTCGTGAGCTCCAAGTACTGCCTCGAGGCTCGAGTTTTGCCGGGGCTGTGCCGGCCCGGGCGCTAGGCCACTTCGGGGCAACCCCCAAGTGAGCTCGATTTTTTGATGCACCGCCTGGCGCGCCGGCCGACACCACGAGACTCTGCTGTTGCGTCGCATTCGGATCATGAGGAAATCGATTGACACGGCCAAGACACAATGACAGTAAAGGCACTGCGGGCTGTTTCAAGCGGCCAGGTAAGTCAAGTCGACATTAACCAGGCATGCTCTGTTCCTAACGGTCGCAGAATGGCGTCGGCGCCTTCATCCTCCAGTGCAAGAAGATGGACCTGCACTACTGCGACTGGGCAGGCAGCTCCCGGGGAATGAAGTGAGTGGAAACTCAGGCCCTCGCGATTGTGCGCCCTGTATGCTGACAGATATCTTGCAGCGGCTTCATCAAGTCTCTCCTCCCCAAGTTCGCCGCCGCCAACCCGCAAGTCGAGTTCGCCGTCTCCCCCCGGCCGGGCAAGCACCCCGTCATCATCGGACACTACATCAACGGACGCACAAAGCCGATCTGCGTGCGCAATCTGTCGCCATATGAGATTCTACAAAAAGTCGAGCTGCTGCGAGACGCGAGCGGAGAGAAGCTGAAGCGGACCAACAAGGCCGTGACGAGCGTGAAGCCGAGCGTAAGAGGCATCTGGTCCCCGTACCACGGCAAGGGCATGGTGGTCTAGGATCGAGGGAGAAATCGGCGGGAGTCCTGGCGCGATTCGTCGCTGCCATGTATGTTTACATGTATCAAGACGGGTTCATTTGCGAGAGCATAAAGGAGCAGGGCCGTGCAGACCTTGGTTTTGGGTCTAGCCACGGAAGCAAGTCGTTTACAGATATCAAAGCCACTTCAAAGCACAAACAAATCACAAGACGGTTCTCAAAAAGAGTCCATCAAATCATCATGGTGTCCAATTTGAAATGTCTTTCAGGTTCTATCCTTGTGCAACGGTCTAGACATGGAGGTTTACTTTTGGAGGCAGTTGACGATGTCGATGACTGAGAAAGGGGTCAGCACGCGCCAAGATAGGGAATGAGAGAAAGGACTCACAAGCAGGCTTGAGGGAAGCACCGCCGACGAGGAAGCCGTCAATGTCGGGCTGCTTGCTGAGCTCGGCGCAGTTCTTCTCGTTGACGCTGCCGCCGTAGAGGATGCGGGTCTCGTCGGCAACCTTGGCGCTGACGCCGGACAGCCAGTTGCGGATGGCCTTGTGGACCTCCTGAGCCTGCTCCGTGGTGGCAACCTTGCCGGTGCCGATGGCCCAGATGGGCTCGTAGGCGATGACGATGCGAGACCAGTCCGAAATCTTGGCCTTGAGGGCGTCAAGCTGCTTGGTGACGACCTCGACGGTGCGGCCGGCCTCGCGCTCCTCGAGGCTCTCGCCGCAGCACCAGATGACGCTGACGCCGTTCTCGGTGGCGTACTTGGTCTTGGAGGCGACGGTCTCGTCCGACTCGCGGAGGATGGTGCGGCGCTCCGAGTGGCCGAGGATGGTCCAGTTGATCTTGCTGTCCTTGAGCTGCTCGACCGAGATCTCGCCCGTGTAGGCGCCGTTGGGCTTGTCGAAGACGTTCTGGGCGGCGACCTCGATGCCGGAGCGGAGCGCCTCGCGCACCTGGAGCAGGTACAGGGCGGGAGGGGCCACGACGACCTCTGCGAGTTGCGGTCAGTAGTCAGGCCACCATGCTGGTCGACGCGGCGCAGGGGGGTGCCGAGGGCGGTACTCACCAACGGTAGCGTCCAGCGTGGCGTTGTTCAGGTTGTTGACAATCTCCTTGATGGACGACAAGGAGCCGTTCCTAGACTCTCCTCATCAGCATACGTTCGTCGCGGCCGAGCATTCCCTCGCAGCGTCGCGCCTCGCAGCCGTGATTTGCCGCGTCATGGACTGCCGCGGGGCAAGCTCGTGGAGGGGCACGGGCACGGCGCCGCGCGGGGCGGGGGGCAGGCGCACATCTTGAAGTTGCCGCCGACAAAGAACTTGCGCGCCATGGTGACGGAATGCGGAGCGGTTGTGAGTGTAGGTGGGATAATGGAATGATTGGCCGGGGAATTGCTATCGACGAGCTCGATGGCAATGCTAATGGTGGTGTTGATGGTGATGGGCGGCAGAGTAGGTTGACAGCGGACGGCAAAAGTAGCTCACTGAATTGGGTTTGGAGGGGTAAGGTAAGAAAAAATACACTGGGGCCTCCACTGTCGCTCCGGCGGACTCAAACACTTTAGAGCCTTACATCACCGAATTAGTACCGCGCACACAAGATCTTATCTTGGCTCCCGTCTGTTGCCGAGCCGAGCTTCCAGCTACTGTCGCCGGTCCGACCCGGTGCAACGCCCGCTACATCACCACATGGCACACTCATTCTGAATTGGTCTAGGCATGTCCATGAGCGTCAGGCTTGCTGACCGAAAGCCAAGCTCCGTCAAACTGGATACTCAATTTATTGACGGCGGACGATGAGGGCATGCTCGGCATCATCACGCTCCGTTGCCGCTGTGCACCACGACTCGTCACATAGCGCGCAATCATTGATCGTCCTGCAGATCTGGTTTACCGGAAGCTGCTCTCCCGCATCATTGCATTGCCAAAGAGAGATAAGTCTGGCAGACTAACCCACGGTCTTCACCTCGCAGGGCCACTTTGGTCCTCAAACATCATGTCGTCCCCTTAGTCAAGGACAGTAACGGTTGTCGATGATCAATCATTGAGCTGAGCAAGTCTTCTATATGCAACGACGGCTGCCTTGTATCCTTCTCGAACAGTCTCCGCCTTTCAAATATCCTCCGTGCTCACTGTCTACTCTTTCGCTGCGCCGTCACACGCCGCGAAGCGGCGTGCTCGGCGGACCTTGGGTGGAGCGCCCTGGCGTTGATTTCAGGGGGCTCCTGGTCATGCCACTGCCCTTGGATCCGAAGGGAGCGAGGGTGTAGTGGTGCCACCTATCCCCCTGGAAGCTCTCGCCGTAGCTAGATGGATATCCAATAGTCTCCGGGCCTGGAATTCCCTTTTGCCACGCCTGCGGTTCGTGACGAACTCGCGGGACTCCACTGGCAAGAGTCAGTGCCTGTCAGCGCACTCGCGCCGGCATGCGTGCTTGGTAAGTAGCAGCAAGAAAGCTGCCGTCTCTACTCGTTGGCGTCAGTGTCGAGGCTTGTCTAAACCGGTTACGGGAACACTCACCACTCTGGTTGTTCAACCTGAAGCGTAGCTCCTGCGGCTGGGGGCTGGCATGATTTCGGCCTTGGGCATGCCGTTAAGCTCCGTCGTCACCTTGGCCATGGCCGCCAGGTGCTTCTGGACTTCGGTGATTTGTTGGAGGTTGCGCGAGTCTTCCGGCTTGTGGAGTCCACGAATCATGCCCTCTACGGCCCGGCGGTGATCCAGCCACTGGTCAAGGAGCGGCTTGGCCGTGGCCTGTACAGGTTCAACTGGCAGCGACTTCACAGACGCCTTGCGCGTGCTGGTAGCTTGCGGTTCCGGGACATCAGTCTTCCTCTTGCGGCCCTTGGTAGACGATTGAGCACCAGGAGCAGCAGAAGGGGGTGAACCGCCGGCACTGCCGTGGTCATTGTGCACGCGCTTCATGTGGTCCCTCAGGTTCCATTGACGGGGAAAGCCGTTTCCTGGGACAGCACGCTCGCACCCTTCGTAAGAGCAGAGGAAGGGCTTGTCACCGTGGCCGTGGAGACCGTGTGCCTCGCGCTCGTGGCGCAAGAGGCAAGCAGTGGACGAGAATCGAGCGCCCTCGCAGGTATCCGCCTTGCAGCGATAAGGCTTGAGGTGAGAGTCGACAAATTTGCTGGACAACAGTCAGTCTTCAGCACTAACGTTAGCCGCAGGGGCAAGCGTTCTTACTCGTAATTGCACTTGAGCTTCTCGGGCTTGTGGTTGCAATTGGGCTGGCCCTCCCAGGGGCAGTGGAAAAGGTTATCAGGTCCAGGTGTGGCGTTCTTGTAGAGCGCATGGTCCCGGGCGGACTCGCCGTCACTGCCCTGGCGACGCGGCATGAAAGTTTGCGACAGGCCCATGGACTCGTCGATCTGAGCAACTCCGTTGCTGCTCCGTTCGTCAGCCATCAAGGGCAGCTTACGCTCCGAGCTTCTCGCCGGAAAGGCGGAGGTCAGAAAATCACAGGGGCACTTGGGTACCGTGTCGTACATACCTTGGCGATTGACATTTGATGTCGGGAGAAGAATGCGGGCTCATCGGGCCCGAGATCCAGGTCTCATCAACCGTGGCAGGAGAAGAAGTCCGGGAAATGGAGCTAGAAAAGCAGTCCCATGAACTGGGCGAGGAGTTGTCCGGCACTCCAGACTCAGCGCCGAGATGCATGTGGGCAGGCACCACGTGAAGTGGGCTGGCATCAGCAAGGGAGTAAACACCCTGGTTCTCGGCATGCAAGTTCATGTCGAGATTGTAGTCGGCCCAGTACATTTGCGGAGGCACAGAACCAGCGTCAGCGTCTAGCAGCAAGCACGAGTCCATGCCGGCCATGGGGGCAGGGGCATGTGTCCCTGTCCGGAATGCGGTCACGCTTCCCGTGCTATCCATGTTGGACAGTCGCGAGGTCTGCGACATGGCTGAGGCGATGGACCTGCTCGAGTCCACACGTGACATGGCCTGAGCCATGATGGGTGCGGACGTAGCAGTCCGGCTCGCGTTCCACATGGCTTCCGTGGTTTGGGGCTGGTCCGTCCTTGATCCTCTCGGGGTGGTCTGGCCAGAAGTAAAGAGATATTCCTCGGCCTCTCCAGAGTGGGATGATCCATTGTCCGGGTAATCTTGATAGTTCTGTGGTCCTTCACCATGCGATCCCCATGACGACCCATTCAAAAGGTCTGTCGAGGGTTCTGTCTGAGAGAAAGAAAACATGCTTGAAGCATTCGAAGCCATGGTTGACTGGGGGTAACTGTAATCGCTGCTTTTGGTCAGTGTGCTGTTCACCTCTACTGCTCTATTTTCTTCAAAACAAAGACATCGACAATTTCCCAAGCGACAGAAATGAAGCATGAGTCAACTTTGATCCTGCAAGGAGTTAGTTCATGGTACTACTAGCCTCAAATTTGGACAGTCTACAAACCCAGCTATGTGCCACTGCACGCGGTCTCGAAAAATCCATGGTAATCACTAGGTTGAGGCCATGCATCTGAAGGTCCAGGTTCACGGAGAATGGCGAATAGGCCCGAGGGCTAGGTCCGGCTGCGAAACCGTGGTTCGATGTGTTCAGAGGCCGTTATTCCAGCAAGGTGACAGCACACGCGCAAATGGGGTTGTCTGAACAGGGCTGGGTCCCAAGGCAATCCGGCAGAACAAGTAAAGTGGTCGATATCCAGGCATGTGGCAAGAAAGCAGGCAGAGCGCAAAGAGAACCAGGGTATCCATAGTTGAGCATCCCTTGTGGCAAGAGTTTGAAGCAAAATAAGCTGATAACCATGTTTTCGCGGCTGCGAATGCAATCAAAATAGGATTGCGTTGAACTGTGAAGTTCAGAAAGCTACTCAGACCACGTACCTCCCAGAGGAAGGTGCAGGAATGAGAGCTGGGTTCCTGGTATGAGCGGCCTAGCCATTGGTATAAAACGGTCCATTTCCTGGCTTCACTGGTTTGGGCCTTGAATCTTTATCCGTGGCAAGCAAGATCATGTGTTCAGAGCAAATTCCCCGGGTTGAGCCTGTTTGGTTGACATTGGGCTATACTCACCGGCGGCTACCTGACCGCAAATATGCATGGCAATTACGCCTTGTCCTGCCGGACAAGTCCTGTTTCTGAAGGAGTGCCTGGCGGCCGTGAAAGTCCCGGTTTGCAAAACGGTCCAGATTGTCCAGGCATTTTGTCCTCGGGAACTCGGCCCACACAGTTCGGGTCGCTGGTCCAGTATGAGGTGACGTGACGAAAGGAAAGATACATGAATATTCGCCCAACATGGAAAAAGCAGAACACGCAGTCCCGGTGAGTTGAAAAAAGAAAACAGTACCTGGAGAGAGACTGGACCTCGTCAAGGTCAACGGTGTTGCTGTAACCAGGCATACTGCCTGGGTGCGACACAAGCAGGGCAACTGTCATTGTATCCTGGACCGGAAGCACGAGACAGAACCACTGGAGATCCGGAAGATCAAACTTGGGCAAGTTTGTCTGGCAAAGGTCTTGTTTTGTGTAGCTGTGGCAAGGGCCTGAGCTGATGCTGTGATGACGCGCAACAGAGCAGTCCTGTGTGGATGCAGTCTTGGGTAGTCCCTTGGGCTGTTGCTGTTGTGCAAGAGCAGGAGAGGAAGGAGGGGGTTTGTCGCAAGAGTCCGTGTTCTGAAAAGCAAGTGAGGGTAGGAGTCGATTGGGAGGTTGGGCAGAAAGGTTGGGCAGAAAGACAAGAACGCAAGAGGATGAGGTTGGGCAACGAGGGGGCATGCGGGTTTTATCGTTACAGTCGACGAGCGACAACTCATGCTCGGACAGCAAAAGCCCCCACAGCCAGCGTGTCGAATGACGCCAATAGACAGGCCTCTTGGGCGGTCGCATGGATGCGCTGGCGCTATGATGGCAACTGATTCGTTGCTGCACAGGGATTCATCACCAACCTGGATCCCTGAAGGGGGGTCCCGGTGGGGACGGCAGCACGGCAGAGGCGCTGTAAGTGGCCAGAGGGGCGCCAGACGTGACGAGTCGGGGGGGCATGGCTGCAGGACAACACAGCACTGCATGTCCAGCGACTGGCGAGCAGACGTTTGCTGTCAGCTTGGCGCTCGATTGTCAGCTCCTCGAAGGGGGCACGAGGGCGCCCGTCTCATCTCGTTCGTTTCACCGGGGAAATGAGGTTGCCAGCCGTCCAGAGACGACGCGGTCCGGCAGCCGCGATGCGACACTTGTCGACACGACGGGAAGGGAAAAGAAGGCCAGGGCAGGGCGGCTCGTGGGCTTGGCACGCCGAGTTGTTTTCCCATGTTTTCTCTCTTCGCAAGGCGAACGAACACTCACCCAGCCGTCCATCCCGGCTGCAGACAGGGTCAACGCTCCAACAGAGGTGGACCGACGCACGGCTGGCGAGTCATCGTGAGGCTGGCTCTTGCGCCGAGCGGGGTACAGCTGGCATGGCCGGCCAGATGCTGGATCCGAGACAGCAGATTTTTCGAGCCGCGGACGCTCGGTCCGTTGCTGGACTGGGCGAATGAAGTCGTGCCGGCCAAGGTCACGCAATGGCGGTCAATGTAGGCCAAGCCAATTACCACCATCCGGTGTGATGAGGCTTGCATGAACGCTGCGAGAGACACTCTCAGCAAGGCGCGACAAGAGAGACGAGGCGGGATGTGCAGAGGTCCAAGCTGGTGTCGTTGGTTGCCTTGACGGATGCGCTGTTTGGTGCAACAATGGACACAGCAGTTGTGGCACGAGCGCCTCGCAGGTTGGAATTGATGCCAGCCAGCGTTGCCCCGATTATTAGCTAATCCGCCCGGCATTGCTCGCCTCAACGGCGGGCCGCAGAACGGCAGGTGCGGCCCGTCACGTCTCGGGCACGTGGGTCGCGACGGGTGTGGCTTTCCCTGTGCCGATGGTTGGATCGTTTGGGTGGCTTGATGATGCACACGGAAAGAGCACCTGGGTAGCTGAGGGAAAGAGCGTCGCACGTGATTATCGGTACGAAGTCTCAATCATCACCCTCGTGAGGCTCGTTTCGTTGGAGACTTGCGGGGCGATTGAAACTCCACGTCGGCGGTGCATTGCTTGCTGTCGCTAATCGCAATTACCTAGTCATTCGCTGTTCTTTGGCCCGAATGCGCCCGTTGGCGTGTTGATGCAATGCGCAATGCATGCTACGTCAAGTTCGCGAGCTGTCAGATTGATATTCAGCTTGGCGGCTGCTTGACAACGCATCGCAGTCAGTCGCCTCGCAAGGCACGGATGCCGTGGCCCCAAGGCTGTTCGCGCTGCTAACGAGGCCCTCGAAACGACGTTTAGGAGCAGCTGCCAAGGGGCCGCGCGGGTTCTTGACGAGACCGTTGACCTGGCATTGATGCGTCTCACAAGAGCAACGGTCCGCCTCGCCCACGTGTTCCGACTACTCAGCGGGACTTCACGTATTGGCCATCGACTCATCGTCATCGAGGGCTCGGTACGCTGCCGGCGACGCGTCGATCAACCCTTGCACACAGCTTGGGCGGCGCCGAATTCTCGGGCAGACCCCACTCGGCTCCGCCCTGAAGCCGGCGCCGGCGCGCAATGCCGGAGAGTCGGGACTACGCAAAGTTGATCCACCGCAATTTCGGTGCCGCCGCAACTCTATGCGGGTCATTCGCGTTCCTGCTGCAGCGAGCGTATCCCGCATCCCTTTCTGCATTCTCTTGGGACACCGTGCAGCGGTACGAATGGCCGCAGCTGGCACCAAGCCGGAGGAGGCACGATGCTAATCCAGCGGGCGGCGGGCCATGAGTCGTCAGTAGAAACCATCTTGGACAGCCCAGTCGCAGGCGGGATGGTAGCGGATCGCGGCTTCGTCATTGTCCGGTAAGGGAGAAGAGCCGAAATCGCAGCGACCGTGAGCGTTGCCGGATTCGAGACATGTGGCGACGACGGAGCAGTCGCAGCATCATTTCACATGGGTTTCAGGGCCCAGTGCAAGAATAGCTCGCCATACTCTCATCGATGCCTCGCAGAGACAAACAACCAGAGTACTGTGCTGTACACGCGCAGCCCAGGGCTGTACTGCACAGTAACTTCGTCGACCTCTTGCTCAGCGCTGAATTCAAAAACCGGCTCTGGGGTTTATCTCGCCTTAAGTTTGATGCCGCCAGCCACTCACGCTAGACACTGTCTTTCATGGCAGGTAGCAGTGAGATGATGCAGTTGGATCGATGGGCAGCAAAGGCACTCGGCAACGTGTAGTTGGGTGCCCATGGAAGGCATGGCTTGGGAGAGGCTGAGGCGGCCAGCTGGGATTGCAGTTGGTAGTGCTCACGCCCAAGCCAACAGCCCTTGGTGCCCAAGACACCACCGAACCAGGATTGACCGCCCTCTGGCATCCAGGGGCATTCCCTGCCGTCCTTCGGTGTCGGATGACCTGATCGGGCTCCCACCCGCGAGCACCACGGCAATCCATTACAACGTCATCCATTAGCCTTGGGCAACAATGCGGACTAGCTGCCCAATCGCCTCGGCCTGAACTGCCATTGTCGCATGAGTTCAATTTCCCCTGTCGTTTGCGCGTGCTTTCCCCGGTCGTCCGGAAGCGGAATTCTCTGTCCATCATCCTCAGGAGCGGCTCTCTTTGCTCGCACCAACGCGCGATACTACTCGTACTGACTTTTTTTTTCGCCACCGGGGCGGTGCTTCATCTTGAGTCTTGGCCGTCTCCAGCTTCTGGGATACCCCAGGACGACACCCACTTTGGGTTTTGTTTGCGCGCGATCCAGTGTTGCTTGACCAACACCGCGAGGCGATCACACCCCTCGGCACCATCAGATTGTGCGGCATCTGGCTCGACCCCACTGGTCTTGCGCAGGCGCCCGACTGGAGAAGCTTACCTACGTTGCGGCCGTCCATCGCCTGGAGCCGCCGCCTACCCCGTGTTGTTGGACCCGGGCGCTCCATCAGCACCTGCTGTTGGGGTGCGTGGCCCTTGTGCTCAAGCTGCCGCTTCTCCAGCCCTGACGGACGACTCGCCACTCAGGCAGACGCGTTTCTGCGCCAGAGACGCCCTTGGGCTGGTCCATGCAATCAATCCCACCTACCACGACCGGGATCTGACACTCCCGCGGTCGCCGGGGCAGGTGTCTTGCGTGTGAGCGGGCCTTTCACGATCCAACATAAAGTGCCTCCAGTCCGAGTTTGACTGGGCGTTTTCCTTTCCCCCCAGGTTTGCCGCCTTCAATCAAAATCCTTCTCCGGAAGTATCCCATTCCTCTCAGAGGCCGGCTCGTCGTCACTTGCATGGCCAGGCAGTTGCTGCGCTAGCAACTTTTAGTGCCTCTCGGTTCTCTAACTGGTTTGCTTTCCCACTCCAGTGGGCGTTGGCTGCTGCGGGACTCTGGTCACCTGGCCCAGTTCACACACCGCTTCGTCGTTCGACACCATCTTGTCCGCGTGGAGGATCCTAGGACTGTCTGGAGCAATCAAATCACCCGGATCCGGTGGATTCAGCCCTTGAGGGCTCGTCGGGGAGAGATTCAGCCCGCACCGTTGCGAAGGATTACATACTCTGTGTGTTGTACAGGCTGCCCAGCCCGTTACAGCCGGATCTGGATTCCCGAGATTCCACGGCATCGTTCTGCTTGTTTCCAACCTCTGGATCCTACCTCTAGGCCGGCGTTTCGCTCTCCTTGTACTTTTCCAGGCTTCGTCACGATTGGAGGCGCCGTATCTACTCCCGTCGCAGTATGCTTCCCGAGGACATGGCACAGTCAGCCCTTGCTTACAAGAGCTCTGCCATGTCTCGCGATCCATGGAATCCGGCTCGCAGGTTCGAAGTCCCCGACTGCCACGAAACACGATGCCGTCATACTGACTTGCCAAGCGCCGGCTTCGTTGAACCTTACGGCAACGGAGCGTTTGGCAATGGTCTTTACATTCCGTCAAAGTAAGATCCGTACTTGAGCGCCGTGTCGTTGATCGTACAGGGTCAGTAATAACCTGTTCTCCAGTGTTAACTACTCGAGTGGACACTACCAGACTGCGGTCGCCCCGCGAACAGCGGCGAGTAGCCAGCTATCCCGCGCCGATACATCCATTCCCTCAACCATGGCCTACGTCAGTCGGCCGCCCGCTGCCGTGAGCGGAACTATTGGGCAAGCATACCCGTCGTACCACGGCTCCAAACCATCCTCTTGGGAGGCACAGGGCCGCTATTCACCGACTGGGTCACTGGAGGACTTCATTACTTCGCCGAGCTTGTCGGACTATTCCCTCGACAATGGAATGAACGTGGCCAGCCCTGGCCGCAAGTCGAAGGGAACCGGCAAGCGAAGCTCACAGCGAAGGCCATCCAACCGAGATGAGTTTGACGGTCCCCATCAGTTCCTGCAGCGGCCATCTCAGGAAGTGATTGCAATGCAGGAGCGGGAGCTCCCCCATCTCCCCACCAATCTCCACGTCCAGGAGCAGGACAGTGTCCTCAATCAGGTCAACGATCGTCTGTCGCAGTGCGCCTTCGATTTCGTGGCCAAATACCAGTTTCCGATTCCTTTGACCCAGGACATGCGACCCGTTGAAAGGCCGCAGGACCGCGAGTGGACGGAATGGGTGTACCTCCTGAAGCGCCTGGCTACCAAGAGGCGGATCCCGGCCCGTGTTCTCTACAATGGACAGATCAAGCAGTTTGTTACGATTTTGGAGAACTCACTCGAGATGCGACACGCCGCCAAGCATCAGAGCCGTCCGCTCAAGGACGACCGCAACATCCTCCAGCTAATCTCGGCGGGCATTCAGGTCGCCAAAATTCTGAAGGATGCGTCGGCCATGGATTACCTCGACCGGCTATACGTTGATACAGAGAAGCGGATCCAGGAACGCGCCAACTCGCGGTTCCGATCCTGAAATGCTTCCTCCGCCACCCAGTCGCTATACTGGGTTGACCACGTTTAACATACAACGCCTCATGTCACCAATAACGGTTCGACATGACGGCTCAAGACGGCGCGTACAATGGGCAAACCTGGCTCTTGGCGCCGCACCGCTTTTACGCCACGAGACGACTAACGATAATGTGTTTTGTGTTTTGTAACTATGTTTCGCCCCTCAGCTGCTGGCATGCTCGTCGGGTTGAAGGCTAGCTCGAGGATTGCGATATTTCACAATCGTTCTGAATAGCACGACGACAGTGGACGTTGCCGATATAAACGATGCGCGGCAACTTGGGGTGCGTTGCTGCCCGGGGTGCAGCGAACAAAGACCAGAAAAGGGGTCTGTTAATACAGATTGCAAGCTGCATGCTTCCAGGGCAAGTTCGAGGACAAAGCAGAGTTGGATTGTCTTATCATCTTATTTTATGTGTTGATAAAATTGTCATTGCCTTCCTGATCAGTCGAGATTGGCGGACCTGACACGACGAGATGAGGCTGGACGACGGATACTATTGTAGGCTGCAATTATCTGAGTAGCGTACCATGGCAAAAGATGCATTTAGCAAGCTATATCTTGATGCTGAGGGATGTACGGGTCGTCCATGACTGAATAGGTGCTTGTCTCGGGTCAGTGGGAAGCTATGGCTGCGTTCGGCCGCAGCACATCCTGTTCGCTGTAGATACCACACACAGCGGCAAGCCAATGCAGACGTCGGGGGGACACAAAGGCATATAAGATAACCGCCTCCCATTGCAACAAGGAGCTATACAACTAGCCATTACGGGTTGGGTTACAACAGTAGCACGAATTGGCAAACTTGGTTTGGAAACTTTTTTTTAATAGCCAGCTCAAATAGGTACAAAATGCTAACTAGCTGGTAACTTCAACGCTGAAGCCTTCATGTTGTCATGTGAGCCATCCACCAGGCGACCCTAGTTGCCGGTGTAAGAGCAGGAGAGGTCGCTGCCGCTGGTGCCGCAGTTGGTGAGCACCTGGCCGCTCGAGTCCCGGATGTCGAAGATCTGGGCGCCGGAGGGAGTAACCGTGCCGGACGAGCCCGAAGCAGAGGCGTCGGTGAAGGTCACGGTGCCAAAGTTGGCAAAGGGGACGAGCGAGCCGCCGGACTCAAAGTCCTCGACGATCCACTCGGCGTTGGTCTCACACAGCGTCGAGGGGGTGCTGGTGAACGTGTGCGAGACCTTCTTGCCCGTGGTGAGGTTCTCGAGGATGGCGACGCCGGTCGTCTTGGACGAGGCGTCGACCGTCATGCGGATCTGGTCGCCGGCGCTGATGCCGAAGTTGGCGAAGCTGTGCGAGTAGTCGGGGATCCACTCGTACCAGGCGTCGAAGGTACCGTCGCCGTAGAAGCTCACGCCCGTCTGCAGGATGGCCGTCTGGCAGGTGTCGCCGTCGATGCCGACCCAGGCGGAGGCGGCGGCGTCGGCGTCGCCCGAGACCTCGGGGACCGTGATGGTGCCGACCACCTTGTTGAAGCCCTTGCCGATCTGCACGGCGCCGGCCCAGTTGCTGGAGTAGGTGGGGTACTCGGTGAGCTTGCGGTTGAAGCCCGAGTTCTTGGTGCGGCCGGTGCGGCGGGGGACGGCCTTGGTCTGCTCGACCGCGGCTGGGTTGGGCAGCGCGGCGGTGAGGCCGCTGAGGGTCGCGAGGATGGCAGCGTACTTCATAATGAGCTAAGGTCTTGGGTCTTCAAGGCGAGAACGCGGACGACAGATGGCTTGATTCCGAAGAATGAGAGTGGATGTGATGGCCTGGACAACTCTGGTAGCTTGGATCACTCGGTATGAAGTTGATGATGTTGCGGCCTTCTTATACTCGCCCGTCGTTGATATCCTCCCTGCCGCTGTATCATGAGTTTATATTAACATGTAACCAACACCAGACAGAATCGCGCAGGTCGTGATGATGGCGTCTTGAGCTATGCTCTCTTTCGCAGGTGCCATTATCTACAACGCTTAACGACACCTGACCAAGCCCGCGAGAATGCCTCAGCTCTATGCCCATAGCCGACGTTGATGTCGCGAAGCTTTCCGCAGAATGTCGTTATTCCCATAGAAGGCGGCGGCCGACTCGGGACAATCTCGAAGCGAATGCAACCCTATGTTAGACTTGCGCGCTCGCCGCCTTGAACCACCTTCCTGTTTGCTCCTTTGTTAGTGGAAGCATATAGGAGCTGAGTGTCACAAGTTACACCACATTCCATCGCACGAGGCTCGCCCCCGAGCGTGGTGTCCGAGCTCCGTGGCGGCATCAACGCTAGGCTAAAAGTCCCTGGGCGGCCGGATAATTCGGGACCCAGGCGCCCGCCCCCGGACTGGCACCTGTATGCGGCGACCGGGAGATGGCGCGCGGCCCTCAAAGAGGCAAGTCGGCGGCTATGGACTGCCGTGTGCCCTGAGGCCAGGGGCTGGAGTGCCGGATATCCGATATCAGGAACCGGCGACGAGGACGCGCTTGTGAGAGATGTCCGATGCGGGACGCACCGCATCTTAGAAGAAAGGGTCTTGAATACAACTGTATAGCTTATGTTTGCGAAGCATTATGATCCTCAAAAGGACGATCCGGCGCGTTGCCCGGAATCCGGGTGCCCACATGTTGATCTCCCGAACATCTTCATCCTCATCGAGTAGGCATCGTATTCAGCACGTTTCGATCGTCCATGGCGACGCTGTAGATCGCGGGGCATTGCAACTCCGCTCTTCTCGAAACCTACAACGGAAACGGGAGCGGAGTTCGCGGCATGAGCCGGCGCATCTGTGATCGACACACCCACGCTGTAGGGTATCCTGCCTCGCAGCGCTAACATGGAGCGACTTGCCTCTTGCGGCAGGTGTACCGGCGGGCGTGATGGCGTCGCGATAGGGCATTTGACGAATGGCGATACTGAGAATCTAAACCACGTTGGTTATGATATATGAGGGGCGGGTATCACGGCATTTTTTTTTTCGTCCGGTGTCGAAGGTAACCGTGCTCAACCTTATGGCAGAAGCTTAGGTGCCGACGCGGCTCCGCAACCCCGGATGAGGAGGGACGCCGGAGCCATCACGCGACCCTGCGAGGTTTGTGCTCGGCATTGCCGCTTTGTCGACATAGGAAACTTCGCAATCCAACTGCACAGTATTTGGTGAAAGAGTCTCTTTCGGCCGATTCTTTGCACTGAGTTTCGGCCTCGATCCTCGGCGTTCCGGCCCACGCTTGGAGGGACGGCTCCTGCCAGCCTCCTGTGTACGTCGACTTGGATAATTCCTGGACTGCGAGATCTGCGCGAGTGAGGCGAGGCACTACGGTGTTGTGTAAGTCGCCGTCAATATGACCTCGACTATATTTGGTTGCCTGAATCGAGGGGATAGCTGGTTCGGAGTCATGATTGACAAAGAGGCAGAGTCTAGGGTGGCTGCGGAGGACTAGAGCGCGACGAGCCTCTCCTTGTTAGTGCGAGGCCCAACTGCTATGGATCGAGGTTGTGTTCGGTCCCCTCATGATTTCGTAACTCCAATCTGCCTAGAAAGTTGGCAGCTGCAGAGTGCAAGTATTTGGGCAATGCTCGCATCAAAGCTAGCCAGAACGACACATGTCCGTGGTAGAGGTAGAACAACGCAGGGCCGCTTATTCCAACAGAGGGTTGACTGATGAGCCATAGGTTACTGATCTTACCTACCCGAGGACAATCACAGAGGCTGTCAGCGCATGGGAAGGGCATCAGCTAGGCATACTTCACACAGAATTACCGGTGACCCAGCACGTGACCGTTCCCCGGAAGTCATGGTGCAGCAGCTTCGGTGGGAAATGGAGGAAAGAGCGGTTGAGGCGCTGCCTGCGTCGGTCAACGCTCAGCAGGAGTGGCGGTGCGCGCGGCTGCATGTGGCCCAACCAAGCATCGTGGATGGCTGAACCACCGCAGCGCCTTGGACCCTCGGTGTTCTCTTGCGGTTTAGCGCCGTCCAGCGCCAGCTTGCCGCCTCTCTCATAAGCCTCGACGACGCCCACGACGACTTCTGTCGCGTGCGATCGATGCTGCTTCGTTTTGCGACTGTCATTATTTCGGCCGGATTCATTGCCCATCCGCGTGTAATTCGACCGATGGCGTGACGCGGCGAGTCGGCGATAGACGACGCCCAAGGACCCCCCCCTTCCTCCCAGGTCCCGGACCTTACAAGCCGGAGCCGAACGACAAGATATCATAAACGGCGGGCCGTCATCAACTCGCAATAATCCGCTTTTGAACAGTTCAGCTCGTCGAAAAGAGCACACCTCCCAGTCATGGCATCCGTCGCTTCGCAAAACACCTCCCCGCACCCCTCCCCCTACGACGTCGACTCTTCCGGGGACACCGACGAATCATGGCAGTACATCGACTATTCGAGCGGCGCGTCCGCTCCCGGGTCCGTGGGATTCCTGCCCAGCCCTGCCAGCGGAAGCCTGAGCGGCTTCGCCATCGTCGGTCACACTCACATGTCCACATCGCCGCCGCAGGTGTCCGTCTCGCCCATGTCCATGGTCGACCTAGACCAGACCGTCTTTCTCCCCGCTGCCTCGTCTTCGCTCCCGCAGCAGACAGAGCATCTGGACTCGAGCACATTTGCGACGACGACCGGGGTAGACTTTGCCCAGAGCGATGCCTTCATGACTCCGCAGCAGTATCTGTTTCCGCAGACGGACGCGGCCGAGTTTACACAACAAGAGCTGAATGGTAGGCCCCTGTTCCAAACATGCAGGATAACGACTCACAAGAGCCCTAGATATGGCACCGTACATGGCAAACCTCGCAGCCGAATTCTTTCCCGGGCTGGACCAGGCCAATGCGGGACCTAGCTCCGCGTTGAACCCGTCGCAGACCTTCAGGCCCAATCCCATTCAGGAGTGGGAGCCTTCGAATCAGCAGGTGGGAGAGGGTCAAGTTATTTCGTTCGAAGAGTTCATACCATCGCCGCAGGATTTTAGTATTGGCTCAGCCAGTCCCGGTTCGTCAAGCTCCAAGTCGCCCGCCATCAAGGCCGAGTCGCCTTCAGGCAAGCTTCCCGCCAGCACCCGCAAAGTGAAAGCTGGCAAGGTCGAGAAGAATAAGAAACCAGAGCAATCGGGAAAGTTTGTTATCATGACGCCTACGTCGATAAATGCTCACGCTGGCAAACCCAACCCTTTCGAATGCTTCGAGGCCATGCGAGCAACGCAGCGAGGCCGAAAAGGCCCCCTGGCCAACGACACCAAGGAAAGCGCGTTGCAAGTGCGGCGCCTCGGCGCATGCTTTTGCTGCCACAGCCGCAAGGTCAAGTGCGATAAGGAGCGGCCGTGCAAGCACTGCAAAAGACTTATGCTTCACGTGCCTCAGCTGGTATGCTGGCAGTTTCAGGACTTTCTGACGACGCTGTTCCCGGATTTCATTCGCGGCCACTTCAGGAAAGACGAAATGAGCAAGTTTCTGAGAGACAACGTGGAAGGATTTCACGTTGGTGGCGTCGAACAGCCGTGCGATATCGAGCTCTTCTCAGGACATCGCTTCTCTGCGACGATGCCTATCCGGGCCAAGTTCTTTACAGCCAAGACCTGCGATGTCCTGCAACACTGGCATCTGAATCTTGACAAGGCCCGGCTAGACATCCAAGCGAATGACTCGGCCCCTATAGGCATCGAATTCGGCACCGGGACGCAACGTGAGGAACTCCGAAAGCGAGCAAAATCCTACATCCAGGAAATTGTCAACGAGCCGCAATATGCGGAACAGGTCACCGACTCTTTCCGTTCGACAAGACTGCCGACCAAGGTTCTTCGTATTGTACAGCAGTATGCGCAACAGTCAGACGTGAGTTCTCTTTCACATCTCAGGTGGCGTGCTTCTGACACATTCTACAGTCTACCATGGTCAAACGTGCCCTTTCCATATATGCCATGCAATATGTCATGACTCGGCATCTCTGCATTACACGCCAATCCATTGTATCTCTGCACGGATCCGGCCTCGTCCCGCAGAACACGCCCTGGGTAACGCCTCGAGTTCTCGCACGGCAAGTCAAGTCGCTCATCGACGAGCTCATTATGCGTGAGATGCAGCTACTATTCGAGTGCTTCTCCAAATCCCTCAAACCCAAGCACAAGCGGGAATGGGCGCCTTGCATGGCGTCGTTTCTCGTGCTGTGCCTTTTCATGGAGGCGGTAGAGACGACCACGGAGAACTTTGCCATGTCGCAGAACGAGATCAATCTACGCAACAGCACACCACCAGAGTATAAGCCAGAGTTTGCACTCAACATGTGCAAGGAGTTGGAGAATATGCCGTTTAAACAATTCGCGTACCAGTTCCACAACATCTATCAGACTCACACCAAGGACGCCAACACGAAGAGCTTCAACCCGCTGTTTGATGACGAGTGTATGGAGCAGGAAGAGGTTGACGGGCCGGCGGTGGAGATGTTGGGGGCTTTGAGGGGCCTCTTGCATGGAGAAGACTGTGAGCGTCACCCGTATTCATGACTGGGTGTGCTGCTAACAAGGGCGCAGGGCAAGAGATTCAGTTTCTGGCCGACGACGATATTCTCCTAAGTCGAGATGTGCACACCGCACCCATTGACGCGTCGTTTTTGTACACTGGCCGGTTGGTGGCCAAGTTCCTGCTATCGTTCACGAATGAGCAGGTCATCTTCGGAAGCAGCATCTAGTCTATTGAGTGGGCGGGCTCGTATTTGGCGCAGACATGGTATGGCGTTATGACGATATGACACGGCGCAGGGTTTACTGCTGTCACGAGACATGCATGGTTTGAATAGAGCGGCAGCAAATATTACTAGCGAGCAACTCGAATGCTATGAATGGAATGAACGGCATGTTCGTCCGATTTTAGTCCTGAGGCCACACTTGTCTCAATGGCAGCAGGGTGGAGCGGACCGGTTGTCTAGACCTTGGGTTAAATCTCCCACATACGAACGAAGATATAAAGTTGACACGCTTGCGCATTGAAAGCGGCGAGGTGTAGGCAATCTGTGGGTTTGGTTTGTGTTCACGCGGGTGCCGGCTCAGGTTTGTACGGCAGCGGCGCACAATGGCTTTGCGGACGATCGTAGACGGGATAGCACTTGCATCCATCTGTCGACGCTGTTGGAATTAAACGGCATCGGCAAGTCCAAGCAAAATTGCTGGCCAAAAAACTGTTGAGCACCGGTTTGTTTGCGAGATGGAAAAGCTGGCAGGTTCACGAGCGGAGCGCAGAAATAAAAGTCGGTCTCTGACCCCAGTCCACCCACCCCCGGCTCACGTGACTCTCATCCCCCCCCCTGGTGAGCAGTGCCCACTCTCTGGCGCGGAACAAAACCAGTGGCGGCCCAAATTTCCGCTTCTTCTTCTTCTTTTTCTCTTTATCACACATACATTCGCGCACGATTAATCAACCGATAATGAATCGCCAACTTGCTATCGGTCATATTTGCGTGCCAGAGTAAAACGGATTCGGTTTCTGCCGTTTTTGGGCGTGCCCTCTTACCAGACTTTGCGGTTCGCCGCGGAAGAGGGGAGGGCGGCTCAACGACGAGATGGACTTTTTGATTGTCTCGACGGCTTGGTGGTGCTTCCGACATGCCTTTGCGCTGGGTATTTTGTAGTAAATTTGTAGGATTGGGCTGCTTGCGCGTGATGTTTCAGTGTGCCTGAGCCATTGGCGATGCGACCACTCTTACGGTACTGCCAGCTTTGGTTGTGCTGATTGAAGCTTGGCGTCGTGCCGTGCGCCTGCCGTGGCCATGCTCATCGCTCCTGCCAGAGTGTGCGGATGTGATGTAGTTCACTGTCGCGATGCGAGCTCTCGTTGCAGGCTTGCATCCTCTAGCTTCAATGCCAGCATCAACCTTACGACCTAGTCCGTTTGTTGTATCAATATCTGAACCTATTGCCCTCTGCAGACATCTCGGTCCAATTCAGTCCACGACGTCGAACACCTGTTTCACCGCACCTTGCAGGAGTACGACCCTACACGCATCGCCATTCAAACAGCACCATGTCCGAAGAGGGACTTCTGGCGCAAGAGATCATAGTCATTGCATTGTCCGTCCTGGTACTCGTCGCGCTGCTCGGCTTCCTCATCACCTTCAATGTCACGGCTGGCGATTTACGGCCCCAGCGCTACAGGGATACCGGGCAGTGGGTGAACTCCCGCAAGGAGGCAGCCAGGGTCATCGATGCCTTGCAGGAAGAATCCTTCATCGAGAGCGTGCGGCGGCGCAGCGTTACACTAGCGGAAGACCTCAAGAGAGAGCTCATGAGCCTCAAGCGCAAGATGTCCATGTCGACGCCGCTCCTCGAACTCGAGCCACGACCCGAAGACCTGCGCGTCACCAACGCGCTGCAGAGTTTCACATTATCGCCGGGGCTGCAGATGACGCCTACGAAGTCTGGTGACACGCAAGATGTGGTTGAGAACCGCACCAGAGACTCGTTTGCGCTGACGACTGGAAGAGAGTCGCTCGTCGCCATGGAGAGGAAGAGGTCGACCCGTTCGACGTCCGAGTGTGCAAGCTGTGACCTGGAGGCGCAACATGATGACGATTCGTCCTCGCCGTGAGTCGGATTCGCAGCACCGTACGTTAGCTATCACATGTCAGAACCTGAGTAGGAGAGAGCCAAGATGCTGAAGGTGTTGAACGCGGTGGTGAGAGTTCCAAGCTAAGCAAATCGCCTCAATTGACGCAAGTCTGTTTCCTACAAGCTTGCGACGCAGTCTATGCCGTCCTACTCGCGCATCCTTGCCCAATTGCCATGTTGTAATTTGTACATCGTTGAACGCTCGTTCGTGCCGGACGATCCGTCGACCCAGTCAGCCCGCCCACTCTACGCCTTTTGCTTCTTGAGGTCCCGCGCGGCCTGCTTGAGGCTGTAGTTGCACTCCTCGTACGCGCGACCGGCGCCGAAGCCGACGCCGACAAAGGCCGGCCATGCTCTCCGCTTGAACAGGAGGACGGAGAAGACGACGCCGAAGCCGAGGCCGAGGGTGGACTTGACGAGGAGGTTGGAGAGGCAGCGGTCCCACTGTACGGTTTGACGCGGTGTCTAGTCAGCACAATGCAGTCCTCCAGAGATCGCGACGGGGTGTGAAACGGCACGTGGTGGCGCTGTCATGTACCTTCTCGTTGAGCAGCGCCTCGCTCACGGGTCGGGAAATGGCGCTCGGAGGCGGACGAGTGACGACCGTATCGGACATTGTGACGGTAGTGGATGCTGATTTCCTGAGAGGCAATTAGGTCCGGCCCGCAAGCGGGAGTCGATGGCAGCGGCGCAGCGTACCTGTGCGTGGGAATTGGTGAGAGTGAGAGCTCGCAACAGCTTCAACTCGGCATGCGGTCGGTGATGTCAAGCTTCACGAAAAGCAGTCGGCCATGCGCTGGGGGACCAGCCGAAGGCGGTGAGGGCGCTAGTGCCGGTTTGGGCGGCGCGGTCGCGGCAGAATTTTTGGAAATTTTGGCGGCGGCGCGAGCATTGTCGCGGGGCGGGTTCCAGCTTCTCTGCCCAGCAGCCGTCTCACGCAGTCTTCCGTCGTTTTTCATGATTCGCGGTGCATTCGTTTAGAATTGGCGAATATACACATGGGGATGCTTCGAAATCAACCGACACAATGGTATGAGGCTCAAATGCAGAGAAAGCACTCAATACTGACGGCGCCGTTTAGACCGATCTCATCAAGACCGCCAGAGGTCTTGACCAGACTGGCCCGGGGGACAATGGACAGAACCTGCAGCTTTTGTGGAATTGCTTGGCTGCAGCTTCGGAGGGCCAGTTTCACGCCGCCGAGGAGAGCAGCCTGCGATGGCTGCTCAAATCCATGAACGGCTCTTCTCCGAGCGCAGAGCTGCTGCGTCGCTACCCGCTGACATGGACCATCCTCGACTGCGTCTTCCAGCGAATCCCTCTCTATTCTCTTGCCAAGTCGCTGGCCGACAGAAAGTTCATCGCCGTTCTGCAGCAGACGTTGAAGGACATTTCAAAACCCGTCGCCACAGCCGCCTCCGCAACGCCGCCGAAACGGAAACGAAGCCCCAGCATCCGGTTTGACTTGGCCGATTTGCGATCTCACCACGGCTGTCTGGAGACGTCGCAAGAGCTATTCAAGACGCTCAGAGCGCTGTTGCAGCGGCTCGAGACCACGACTGAGAGCTTCTCCCGTGACAAGATTGGAGCGGAACACATCAAGTCCCTATTCGGCACCTCGGCCGCCGATGCCACCACGATAGCTGCCCCGGCTCTGGCGATATGCGGCCATCTGTTAAGCTCCGACGTCAACCGTGACATTGAAGACGCCGAGAACTGGGTACAAACAATTTCGTGGATGTGGGACCTCCATCTCCAGGGACGGGATGATGTGCTCGAGGTTGCGAACCGGCTATTCAGGCCGTCCGCGATAGTACTTGCCAAGCTCGGTGGATTCTCGTCAACCGAGTCTGCAGACGTGTCCGACACTCTACGAAACCGGTGGACCAGCGACCTCATGTCCCTCATGCACCGCAACCTCATTCTCCCTGGCAGGGCTACCTTTGTCAACTTGAAATCATTCGAGGCATTCGCCAATGCTCTGGAAGTGTCCAAGGACATCATCAATCTGTCAGGGCCTGCTTTGTATCTCCTGTCGTCTAGCGTCTCTAGCCATGTGGCCGAAGGCGAGCAGCGCAAGGGCAACGTCGAGTGGATTCAACACGTTTTCCAGGCCATCGAGCACATGATCAAAGGCCGGCCCGATCGAAGTGTGCTGATGCAAGCAATTCTGAGCCAGGCCATACAACGGTCTACGTCCGTCAATGTCCGCGACCTACGACGTGTGTGTCGCGAGTATGGCTTGCAAGGGGCCGAAACCGACTGGCCGCTGGTATCCAAGGCGGCAACATGTGACCCGGACATCTTCCAGCTCTCCGACGAGGGTGCGGAGCTGCGGAGAGAAGTGTGCAACCGGACCATGACTGCGACTGGCGACGAGACGGAACGCGACGCTGTTTTGAACGTCGTCAAGGCGATCCGGGATGGGTTCCAAACTCGGCGCGACTTTCCAAGCTTCTTGCAATTATGTTTTGAGCAGCTATGCGAAGCCGAACGACAAAACCTCGACGGCAATTCGCCGTGGTTCGGACTGGCACAGCAGATGATGCGGGTTGACTCAAAAACGTCGTGGATGGAGACTGAAATGTCACCTTCACAACTTGTAGGTCTGCTTTCATGGGTCGAGACGCAAGACGCAAAGCCTCAGCCACGATCGACTTGCGTGTTCACAAGCATGATTGCGCAGGCCGTCAAGAGCGAAGGCTTTGTTGACGCGGTTGGGCGGAGGTTGTTCGACATCGTCTCACCAATCAAGAGCTCACCTGCCACGGCTCTCAGATGGCGAGTCACGGCTTGTACGATTTCGGTGGCGACGCCAGATGAGAGGTCCACGATCTGGGAATCCGTCAAAGACCGTCTGTCTAAGATTTTGAGAAAGTCACCCATCGAGAGCCTTGAGACGTATGAGGCCTTCAAGTGCTCCTACGCGGCGTGGGACTCTATGAGTTCTGATGGCGAGCATGTCGCCGGGCCTGCATCTTTGGTGGAGCGATTTACGCAACGCCTTGCCGACGAGATGGCGTCAGGCACTGAGAACAAGGATGACAACCCGCTGAAGGTGGACGACGCGACGGCCTCAAGGCTGCAGTTCAGCGCAGCGTACCAGCCATACCTAGCTTGGTACCTGTACGGGTCAAGCAGATACATCAAAATGTACTCGACGAAGAAGGGAGAACTCCCTCAACCCTTAGCCAATGCGCTGTCGACACGAACGGCCAGCGTTGATGAGCTACGATCGCTATGGAACGGACTGATTAGCAACGACGACAACCTCAACGACACCAAACTTGGGAGAGATCTCGTTGATCGGCTGATAACGGGACTAGACAGTCCGGAAAAGGAGAAGAGCTGGCCGGGAGCGGAGGCACAGCTATGGATTGCCACTCTAACAGCCATTCCGGTCGATGTCTACAGCCGAACGCAGCGTGAGCGGCTCATGGCTGTGCTCGGAAAACGACGAACAAAGATGGCCAAGTCTCCGAAGAGAACATCTTTAAACGCTTGGAGGCTTGTATTGGACCTGGCGACGAAGATGGCAGGGCGCCCGACTTTCTACGAGGACATGAGCTTCAGAGACTTGGTGGAACTCGCAGGCGCCATGTCCGGGTTGTCTCTTGAGGATTCAGTTGACAGCGGGGCCGCTCTCGAGACCGTGAAACGATTTGCCGGTATGGCTTCTGCAACAATACGACAAATGGCCGAGAATATCGACGCACGAAGCTTGGCCTACTTCAAGGATGCGGGCGCCTTTGTTTCAGACTGCGAAAAGTCGGCACCAAAAGCAGGTGGCAAGGGCGCGGAACCTCTGTTTACCACGTTGCTCAAGGCGCTGGTGACAGAGCTCATGCGGTCGCCCAACTGCCAGAATCATGAACAGCTAGGCCCCCTGGCGGGCCAGGCAAAGAATGTCCTGGCGAGATATATTATGGCCATCGTCAACAACATTGCCTCCGAGAAGACCCCCTTGGCAACTCACGACGCGATTGGTGATTTGGGCCTCTACGCCGCCGTCGATGCGGCGGACGCCGTTGGAGACTTTGCGAGCTTGGCCGGTGGTGTCAAAGCCTCTCACTTACGCAAGCTTGAGAAGCAGTGCAAGGACGCCATGAAACAGGGAGACTTGCGAGGGTGGAAGCTGCAGATCTTCATCCAGACGTATCTGTCGGCGCAAGTGGAGGGAGCCCTTCCAACCACTTACGATGGCCTTGACAAGCTACCGTCTCAACTTCGGGTTCCCCTTTTGAAGGAACTTGTCATCGGCGTGACGAAGCACATGAGCACCTCTGCTCGTTTCGACTATCTAAGTGTGCTGCTCGATGAGTTTGAAAGGGGCTGCGACACCGACGGCCAAGTCATTGCCATCGAGACCGTCGTCGACCAGCTTCTTGGTACGTAACATGCCTGATTCCGATAGATACGTGCTCATAACTGACTTATATAGACCTCACCAACGTGCAAACCAATGGCGAATTTAGTCTGGCGGCGGCACATACTCAGTTGGCTGCCTGTCTCGCTAAGCCAGTTGCCAACGCCTCCTCCATCTGTGGCATCCTCCGCGCCTTGCTGGAGAAGAGGCCACAGGCCATGACGCAGTGGAACATCGAGCTCACCTTGAGCATTGCTTGCGACTTGACCTCCCCCACATCCAACCAGTCGCACGTATCGTTCCCCTGGCTATGCAGGCTAGTTGAGGTGGTCATCAAGAAGCACCGGCTCCGCCTCGAGGGCCACTACCACCTCCTACTCAGCACACTGCAGGCCCTCATGCAAGCCCTAGTAATCAAGACACCATACAGTACCACCAGCAGCGAAAACTCGCAGGAAACAAACGCCCACCGCTACGCCCGACTCATCACCCTCATCTGTGAGCCCACTGCGGGGGCCGTCTCCCGCTCACAGCTGCACAGCGCCCTCGATTCTGCGACTGACGCGGCGAAGAGATCCGCCGGCCGGCACATGTACATGGTGCTGATGCAGTACGTCAAGCTGCAGCTTGAGGAGAATGTGCCCGGATCCGTCAGGGAGGCGTTGGAGCCCGCCATGAACTCCATCTTTGACATTACGACGCCGGAGGGGAGGAAGATTCTCAACGACGCCCTGGACGCCAGCGGGAGGACAATCTTGCGAGAAATGTACAAGCGATATGTCAAGTTTGGCAAATGGAGCGGCGTCTAGACAGGCAAAGAGCTGTACTGTAGTCATTAGGGTATCTCGATACGGCCAGAATATATCCCGGCGTGTAAGTGTAGTTGTCAAGGTTACTTTAAGCTGTGTGCTTCTTGTATGTGCTCGGATGACCGTGCTTCTTGCCGTAGCCCCTGATCTTGCCATGCATGTCCATCTGGGCGAAGATCCACGCGATGGGCGCGAGCCAGGCTCCGAGGGTGTCCACGACCCAATTGTTTCGGAACGCGCCCCCGAGCGTACCCCATTTCATCAAGCTGCCGAGCCAATTGACCGTGATGTAGTAATCTCCCCGCTCGAGTCCACGGATCGCCATCTCGGCGACCTCATCCGGGGTCTGCTTCGGGTCTGTCTCCTCCAGGACCTTGGTAATGCCGGGCTTGCTGATGTTCTCGCGGTCATAGCCCGGCGACAGGATGCTGCCGGGGAAGACGGCGTGCACCTTGACGTTTTGCGGGTACAGCATGGCCTCCTGGGAGAGCGTGTCGGCGAGGCCGCGGATGGCCCACTTGGAGGGCGCGTATGGCGCGTACCCGGGGATGCTGTAGAAGGCGACGACGCTCGTCGTCATGACGAGATGTCGGGGCTCTTTCTCGATGGGCGCGTCGGGGGCGAGCCACTCGCGGAAGACGGCGTGGGACATCTCGGCCGTGCCGTAGAAGTTGACGTCCATCTGCTTGCGCAGCGAGGCCATGTCCATGTCCACGAACAGCTCCGGGATGGAGAAACCGGCGACACACCACACGACATCGGGGGAGCGGCCGTTGTTCCATTCGCGGGCCTGCGCGAGGAGGGGCCCGGCGTACGAGGGGGCGGATACGTCGGCGGAGATGTAGTGGAAACGTTGCGTCTCGGGGTTCTTGGCCGCGGCCTGGAGGAAGCGTACCCGTCAGCATCTACCCGAGCCGCGGTTTGGGAGGATATACAGAGAGGAGCTAGATATAGAGGGACGAGTGTACCTTGACGCTCTGCAGGGCGGCCTCAAGCTTGGCGGCGCTTCGGGAGACGAGAATGAGGTTGGCGCCGCGGGCGGCGAGCTTCTGCGCGACGGAGAGCCCCATGCCTTCGGATGCGCCCGTGATGAGGACGGTCTGACGAAGGCCTTCCTGTCAGCATCGGGAATTGCGTACGCGCGAGGGAGCAGGATGGCTGCACAGACCTTGCCGTCGACGGGCATCTTGTTGCCGCCAAAGAGTCCCATTGTCGATGCGATGACGAGCGAGAGCACAGCGGGTATGAGGATCCAGAGCGCGGTGCTCGTCGTGATGGTGATGTCCATGAAGGAGGCGCGCGCGGGCGTCGTAGAGGCTGTGGCTCGAGCTCAGGTCTGCGAGGAAGAGAGCGGCTTTGCGGGCTATTTATCCCCTGCGTGCGGCTGTAAGCAGCAGGGCCGGTGTGAGATGGGCTGATTGATCGCCTTGAGGCTGCTCAGCACGAGGGGTAGCTCGAGGTTCGACAGAGGTAAGCTTGGAACAGAGGCTGCCGGTTCCTGAGTTGCTGCCGGACAAGTGGGAGCTTCCTCACTGGAAGACGCAGGTGGGCTCCAGCTGGATGGACCCTAGCCTAGGGCCCCAGGTGGTTGTGGTGCCTGCCCTGGCGAGACCGAGACCACTGAATTGGGACCCAGTGTGAGGTCAGCTTACATTGGAGGGCCAGAAACCGTTTCGTGGCTGGATTTCATGAGACTCCACGGCGTCGCGGAACATGCGGCACACGTACAGACAGCACTTCGTATGAAGGGCAGTATTTCTGGTTAGGAAATTGCATCGACTATGACATGGAAGAAACGAACCTTGAAATGAAATGGTGACGAAATTTACTGCGAGGAAGGCTGGGAGCTACGGGCTCCTTGTTGGCGACTTCTTCCATGGTTGCAGCTGCAGGGCTGCGGGCTGCAGAGCGGCCTGCTGTCCCTAGGTACTGTTCAAGGTCGCCGCTATGACTTCCAAAGTTCCAGTTCCAGGGCTGCTGCTGCGGCTGTCAGGCCCGTCGTAACCCCCGGGCCGGTCCCCCGCGAAGGACGCGGTGCCTGGGGGCCCCTGGCCGCCCACGCCCGAGCTCCCTAGGTGGGAGCTCGCTTCCATGTGCGGCTGCCGTCATTAGCGCCACCCACTCCTCCAGGCTCCCGCATGTGAACCTGGCAGCTACACCTCTCCCATCAACAACACGCCCGCACAAGGGCAGCAGAATCGCGCCCTGACTGCAACGCAACCCCGTACAAACTACACTTTCAACACTTCATCCGACTGGCTTGCCTGGTCAAGCGTTTCCCTTTATTGACATCGCTAACAGAATCTGTATCACCAAGTTGGTAAGGACATAACATGTCCTTGACCCGGTGGGCGAGATGGCTGCGGGCGATGATGGTGACGGCGACAACGGCAAGAAGCTGAGCGTGCCTAAATTCTCTTCCTTCAAGCCAAAGCCAGCGCCAGAGGGCCGGGGAGAGAATCCTCCTGCCAAGAAGGGAGAGCGTGGAGGCGACGACAAGAAAGAGCTGAGCGTGCCCAAGTTTTCCTCTTTCAAGCCAAAGGCTTCATCCCGGGACGACAGCGAAAATCTATCTGCCAGGGAGCAGGATCGCGGAAGGGACAAGTCTCGTTCTGACGACCGCCATCGGGACAGCCATCGTCTTGAAAGACGCCATCGTGACGACTCTCGTTCTGACAACCACCGTCGGGAGAACCACCGTTCTGAAAGACGCCGTCGGGAGGACTCTCGATCTGGCGACCGCCATCGGGACGACCCTCGTCATGAAAGACGCCGTCGCGACAGCCATCGTTCTGAAAGACCCAAACGCCACCGGGAGGACTCTCGTTCTGAACAGAGTCACCGCCGCCATCGCTCGAAGCGTCGCCGCGGAACCTCTTCGGGTCGTGACGAAAGCTCTGAGCCAGAGAGCCGAAGGGCCTCCCGAAAGGATGATGAGAAACCCCGAGAGGGTAGCCGACGGTTGGACAGGGCTTCTGACAAAGGCCCCGTCTCCGGTGTTCCTGGTCTTTTTGTCATCGACACCAAAGGCGACCCGCTGATTCGAAAGTATGGTCTTGATCGTTCGAAAGTCCCAGCGTTTCGTCGATACGGAGGAGGCCGTGTCCTCGGTACAGATGGTCGTTTAGTGATCCACTACGATGGTCCACAGGAAACTTTCAGCCTCGTGTTTCCCGGCGAGAGGGGTCGATCGCTCGCCAAGGATGGACTACGGTCAACAGGTTGGCAGAGTCGTAACCCGGTTAGGATGCGAGCGCCCAAGCACGATGCTGCGGAAGAGAAACCCGGTGATTACATTTCCTTAGAGGGCACCCGAAAATCCAAACGGCAAAGTGAGAGCGAAGACTCTTCCGACGATGAGCAGCCTGTGTGGCGGTCCATCAAGGGCAAAGCAACATCGGGCCAGATCATCAAGAGCGATCCGGATGGCGATGAAGGCGAGAGCTCTGCCGAGGACTTTGACGACACGGAGGGCGACAACCCGTTGAAGTGGAAGTCGATTCTCCTCAACAGACGGGTCAAGGAGCATCCAGAGGACATCGACTCCTGGATGGAGCTGGTCGATCACCAAGACGACTTGATGCATGCTGGCGGGATCATCGACGGGAGGACCGCTGACGACACGGCACATAGCTTCTCCGAAATCAAGCTTAGCATGCTCGAGTCGGCCCTCCCGCACGCGACAAAAGCCAAGGACCGAGAGCGAGTCTTGGACGCGCTCATGCACGAGGGCAGCCAGATCTGGACCAGCAAAACTGCGGCCAAGAGGTGGCACGATATTTCTGCGGAGGAGCTCGAAAGCTTCGCTTTGTGGAAGACGCACCTCAATTTTGCAATGTCCGACATCAGTACGGTGGACTATGACACTGTGAAGCAAATGCTTCTGGACCGTCTGCACAGGGTTGTGGCCCGGAATGGCCTTTATACGCCGCAAGATATTCTCCAGGCCATCTACGTCTTTCTGAGAGCCACACGGTTCATTCACGATTCTGGCTATCAAGAGCTGGCTATCGCGGCATGGCAGGCGCTGCTCGAGCTCAATCTCCTCAGACCGAACCAGAGACTAGGCCAGGCCGAGGCCCTAGAAGCCTTCGAAGAGTTTTGGGAAAGCGAGGTCCCACGGATCGGCGAGGCCCAGTCGCTCGGGTGGAAGCATTTTGTCGAATTTGGCGGAGAGCCTCCGGCCGCAGCCAAGGCCAAACAAAGCATCGATCCCGAACTATCCATGGACACGTATATGTGGGGTGTCCTTGAACGTTTACAGGAGCGACAGGCCAGGATGCCAGCCAGAACACTGGATGATGGGACCGACGATGACCCGTTCCGCATTGTCATGTTTTCAGACCTACGGCCGCTGCTCTTTCAGATCCCCGCCACGTTCTTGCCCACCGTTTACGAAGAGCTCATTGACTCTTTTCTTCTGTTCTGCGGGCTGCCCCCTGCCTTCGATTCGAGCCTGTGGACGACCATGGCTCAAGGCGACCAATTTCTCGCCGCCGCGGGAGCTAATATCGAGCAGAAGCCGGCGTGGGAAGCCAAGGAGGGCGAGGAAGGGGAAAAGATACAGAGAAAACACCCACGCCTTGCCAGCGGTTTGTCCCGTGCCAAGCTGTCTCCGGGACTGCTTTTTGGCGGCCCCTCATGGTTCCAACATCTGGACCACGCAAGGCACCAGGGCGACTTTGACATGTCCTGGGTCCAGAACACGCTGAAGCAGCTTGCGCACTCAGGGACCGCGCCGCGACTTGCACTGTACTATCTTGGCGTTTGCTTTGCCAGGGAGCCGGAATCGATCCGGAAGCCTGCCAAAGCTCTGTTGAAAAAGTACCCTTGCGAAGCAGAGCTCTACGACGCCTATGCCCTTGCCGAGTACGCCAATGACGACGAAGATGTTGCGATCAAGGTGCTCAGCTCTGCGACCTCATCGAAGCATGTATGGTGATGCCACTGCCCGCTATAAAGTCCATGGTGCTAATGTCGGGATGTATAGCTTGCACCGGCCTCGACTGTATGCTCACTTTTGAGGACGTGGAGCTGGATCGAGCTCGATAACGGGAATAAGTGTTCAGCGACGAAGAGGCTGTGTGCCTGCGTCGACGAGTCGTTCAAGCGAGCCCGGCTCAACGACGAACAAGTCTCACCGACAGTCATTCTCAAGGCCAAACAGATGCTCAAGTCCCAGGCCGAATCCTGCCTGTATGGGGGAAAGGCTGAGCAGGCCAGCGTTCATCTCGAGTGCTTGATCCTGCTGTCGTACCTGACCGACGTCGGAGGTAGCGAGCCGGCATCGGAATCTCAGGGAAACATAGCGGCCGCGATGTTTACGCTCCAGGACCTGTCAAAAGAAGTCGTCGCCTTAGAGGGAGGTTTGGCGATGCACGAACTTATGCTCCAATTTGCTGCCAGACTGTTGTACTGGCATGCTAGCAAGGGGTACGATACGGCCACATGGTTCCCCCGCCGCGCGGCAACACTTCACTGACAAAGCGTGCAGACCATTCCGGCGAGTGTTTTTGCGCGAACAACTGTCTTCCTTCATCGAACGGTTCCCTCGAAACACGATATTCTTGTTGCTATTCGAGTGGACCGATGTCAACTTTCGCGTCATCAACGAGACGCGGAATGTCCTCGATGACAAGGTGCTCGTCAAGGGGACGGATTGCGTGAGCAGCCGCATCTTCTCCATCCAGTACGAGATGGCTCAAGGCAATGCGCACAGCACCAAAGCTGCTTTTGAGAGAGCGCTGAAGAGTGATGTTTGCAAATCCAGTGTTGGACTGTGGATTGGTTATGTGCGCTTTGTCTACTCCCAGAAACAGTGGCTGCGGCAGCCAGCGAGGGACGTCCTCTATCGGGGGCTTAAGAACTGCCCGTGGAGCAAGAACTTGTTGATGGAGGCGTTTGGGACGCTGGTGCGGGATATGAAGCCGGATGAGCTGCTTTCGGTGTACCGCGAGATGACGTCCAAGGGGATGCGGGTGCACGTGGACATGGAGGACTACATGGCCAAGACGGCCGAGAGGCGTGCGTGAGAAGCGCCGCCGGTGAAGCGTCAGATAGGTCGCGGTGTCAGAATAAATGTTTGAATACCCTTGTATACCCTCGAGACGAGACGCAGGCCTCGGTGCAAGAATGGCTTGAATTCGGCAATCACAGTGAAGCACCGAGTTGGACTTGTAGCCAGAGCACCAGAGAACAGCGGACTGGAGGCACGAGAGCAGACAGCAATCAAAGGTGACCCTGGAGCCGTCGGTATCTGGCGGAATCCCTTTGCCAGTCTTCGCCAATTGCGATTGTGAAGGTGCGAGAGTGGCATGGCCACGAGTCGCGACTCCTGAGCGAGAGTGGGTTTCTACCAGCGGCCTGGACCCTTCCACCCTGTTTGGCGGCCCCGGTTCAGCTGGACAGGCTAAGGTATTTCTATATCAGGCGCTGATCAAGAGGATCCTCCCGTGCCCCTGCTGCTAGCTTGTGGCGCCAACCCACCTGTGGCCATCGTGCCTGGATTCGGTGCGGGAGGCAACCCAGCGCCAGGCAGTGAGTGGCTTGCGGCGCGGGAAGGCACTGAATCAGGGCAGCGGCTGAGGGTGACGATTTGCGTGCGCCGGGCTGTTTCAGGATTCATTGAGTCCCATCAGCACCAGCCCAAGGCGCTGTAGGTAGGCACTGGAACGTGGCACTCGCAAACAGGGTCATCATTAGCGGTGGCTCTTTGTCACTCTGCTCTGTCTGTGGCTTGTCGTTGGAGCGTTTGACTCGTCGAGTGAGGCACTTGGACGGCGGAAGGACCAGCGCACCGTCATCAGCTCCTTCCTGTTGAATTGCAGTCCAACTCACCCACCGACCGCGAGCTGCCGCTAGCCACGTAGCTACGACTCACGAGACTCACGGGACTCACGACCGACTACCCCCTGGCGCAGAGTCACGACGTCAACTCTGGCTTGCTCACGGCATTGGGCCATTAAGCAACCCCGCCCATCTCAGTCACAACTCAGACCTGCCCGCCAACCACACCAACTAAAACGCGGACCTGTACGTCCGCTGCGCACGACATGACGCACCCCGACCAGCCGCTCGACTCTCTCCGCCAGGCCGGCGGCGGCGCCAGCGAGACGGTCCGCGCCGTCAAGACGCTCGGCGAGCACACCATCCCGTACCTGCGGCAGATCTTCGAGTCGCACGCCGGCCCGGACAAGACGTGGACCGCCGCCCAGGTCAAGACGTTCATCCAGCACGTCCAGCAGGGCGACGATGCCACCCCCGCGGCGGCCCACCTGCTGGGCCAGGCCACCGTCGACTTCAACGGCTTCCTGGCGTACATGACGTCTGCCGACAGCGCCATCACCGCCCCGTGGCAGAAGTGCGACCTCTCGTGGCCCCTCGCGAGCTACTACATCAGCTCCAGCCACAACACGTACCTCTCGGGCAACCAGCTCTCCAGCGATAGCACGACGGCCGCCTACACCAACGTGCTGCTGAGAGGATGCCGCTGCGTCGAGATTGACGTCTGGGATGGTGACGAGTCTGACGCGGAGAGCTCTGCCAGTAGTGACTCTGAAGATGAATCCAACACTAAAGTCGGCAAACCCAAGGCAACCAAGCCGAAGACCAAGAGGAGCAAGCTTAGCATGCTCAAGGACAAGCTGCCCGACTCGCTCTCCGCCAAGCTCGAGAAGACGAGCCTAGGCAAGAAACTGGAGGCAAAGGACGGCCACAAGGTCGAATCGGTGGATCAGCCCGAGGTGGCCATGATCGAGCCGAGGGTGCTGCATGGCTACACGCTGACCAAAGAGGTCTCCTTCCGAGACGTGTGCGTCGCGATTCGGGAGAGCGCCTTTGCCGTCACGGATCTGCCGCTCATCATCAGCCTCGAGGTTCACTGCAACGCGGAGCAGCAGGCAACCATGGTCAAGATCATGAAGGAGGTGTGGCAGGGGTTCCTTGTCGCGGAGCCCGAAACGCCTGCTCACTTGCTGCCCAGCCCGGAGGAGTTGAGAGGCAAAATCCTCATCAAGGTCAAGCACGTCCCTGCCGATGCTGCTGTGCCAGAGACATCGGACAGCGGCGAGGACGACCGCGTTCCAACCGACAAGACCGGGCAGCCGAAGAAGTTGCCCAAGATCATCCAGGAGCTGAGCCGATTTGGTGTCTACACACAGGCTGTGTCGTTTAAGAACTGGACACAGCCCGAGGCCACCAACCCCATGCACATCTTTTCGTTATCGGAGAACAAGTTCCTCGACCACCATGAAAAGTTCGGAATGGACCTGTTCAATCACAACAAACAGTATTTGATGCGGGCGTACCCCTCGGGCCTTCGCATCTCGTCTTCGAACCTGAACCCTCCCGTGTTCTGGGGGTCCGGCACGCAGGTCGTGGCGCTCAACTGGCAGCAGACAGACGAAGGAATGATGCTCAATGAGGGCATGTTTGCTGGCACAGGTGGCTACGTCCTCAAGCCAGAAGGTATGACCCTGTTCCACCACATGCGATTGTCTCCGCTAACAATGAACGACCGAAGGCTTCCGCCCCAACCTCGAGTCCAAGCCCTCTCAGGTTGCGACGATTCCTCGGAAAACCCTCGCTCTCAACATCACCTTCCTCGCAGCGCAATCAATCCCTCTCCCCCACGACAACACGACTGTCAAGGGGTTCAAGCCGTACATCAAGACGGAGATTCACGTCGACGCATCCCACCTGTCCCCGCTCAATGACGGCCACGGCCACGAGAGCGAGTTCAAGGAGCGCACGCGAACCCACCGCGGCTGCGACGTCGACTTTTCCGGCGAGAAGGTTTCCTTCAGCGGCATTGGCGGCCTCATTGAGGAGCTCACGTTTGTGCGCTTCACGGTCCGCGACGACGAGATTGGCAGGGATGACCTTGCCGCGTGGGCGTGCGTCCGGCTCGACCGCCTGGGTCAGGGCTATCGATTCATCCACCTCATGGATGACAAGGGTGCCCTGACGGATGGCGTGGTGCTCGTCAAGGTCGAGAGGATACTGACGTAGAACGTGAGGGGTCCGCCGACCCGGCACGGCGGCAGCAGTAGTCGTCAGTGGCACCGCCTCATGCGGGCTAGCCACCGCAGCAGGCATGGGCACTCCGCCAGCGGGTAGCCGATGTACGGCATCCATCATGCCATGGATATCACCAGCATGAATTTTGACGCAAATGAGCGCAGCATCATAGTGCATATATATTCATATTCATAGCCTTGATTGGCTTTGGTTACTTGGAGTGCGTTGGAGACCGTATCGTACTGGCGCACTCATACCAGACATGAGAGATCCTTGCCCAAACAAGTCATTGCACCGCACGGATTAAAGAATCATGACTGTCAACGTGCGGCGGCACGCATCCTCCTCCCCCTCCTCCATCATTATCCTTTTAGTAGTCGTTGCCGCCCCTCTCCTCGCGCTTCTGGTGGCCGCGCTCCTCGAGCTTGCTGCTGCCGAGGATGCCGCCGGCCTTCTCCATGAGCTTGCCGACGGTGCTGTCGCCGCCACGGTTGTTGTCATCGTCGCGGTCGCGGCGGCTGCTCGACGAGCCGTAGGTGTCGCCGCCAGAGGAGCCATAGGTGTCGCTGCCGCCGGTGCGGCCCGACGAGCCATACGAGTCGTCACCGCCGGACGAGCCGTAGGTGCCCGTGCCGCCAGTGCGGCCAGAGGAGCCGTAGCTGTCGTCGTCGCGGCGCGACGAGCCGTAGGAGCCACCCGAGCCGCCGAGGGTGTCGCTGCCGCCGGTACGGCCAGAAGAACCGTACGAGTCGCTGCCACCGGTGCGGCCAGAGGAGCCGTACGAGTCGTCACCGCCAGAGGAGCCATAGGTGCCGGTGCCACCAGTGCGGCCGGAGGAGCCATACGAGTCGCCGCCAGTGGTGCGACCCGACGAACCGTACGAGTCGTCGTCGTCGCGGCGGGACGAGCCGTAGGACCCGCCGCCTAGGGTGTCACTGCCACCAGTGCGCCCGGAGGAGCCATAGCTGTCACCGCCGGTGGTGCGTCCAGACGAGCCGTAGCTGTCGTTGTCGCGGCCCGAGGAGCCGTAGCTGTCGCCGCCACCGGTACGGCCTGAGGAGCCATACGAGCCGCCCGAACCGCCAAGAGTGTCGCTGCCACCGGTGCGGCCAGAGGAGCCATAGCTGTCGCCGCCACCGGTGCGGCCGCTGGAACCGTAGCTATCATTGTCGCGGCCAGACGAGCCGAAGCCGCTGTCGTCGTTGCGGCGGCCGGAGCTCTGAACGAGCGTGTGTTAGTGAGCTGCTTGGCTGGGGCTGTGGGCACTCAGCTCAGCTGAGATCGATGACTTACGTAGCTGTCGGTGTTGCCGTAGCCGGAGCTGGTCTGGAAGCGCAACTGTGTCAGAAAAGATGCTTTCTCTCGCGGGAGACACCAATTGACAGCATTGACAGCATTGAAATCACTCACGTTGTCGTTGTCGTTGTCGCGGTAAGACATGGTGAGTGTGTGTTGGTGAAGAGCGGGCTCAGTGAGCTGGTGTGGGGTATCTGGTATGAAGAGGGACTGCGCCTGGAGATGGAAGAGGGACTTGGACTGAGCACGGCAGATAGACTCTACGGCGGGTGGGAAGCGTCTCTACTTAATACACGAGCTGCCGCAAGCCAAGCTCGCGGGCAGACAGCATCTTGGATGGAGCGTGTCGAGGTGGGAAGCACGCCACTGAGGCCTCTTCGGGCATGACGTCCATCGTGAACTCCGAAGCGCAGCGCGGCAGGCCTGGTCGAGCTGAAAGCTACTCCAGCTTGGGCCAGCTCCCCCACGGCCGCAGATGTAGTAGCCCGTTCGCAGAGCAGGGGTGCCAACCGAGGGGACCCATCATCGGCACACCCATCCGCGAGAGTTTCCAGTCCGCGGGACAACCGGTTTTGGTCGTGTAACCGCGCCACAGCGACCAGCATGGGAGGGCCGGAGGCTTCAAGCTTCTCACTCATGTCGCCACTGAGCCGCATCGTCTTCCATTCCAAAGCAGAAGCGAACGATGGAGCCATGAGCAGGCGATATGATGTCAATTGACTGGATCGGCAGAAGCCTTTGGGGAGCTTCGTCATCTCTCTGCCGCGCGACGCGGGGTGGGGGGAGGCCCAGAGCTTGTTGGGATGATGCGATGGTTTCCTAGCGGGGTTACAATGGACCCCTCTTGCCCCTCCGGGCCAGCTACTGGCTGCTCGACGGGAGACGGACGGGCGGGTGGCTTCGAGTCCGTGATGGCGATGAGGGGGAGACTGGAAATGGGCCGGCTGGCGGTGCTCAGTGCTATGCTAGTAGTATGAGGCCTGGGCCCGGTTTTGCGCGATGCAGGGAGCGCCGAGATCGTGGCTGAGGGATGTATCATGTATCTTTTGTCCATGGCCCAACAGCTCGGATGGGGTCTGCGGGCAGATGTACCATGACGAGACGGGCCAGAGTCTCGAGACGCTACTGCGGCCGCAGATCCCATGGCGCGTTTCTCGCCTATGTGCCGATGTGCTGATTGGGAGCGGCGACGCCAGCTTTGGCTGGCCGCAGGCGCACGCCGGACGCCCAGTGGCAGACGCATCAACGTCAGCCCACATGGTTGGGTCGGGTCGTGCGCTCGTGGTTGGTCGCCAGCGTCGCGATGTCCGACGACGTGTCGGGCAGCTCGGGATGAGAGACTTGATGGTCAGGAAATGGAGGTGGAGACTTGAGGGGATGAGAAGGAGAAGGAGGAAAGGCACAGATGGGGAGAGGGGAGAGGCATGGGCTCTGCGTACAGTATGTACAGTCAAGTGAGGGGATGAGAATGGCAGGGAAGGGGCGAGTGGGCGCTCTTGTACCTCCAGGGTCGGCAGAGCAAAAAGGAAGGAGGCTCTCGTCGGCTCCTTCCTTCGACTGCGTAAGCCCTCACCTCGGACAGCGTATCGCCTGGTGACGCGACAGGCACCACGGCATGACCAAGCACGCGCCCAAGTGCGACAAGTGATTAAATCGTACTTCCGGTCGTTGAATTCTATGACGGCGTTCTAATAACAACCTGGTTCGTCCCAGCGCGGACAGTGTTCGGTCAAAGCAGTATCAAGTCCAAGTACAGCACGGTCTGCCCCAGTTCAGATCCTGACGCTCACGCACAAAGCAACATCTGGCACGCCGAAGAGGCCATCAGCCCACCCGCCTCCAAGGGCGTTGCCCAAGGCACGACAAGGTAATGTTGCCCGTCAACCTCTGCCCTACTAGCAGAGGCCCTTGCAGCCGTGGACGTTTCCGACTTTGTCCACCTTGAGGTACCCGTCCACGCCCGAATCATTATCCTGAAGGCCCACGGCCGCACACCCGTGGCACCCGGCGTCGAAAATTTGTGTTGTCAGGGCCTTGACTTCTGCGCCAGTGATGTTGCCATTCTTCAAGTTTTCGGCGAAGAAGCAGAACCCAGTCGGGCCGGCGGCATACATCCCACAGGCGATGTGCTCGCCGGACTTGAACGTCTTGTCGTCCCCCCATGACGCGCCGATGATCTGTGCAGCCAGATTCGACAGTTTGGTGCCGTCGATGGAGTGGTAGGTGCGGTCGTGGTGGTGATGGCGGCTCTCGACATGGCACCACCTCGACTTGCAGATGTTGGCCGCAGAGAGGGGCACAAGGAGGGCCGCAAGCACGAAGCTGAAGTGCATCTACAGCGAGCATGTTAGCACAAACTGTGTATCTTTGAACCCCATGCGCGGCACAGCAATGGAAGCATATCGTTTGGCTTGCCTTTCCGGGTCGTTGAGTTTCCAAGTACAGTACGGCCCTGGCAGTTGCGTATGTTTCTCAAGGTAGCTGGAGCTTTGCGTCGCGTATCTTGTCGTCGAGGATGAGAGTCGTACTGAAGCTCACTATTCCATTGATAAACGTCGGTCTCGACCTGTTCGTTATATGGCCCTGATCCAGCATACGTTCCCACCACCGTAGAACACCATCAAACATCAGCTCTATTCTTACGACAAGACATACGGCACCACGGCACCACGAGACCACACAAAACTCGACCGGGCGGTAGTGGCGGTTTCGCTTGATGCCTCCGTCTAACGCCGCACAATGGCCATGACTTGACGTGCCGATATAAGCAAGAACGGCCACACTTCGACCACCGTTTCCCGAGCCAGTCTGCAGCCGCGCTCGCCTATAGATAGAACCGCAATCGCCGTTGCTGAGCACCGCTTACGTTGCCAGGGCCAGTCGTAGACGTGCTCGCGTTTCATGGAACTGGGCACCACGTAACGGTTTCGTGGACCGCGGTGTCGGCGATGTTTCTGATCCAGCCGGAGACTCTCCTACGAGCTTCGGCCGCGTCTATGCTGGGCGGCGGCGCGGGGCACTGTGAGGAACGTGCGCCTACTGACGGTTTCGATGAGGCACCACGGACCGAGCCCGCTTCAAATCTCACAAGCCGACTTCCGAAGCCATTTCATCCATGACTCTGTGCCGGCGGGTATTCTGGCCTTATACTACAGTATTTGAGGAACGTTGTTTTGCTCGGTGCAAGAAAAGCCAAAACACCGCCTCCCCAGACGGAGAGTCAGTCTCGTCACCGTCCCACGCACGCGCAGTACCCCCTTGTGGCAGGGTCATGGCGCATCGGCGAAGGCCCCCACGGCTTGGCCACGCACATTGGCGTCGTCGGCGCCTCGTCGTCCTTGCACAGGATGAGCTTCGCGCACGAGTCGCGGTTCTTGCGCGCGTTGTCCGGGACCGCAGGCCAGGCCCAGGGACAGTCGACCGTCTGACACTTGCACCGCCCGAACAAGTAGAACCCGAACGCGTCTTGCATGACACATTGCGCGTGCGCAGGAAACGCCCCGTTGACGCTCGGGTCGCTGCAAGGTGCGTGCTCGGCGCAGTAACGATCTGGGTCTCGCTTGACGAGGCAGCCGCCGCCTTTGGGCTGGCACTGGCACACCCCGCGGGAAGAGCTCGTCGTCATTGCCTTGCCGGGGCCACCGGCGGCGATGATGGCGCTCGTGATGTTCATGATGCTCCTGCTGGTGGCGGCGATGGTGACTGAGGAGGAGGAGACGGACGAGGACGCAGACGCGGAGGTAGCGTTGCTACTGCTGCTGCTGCTGCTACTGTTGCTAAACTTGCACGACGCTGTCTCGTCCGCAAAGCACTGGCGAAAGCCAACACACTCACCGTCGCTGGCGCACTCGACCGCCTGGCACGCGCACTGGCCGTTGACGCACGTTGGGTACTCGTTCGACGACCGGTCGCAGGTTGTGCCCAGCGCGAGCCTGCACGCCTGAAGCCCCGCGTCGGTCTTGTTTTGCATGCAAGGCGTGACGGTGGACAGCGGCGTGGCTGACGGCTGCACCGGTGATGCGTATGTCCAGTTGGCAGATGGCCCGCTTGCGGTGGCCGCGTGTGAGGACGGCTTCACCGACAGCGCCGCCGAGCTGCTGATACCAAAAGGACCCGGTCCGTGTACGGAAGTCGTTGAGCTCCTGGGGGATGTTGCTGAGCTGCTGATTCCGATCACGGAAGACGGCGTGCTGATGGCCAGATGGTCTTGCGAGTTGGTCGCTGATGATGATGAAGTGATGCTCCCCGGGAGGCTCCCCGACGGACCGACGGCTAGCGGGTCCTGTGTAGAGGTAGAGCTGATCCCACCTGCGGTGCTTCCCGTCCCATGGATCGCCAGGGGGTCGCTCGTTGCTATCGACACCGCCGCCGGCGCCGCCGACGACGACGTACCCAAAGCTAGGTTGTCACTCGAAGTGCCAGCGTAAACGGCGGTAGACGAGCCACGTGTAAGTGCCCGCGGATCACTCCCCGACGACCCCCCGCCTCCGCCATCTCGCTCACCGTCGCGGAACAAAGTCGTCGCAGTCGGCATACCCGGCGACCACGTATCGAACTCGAACCCATGCTCACCACCCTCGCTAGAACTATGCTGGGCGCTGTTGTGGTCCTGGCTGGGCAGACCGAGGGTGGTGCTCAGGCAGGGCTCGACGGTGACGACGGACGTGACGAGGACTGTCCCCGCCACGACGGTCGTCAGTTCGGTCGTCGTCGTCGTCGTGATGTAGGTGGGATGCGAAGTCGTCGCGGAGCTGGATATGGAGCCGTTGGGGACTGGAGGGGGGATTGCTAGGGCGGCGGGGAGTAGCAAGATTGGCCACAGGTAAGTCATGGTGAGTATAGTCCAGATATGCAGTATTTGAGAAAGACGTGTAGACTTGAAGTGATCGAGACCGTAGAAGTAATTGTCGAGCACACATTCCAGGCCTGGCTTGAAGCCTCGCGAAAACCGCCTTTTGTACTGGCCCCTGGTGCACTGCGTCGGAAACCGTGTCTCGTGAATCATTCTAGTCATTGTAACAAACTCTGCCAGCGTCACGCTGCAACAAGGCAAACAAAGTATGGTACAACATGTGGTATCATCGTCAGCAGCGCATCAAGCGTGCGCGTCACAGCCGGCTCGACTTGTCACCCTCGCTCAACAGCGCACCGCTCATCATGGGCGCCTCACCGCGGCCGCCAAACAGGACCAGCTCCCTCCCTCCCTTGGTTCCCCACCAGGCCACGCCAATCGTGGACCGCTCGACGTCCATCTCGCCGTTGACGAGCACGTCCCAGAACCGATCCTTGACGGGAGCTCGGAGACGCGGGTCTGCGATCTCGTTCATGGCCTGCGCCGTGATGGCGAGCCACTCCTCCACCAGCGGTAGAGGCAAGAAGGGCAGCGAGTCGATGAGGGTCATGACGAGCGCGCTCTGCGCTGACAGCGGCACCTCATCCTCTGCTGCCTCGCCGTTTCGTGACAGCGTGTCGGGCGTCGGCGGGAGGGGTGCTGTGGAAGCTGTCGGCAGACTGGACCGCAGCATCTCGAGCAGCGTCTCGGACAGTTGCGGTTCCATCGCCGCGATGGGGAAGGGCGGCGAGACAATCTCCATGACGGTCTTGAAGGCGACCCGGAATTGGCGGGGGGAGATTTGATGAGGAAAGGACTCGAAGAGTTTGACGATGTAGAAGGGCGTGAGCTTGATGGTGAGGGGGCTGTGCTGCGGACACGACAGGACGGAGAGTATCGCGCTGTGCGCCGACTCAAATAGCTCGATCATCGAGGGTGACATGGGACCCTCGTGGGACAAGTACGTCATTGCCGGCTTGACAATGAGGTTCTCGCACGAGTCCACAGACAGCGTGAGCGGCAGGTGCTCGGCGACGTTTAGGTAGAAAAGGTCCAGGGTCCTTTGGAGGTGCGTCATGGGTATCGGGGCCACGTCCGCCGGCCGCAGCTCTCTCAAGAACCCGTCGCAGACGACAGGATCTCTGGTAAGAACGTCGATGGACGTCAGGTAGGAAAAGGTGTAAACTTGGAAGGAGCTGTTGCCATGGCGGGATGAGATGAAGCTCAGGTTTCGGAGGATGTGGAGCGACTTGGCAGCAATGCTTGGACCCATTCCGTGGGTGAGCATGTTGGGGTCCAGCAAGCTGCGGGAGACGATGGTCTGGAGTACGGCCACGGCGCCAAAGAGGAGCTTGCGAAGCGTCTGCCACAGCATCGGCCAGGTCAGTTGCCGCGTCTCTGGCGTAAGGTATGTTTCTTCGAAGGAAGGGTCGATGCTGCTCAGGGCCGTCTTTTGCCAGTTGTCGAGGACTCTCTCGGTGAACACGATCAGGGCATCCTGTGCGTGCAGCACCGCCGCGGTATCGTGCGCGTGTTCGACCGCGAAGCCGGCCAGCTTGGACAGCGGCCCCATGTTGGCCATGAGCGGCTGCTTGTCCATGTCCTGCAGCAGCTGGCACGACGGGGCGTTCGCTGGCCAGTGAAGCGCATGCGCTGCATTGACAGTAGTGTCCCGCGCGATGGCCTTGAGGAACTCGCCATCGCAGAAGCCTTCCTCGCCCGTGACGGCCCATATCGTCATTGGCAGCAACGCGCTGCAGTTGATTTGCGCCTTGTAGTGGTCGGAGAGCAAGGGGAAGGCAAAGTTGAGGGCCGTGACGATGGACGCGGCAGCCAGGAGCCCATCCTCGACGTTGTGCTCGAGGGCGAGGTTGGCCGCGGTCACGACGGCCTGCTCGAGAGTGTTGCGCAGCCCTCGCGACAGGGCGCGGCGGTCGTTGCCCTCCATGCCCATCAGCACGCCCGTCAGGACGAGCAGGTGCTGCCACCTCCTCGAGCGGTCGTCTGCGCCCTTGACGACGGCGCGCGTCCACTCGTCGCATCGCAGCCCGCCGCCTTCTCTCTGCGGCGGAGGCAGCGCCGGTGTCCGCCGGTGCTTGTCGTGCTCGATCTCGTTCTCGTGGACACGCACGGCGGCGGTGTGGTAGATGCCGATGATGCGCATCGCCGTCCGCGGACCATCCTGGCGGTGCCAGATGGCGGGTGCGGTGAGCAGCTGCGACGTGAGGACGCCGAGGTTGAGCGGGTTGGACAGCTGCGTCAAGAGGTGCGTTGTGGTGCCGATGATCTGGTCCGTCTTGGGGCCATCGTGGACGTCTTGGTAGTACTGCAGTACCGTGTTGAGGAGCCTGTCGGCAGGCATCTTGCACGATGAAATTACCGGGCGGGTCGCCGGGTCATCGAATGCGTCGAATGCGTCGCTGTGGAAGGAAGTGATGGTGATGGCGACGGGAGGTTGCGCATGATCCGGTCAGATCAGATGGAAGTTGAGGGCGTTCGGGGGCCGCGGCCGGAGCCGGCACTGGAGTCGCATCCACTGACTGCCCGCTGGGAGCTCGGGCGCTTGATGGAGCTCCTTTGCCGAGGCTCGGGCACCACGAGTGTGACGTCCCGGGCAGCCGTGTTCAGCGCATCGGCATCCCTGTAGGCGCGCACGTACCCACCCACATCCACGTATCCACTCGACCTCATCACCCTAGAAAGCTTCCCTCCCAGCTCCTCCTGCACTACGTTGCAAACCTACAGAAACACCAACGACAAACCTGCGCATCCAAGGCACCGTCCCGCGACAACGCGGGCCGCGTCGCAGCCCATGCCGCCCTCTCCGACCCGCACCCCGTAGTGCGCGCGACCGCCGAGACAATGCCAGCCTCCTTCAACCCGCCCGACGGCTACCACTCGCCGCGCTTCCCGTCGCTCAACGTCAAGGCGCTCACCGACCCGACCAAGGACCGCGAGTTCACGCTCTACTACATCAAGGACGTCTGGAAGTTCACCGTCACCTGGACGCTCATCACCTATGCGCTCTTCCACCTCGGCGCCGTGGTCGTGGCCCTGCTCACCCACCGCTGGAAGAAGTCGTCCCTGACCTACATGTGGGCGGTGCCGCTCGTCTACCTCGTCACCGCGGGGCTCGAGGCGCTTCTGGCGGGCAGCGTTGTTGGGCTCATGTTTGTGGAACCCATTGCCGTGAGGCTGGATGCCTGGTGAAACTCTGGCTGACGATCGCTTTGCAGGCTGGGCGCCGTGTACCACGCTGGCTACTACGAGATGAATACTTGGATACCATGCACCTGGGGGTTTATCAACGCCTTGATCCTAATCATCTCGTCATTTTCGATCCAAGGCGGGCTCTAATGGGGGCATGCCGAGGAGGTCCGACGTGGCCTTGTGCTGCGACGGTCCTTGATGACAAGCGACACATACATACGATGCACGTGCTCACCCTGCGCACGGGAGCAAGCCGACGATGCCAGAGATGGCCAAATAAAACGGCGAAAGCACTCCTCGATACCAGTGGCCCAGAAATAGCCGGCGAGGAGGATCCCGTTGAGGCCAAGATTGGCTCAAAGTACGAGCGCAAGCCCAACCGGTCCGAGGCAAGCGCCGCTGGAGGAATGTATATCGACGAGGCCCTGATGCAACATTCATGGCGCGGCTGTAGCATAGATGCTGAACAATAAGGCGGTTGCAGTATCGTTTCGACATCAGCTGCTCTGCCGATGGGAGTCTATACTGGTAGTTAGCCACGGAGGATGAATGATATTCACACCCCGTGTGCCGATGTGCGGGTAAACCGCAACAATTGAGAAGTCATGACTCTTAAACCTCCGCCCGGGTGGCCCCGTAGGTGCCGTAGATACCTTAAAAATTGTCGACAGAGAGCAGCAGCGATTGACTGGGCGGACGCCCGCGCCTCCCCGAGTTCATGGCGGTTGCCAAAGACAAAGGCGGCGCCTGCCCCACACCAGACAACAAAGGACAACCTTGCCCACCAGAGGGGCGAAGCCACGCGCCCGCAGCCAAGTTCGCCCGTCATTCTCACCGGCCGAGCACTTTGATATTGTTCACCCAGGAACAATTGCGCATCAAGCTTTTGCTGTCCCCCGCAGCGCAGCAGTTCCACGTTTTTTTCCCTTGGGTCATATTTTGCCTTGCGGGGCTCGTTTCAGACGCCGGGATCAAGAATTTCATCAACTTTCGTTCTGGACATGCGTCGCCTTTGAGTTCAGAGATCTCGGACGACAAAGGAGAAGACCCCTTGCGCAGCATCACGCACGCATCACCAGCCACGGCGCGGTACAAACTCCGAGAGACGGATAGACTGTGCAGCCTGGCCGCCTTGTGCAACGTACATCCGGAAGGATCATCAGTTTGAAGACTGGGCTCCAATCTTGGATCCCGCTGACCGCACCGCGTAATGGCTGCCCCCCTCCATGAATACGACGACAGCTGGCCGTCCTCGGAATCCCCGTCGCCTCCCAGTCGCCTTTCCTCCGCCCCGGCCTGGCACAACATTCGCGTGCCGCTCAAGCCCTTCCTCTCAGGCCAGCCCAAGTCGCTCGCGGGCATCGCCCTGCGCGCCTTCTGCCTGGGCCTCGTCGCCGCGGGCAGCGCCCTCATCATGGCCCACACCCTCGCGACGAGCGACTCCCCGGCCTGGCGCCTCCCCTTCTTCGCCCTCGCCCTCGCCGTGTTCCACTTCCTCGAGTTCTGGACCACGGCCGAGGCAAACACTCCCGTGGCGTGCATCGACAGCTTCCTCCTCACGGCCAACTGGCCGGCCTACGCCGTCGCCCACTCGGCCGCCTTTGTCGAGTGCCTGCTCGTCACGCGCTTCGCGCCCGGGCGCGACTGGGCGCCCCTCCACACGGGGCCCCTGCTGCTCGTGCTGGGCTTCGCCATGGTGCTCGTCGGCCAGGTGGTGCGCTCCGTGGCGATGCTGCACGCCGGCGTGAGCTTCAACCACCACGTGCAGACGGACAAGGCTGAGTCGCACACGCTCGTCACCAAGGGCATCTACAGCGTTCTGCGCCACCCGAGCTACTTTGGCTTTTTCTACTGGGGACTGGGCACGCAGCTGGTGCTCGGGAACGTCGTGTGCTTCTTCATTTACGCATTCGTGCTGTGGAAGTTCTTCAGTTCGAGGATTCGTTTCGAGGAGAAGAAGCTGGTGGAATTCTTCAAGAATGAGTACGTCGAATACCGACGGGACGTGGGAACCAAGATTCCCTTTATTTCTTAAAGCCGTGTGGCCACGGGTTGTCCTGGATCGGCGCTGAGACGAGCAGAGCGTTGTACCACATGTTGGCAAGAGTATAGTACTTTGAAGCGAGGGTCATCACGAGCGTCGTTATAGATTGTACTATTCAAGACCATCATTGTCCAAAGCAGAGTGGCCGTCATCGTCGAATGCAAGCTGGCCCACACTACTTGCCCACCATTTGCGGCATCTGTCTGCTCACACTCCCGTACTTTGCCTGCCACGCGTAGAAATACATGAGCGCGGCAAACGGCTGCCCGAAGATGGTGAAGGACACCCAGAATATGACGTTGCCGATGAGCTTGCCGCCGTTGCCGAGCTTCATCTTCTCGAGGGGCGCCGTGAGGGCGATAAGGGGGAGCTGCAGGAACATGCCCAGGAAAGCCACGCCTGCACATGGTCAGCACCACCGCTGTATATAGCGCATCTGAGGCACGACTTACCAATGATGTTGTGCGTCGGCACTCCCACAAGAATCTCGTGAAGCACGGCCGAAACGAAAAAGACGACAAAGCTCGCCGTCGAGGCACTCCAGCCTCGCCCAATCATGGGCATGTAGACATGGCGCTTAAAGTATGTGTACACGGGCTTGTTCCACGTCCGCCAGTACGCGCCCAGGCTCTCGCTGTTCCACCAGTCGTCATAGAAGGCGCGGTCACCGAAGCGAAGCACCTCAGCGAGCGCGTTGAGGAACGACTGAAAGAGGGCGAAGAAGCCGGCGAGCCAGATGACGAGCGAGATGGTCGACAGCTTGAGGAGCCGCTCCAGGATAGACGGAAAGTCGAGCGACGCAATCTTGTCGAGCGAGTTGCGCAGCACGGGCGCCGCGTACTGGAAGCTGGCGAACCATATGAAGGCGCTGAGGCAAAAGACCTCTCCGAGGCGCTTGGCGACAAAGACCCATCTGATCTTGTCGGTGCGCGGATACACCGGCTGGTAGACGAGCGTCGGGGCCCACCAAAAGTAGATCAAGTTGCTAAAGGTGATGTTTTGCGGATAAGGGCATTTGGCGTAGAGCTCGGGGACGAGCTCGCCTTTGACGGGGTGGAGGTAGGCGTGGCGCAAGTCGCGGTTGGTAAAGGCGTACGATGCCGTCTTGAGCCACACGATGATGGCGTGCATCTCGGTCAGTGTGCCAATCAGCGGGTGGTGGATGTAGTAGTAGACGACAAAGGTCGTGGCGACGAGGGCGAGGGTGATGTTGAGGGTGTGAACCCAGGCGATGACGACCCAGGTGGAGTGGAACTTCTTGCGATCCTCCGCAGACGGGCCTGTGGCACCGTCCTTGATGCGCTTCCGCGACCCGAGGGCTTGTCGTGCGGCGGCGAGTTCAATGAGGTAGGCAGCGAGGAGATGGCACGGAATCAGGAAGTAGAGGAGGCCGCCGAGGAGGACGTCCTGTCGGCTGTATGCGTGGCACCTTATGCATATCAAGACGCCATACTGCGAACCGTAAGCGACCTGCACATGCCAAGCCAATATGTGGTTGACAGCAGTCTCACCTTTTGCATGTTTTCAATCATGAGTCTCAGGTTGCCCACCACTGTAGGTCCGTCTGTCAGCGTCGGCGCATCGAGGTGGTGGGCGAGGGACCTTACCCAAGACAATGACCATGAGGTTCCTGAACCCGATAAAGCTGGGCGCCGCATCTGAATCGTGGCTAAGGCACGAGGGCCGCGTCTGCGAGTGGACAGCGGCGACGTGGCGATACTTTTGCTGCGGCGAAGCCTTGACCTTGTCGACGGTCGTGCCATTAGGCGGTTCCACCTCGGTGAGGTTCTTGCTGGACGCAGACTTGGAGGCGTGACGTCGCGAGGCCGCAGTGCCGTTCGAGGCCTCGACACTCGTCGCCGTCGCGGCGTTCATGGTAACCCAGGTCTCCAGCGGCGATTGGCACCTCGAAATGCAGTGGCACGTCAACTGATCCGTCTGGCGATGGGAGGAGGGTGGCAGCGCGCGTTTGCTGGGCAGGCTTAAGCTGATGTGAGGAGAAGGATGGTGGTGGCGGCGGCGCTGGTGTTGATAAAGGATGGAGGGGTTGATGCTAGAGCTTGTACCTTACGGCTCCCTTGTTAGTGGCGCCCACCCCTCAAGCCAACAACGGCTCGGCAGTGTCTTCGAAGGCTGGCCTTCAGCCGTTGTGAGCCAATTCCTTGGCGCGTGTTGGGACTTGGGAATTTGTAGCTGTTCCGCCCTGCCGCGGGCAAGGCACGAGGAGCGCGGTTTTCCTCGTCAGATCGGACCGCGGGAAGAGGAGTCGCTCGGAGGAAAAATCGCAGGCGCAGCGCAGCACGTCTAACAATAGCAGCCTGCACGCACGGCTCGGCCGCTGTCAAAGAAGAGAGAGCTCTTCCGCCAGTGACTTGTCGCGAATTTACGGCCGGGGTGGCGACGATTGCGCGCGGAAAACAGCGGGGCCGGACGGGCCTGACGGGGTTCCTCGAAGCCCCTCCAGTCCCTCTGCAGGTTGGCTCGCCCGCAGTAGCAGGGGTCTAGTTTTTCGTGCACGGCGAAAGCATGTGAAAGTCGATGGCGGCGAGTCGTTGGCGAGTCGAGGTGATGATGGAGTTGGGCAGCATGTGTTTTGTCCTGTTTTCCCCGAGCAATTCGCCTCTCCGCGAGGCCAGGCAAGGCCGTGCCTGGGCGCTCCTTCCTCGAGTGAAGCTTGCACGATGGCTGAATCGCCAACCACCTTCACCACGCGGCGGCGCCAGCTCTGGCTGCACATCATGGCGACCCTAATGCACCTCTGCGCCAATAGACGCCGTGCCGCTCTGCTGCTGCGAACCTGGAATCCTGTCCAGCCTCTTCCCAGCTGGCCTCTGATTTGCTGCGTCGAGGTGCATCTCGATTTGGCTGATCGACAGGGAACAAGGGTTTCGCTGACTAACACCCTCACACAAGGTGACAGTGACACCCCTGGCGCACAAGGCCTGTGCTGAGATCACGTGAGCCCGCCAGGGTCGCGCGCGTCTTGGAGCTCCGACTGACTGCAGCTTTGATGGGAGCCACGCGACAGCCGGAGCCACCTGGAGACGTCCCTCGTCGAATGCTTCACCCGAGTCAACCCTCGAGGCGCCCAACTCGGAAACCGCCCGGTCCAGCATCTCCAACTCATAATCGCAGAGTGCGGTGTTATGGAAAAGCATATTCGGATGATCTGCACCCGCTGATTGAGGCCTCAATTGCTACCTGAATCCCGGCGTCGAGGCCGAGGGCACTCGCCTCAACAGCGACCATGGCTTACGAGCCACGCGGCGACCATGGCGACAGAGGTGACCGAGGTGACCGAGGTGACCGGGGCGGACCAGATGGAGGTCACGTCAAGGTGCGCGGCAGAAGTAAGTCATGTTTCGAGCAACGTTGTTACGGCTGTCCTCCCCAATTTGCCCCTACCTGCAGCAACGTTTTCAGTCAATGTAGCCCAGGCGACCAACCGTCGGGATGATGAGAAGCTTGGAATGGTCAGTGGGGGCCTTGGCCAAGGTCAATGAGGTTTGCAGCTGCCGAGTGAGGTTGCGCAGCTGCGCGCGTTCCTAAGCCGCCGTCGTCGCTACCCGATGAATATGGTCGGGCGGTTCGCCGCGCCATTCACAGGTCTTCCTCATTTCAGCCGTTGCCGCCGGCCCTGCTTTTGCTATTTGCCTGTTATCTCGCCTCAAGTATTTGTCTCCCTTATTTGCCTTTACAGTCCATGATCCTCTAGCTCTCGCTTGAGTCCCCAGCTTCAAGCGAAGCCAGGCACGATGGACACCCGGCCTCGTCACAGGACCCCTCTCCTGGCAGCTCTAACGCATGATCCTTTAGGGCCTGTCACCGATTACAGCGCCACCGTCACACACTGGCTTCGCAACCGCACCGCCAACTACAAAGGTGGCTATACTGGCGAAGCAGAACGGCCAAGCGCAAGCTACATTGTGGACGTGGGTCTATCGTTGAAACGGCTTGGTGACGCTTCAGCTAACATGTCTCCAGATGATCCCCCCGGCTGGGCGGCCAACCTCTGCTGCTGACACTATCCCCTCAAAACACCTTCATTCGTCCTTGAACAAGATCAAGCACCCGATAAACGTCGTACGATGGACTCCAGAAGGACGACGCCTCCTGACAGCCTCGACAAGTGGCGAATTCACGCTGTGGAACGGCACGGGCTTCAACTTTGAAACTATCATGCAGGCCCACGACTCGGCAATCCGGGCCCTCGAGTATTCGCACAGCGATGACTGGCTCATATCTGGTGACCACGACGGCCTGATCAAGTACTGGCAGCCAAACTTCAACAACGTGCAAAGTATTACCGCACATTCGGATCCCATCAGGGACCTGGCATTCAGCCCCAACGACTCCAAGTTTGTCAGCGCGTCAGATGATTCGACGCTCAAAGTCTTCGACTTTGCCATGGGGCAGATGGAGTCCAAACTCGAAGGGCACGGATGGGACGCAAAGACTGTCGACTGGCATCCTACAAAGGGCCTGCTTGTCTCGGGCTCCAAGGACCATCTCGTCAAGCTGTGGGACCCGCGTACAAGCCGGTGCCTCACGACCCTTCATGGCCACAAGAGCACCATCACAAAGGTCATGTTCGAAAAGGTGCGAGGCATGTGCCTTGCAACCTCAGCTAGAGACCAGACAGCCCGAGTCTTTGACCTGCGAATGATGCGCGACATTTGCCTGCTCAAGGGCCACGAAAAGGACATCTCGACATTGACCTTCCACCCAATTCACCCCAACCTCCTCACGACTGGCGGCTTAGATGGTTCGCTGTTCCACTATCTTCTTGACACACCAAATCCACCTCCAGGCCAAGCCCTGACCGTTGCGCCATACGACAGCATGGACCCAACAACTACCCCAGCTCAGTCCGTCTGGCCGACGCACAAGGTACCTTATGCCCATGACTACGCTATTTGGTCCCTCGACTGGCATCCCCTAGGCCACATCCTCGCCACCGGTTCCAACGACAGGATCACCCGGTTCTGGACGCGCGCTCGTCCCGGCGACGCCGACGTCTTCCAAGATCGCTATCACATTGGCGAGGCAGCGGCGGAGGCACAGGGCACGTGGGACCGTCGCGGAAACCGAAGACAGCGGCAGGAGGAGGAGCAGCAGGAGATGGAAGACGAAATGGACGCCCTTGTCGACCAGGATGCCCACAAGCAGATCAACGCAGGTCTGCCCGGCATTCCCGGGCTCCCGTTGGGAGGCGGTGTCCCCGGTCTCGGGGCGGGTGGCCCGATTCCGCCGCCTGTTATCCCTGGCGTCGGTGCCGGCTCCGGTGCTCCTCCACCACCCCTCCCGTTCCCGCTCCCTGGGCTCAACGGCGCTCCTCCGCCGCCGTTCCCCGGACTGGACCCGAACAACCCGCCTGACCCGGCACAGCTTCTCGAACTCATGAAGAAGGCCGGTGTGCCGCTCCCGCCACCCGGCGCGCTACCTCCTGGCCTCATCCCTCCGCCAGGAGGTGTGCCCCCGCCCCTCCCTGGTGGCTTCGGGATGCCGGTCCCTCCTCCGCCGATACCACACGTGGATACCGAGAAGTCGGAGAGTGCGCGACGACGGGCGCCGCTGCCCTCCCAGGAGGAGAGTCTGCGACAGGAGCAGCGGCAGGGGAAGTACACCAGGGCGAGGTAGTAACTGCATGGTGTTATCCGAACAGCTTGCCACTGGCGTGTACGATGGGTCGTGATATCCGAGATTTGGCGTTGCTTGGGATAAAGGGGCGAAGCGGTTCAGGGGCAGCTCAGGTAGTTTCCATTGCAACCGCAGAGACACCTAAGAGGGCGTCGAAGTCGAGCGCTTGTAGTATAGGACTTTCAAGCAGTAGCAAAACGAATCCTTTTTGCAGGAATCCGATTCTATTATGCTATCTAATTTACAGGGGCCTACCCTCCGGGCTTGCGCTCAGCTCTATGTGAGATGAAGATGACAGGGCAAATATCGTGATTCCGCCTCTACCGGCGCACCAATGCAATAAGCCGTTAAAGGGGGTATATGGCAGCGCAGCATGTGGCCGACATCCTTGTTGTTCCCTCTGGCCACAGGTTATACAATTCAAATCGAACCCTCACGCTACGGCTTCGGCGGAGGCGGGGTAATGGCGCGCTGGGCGCCCTTTGCAAAAGCCTTTTGTCGGTCGGCGTAGTCGCGGATGACGAGAGCGCACGTTGTGTCGGCACACAGCCTCTTGCGTCGCTGGAGGGGCAGCTTCGTGGCGAACTCGAGGCCGCTGGCGCGCTCGACGGCCTCGACGGGGACCTCGAAGTCGGTGATGGGCTTCTCGTTGGGAATCGGGGCGTTGGGCAGGACGAAGGCGCCGATGGAGACGTTGCCGCCGGCCTTGCCGTCCTCGGCGAAGATGACCTTGTAGAAGTGCGTCGGGACGGCGACCGAGGGCGGGCTGCCAATCATCTCGTACTTGACGTACCACTTGTTGTCGACGGGGTCCTTTCGGGGCAGGTAGAGCGGCCCCGTGACGATGCGGACGGAGGGGTACTGGATCGTCAGGCGGCGGCAAAAGTCCTCAAAGTGCGCCCAGTAGTCGCGGTTGAAGCCCTCGCCGACTTGGGGGCACATGTTGGACAGGTAAAAGGTCTCGTCCATGGCGCGCTGCGACCACTTGGCGTCCGCGGCGGGGACCTGGTGGCCGCGGTCGTAGCCGCTGCGGTAGTAGTCCTTGAGGAGGGCGCGGAACTTGGTGGGCACGGCGTCGTCCTCGAGGAAGGCGCTGTTCTTGCGGTCGCCGTCGCGGATGGCGAGCGACGCGGGCGTGATGTGCTCGACGACCCAGTGCGGGTTGCGCGTGCGCCGGTCGTAGCTCGAGATGAGGGCGGACCGGCTGGCGACGTCGGCCACGGGGCCGGGGAAGCCGTACTCGAAGAGGCCGGCCGGGTTGACGGGGCCGGCGACGCCCGCGGGCGTGAAGACCTGCGTGGGCGGGACGGCGAGGGCGGAGGGCAGCGGCGCGGGGGCCGTGGCCGTGCTGGAGACGGTGGTTGTGGAGGATGCGATGGTGGGCTCGGGCTTCTTGGTGCTGGAGGAGGAGGAGCGCAGCGAGTAGACTGCGGCGGTGAGGGCGGCACCGCCTCCGGCGCCGAGAGCAGCAAACATGGCGAGCGTTGATTTCGACATTCTGGCGGTGGAAGCGGCGGCGGCGCGCGGGCTGCGGTATGGCATTTATATACGGGGAGGCTGAGGGCAGGGCAGGCGATCGCGATCCCGGCGGGCTGCCTGGGGGCTTCGGTCTCGCACGGGGTCTGTAGCGAGCGTCGTCGAAGCAGTCAGGCGAGGAGGGCAGTGACTGCGGTGACTGAGGGCGAGCGGCGGAGCGTACGAAGTAGCGGGTGTTCTGAGAGCTCGAGTGCTCACGAGGGGGGGGAGTGTGCGGGCGGCGGCAGGCCCATGTGCGTGGTGCCGGTGTGCTGGTCGAGGCACATGGGATGGTGGTCGGCAGGTCCCGTGTACAAAAATGTTCGGGATGATTTGCGGGCGAGGCAGACGCGCGCGCCAAAAAGAAGGGGTCCAGTCCAGGGCAGCAGGCTCACAGCGCTATGTCTAGTGGGCCGAGCCGGGGCTTTGCCGGTACCAGTGATCGTGAAGTGCCCGGGCAGTTGCCCAGGTGCTGAGTTCGTAGGTACAGTCCAGGCGTTTTAGCGCACGTGGGTCAGGGGACCAAGCCGCCTCGAGGAGTCGAGTCGAGGACCCACCAGCCTCACTGGGCGTTGGCTGTCGCACTCGCCCCAGGTATGCCCACTCCACCCATCGTTCTGTCGCTATTCTTACACCACTCATCTTGAGCTCGTGTTTTATCTCTGGCGTCCTGACAGCTGCCCCTGGGCCTGGATGCCATGTGCTCTCGTGGCGGACTGACCTCTTCATTGGCTCCCTCGTCACGTACCCTCATGCGCGACACACTCTGACATGTCTTGGTGTGGTTGCCATTGTGCCACGGCCACATTGCTCCGGAGGCATTGTCATGTTGAGCTTTGAGGCATCTTGGGAACTCCGAACCGTGTCAAGTACATGTATTTCATACTAATAACAAGCACCGCGCATTTGGGCTCGCACCCTTGGACTCGTCAGTCGTCTGCTAAGCTCGCGTTGCGGCATCGAGCAACCACCACATGCCAAACTCGTCTTTCATTTCTTCTCCGAGTCTGGAGTACAACGTGTCGGCTCTGAAGCTCGACTTTTGGTGAACTGAATTATACGCAGGCGTTACCTGCCCGGGCTCGACCACCTGAACTCGCGGCGATCCCAACCCCTTTTCCATCTCGTGGTTCTATAACAGTGTACATGGACAGCGTCGATGACTCTCTTACAGGACGAGAGCACCGACGAAGATGGCGCCAAAGAGCGATACCAGAGCAGTTGCGGCGCCAAGCGAAGCGGCAGGTCGGCCAGCACCAGCCGTGACCGACGCGGAAGCAGACGCCGAGCCAGTGGCACCGCTCGACGTGCCGATCGAGCCGCCCGTGGTGCTCTGCGCCGGGGGCGTGGCCGGCTTGGACACACCGGATGGGCAGTGCCAGTGGTCGCCGTGGGGCTCGCAGCTACCCGTGGGCACCGGGTGGCCGTCGCCGGACGAAGTGGTCTGCTGGGCAGGAGGCGTGGTCGGCTTGGGGACACCCGAGGGGCAGTGCCAGTGGTCGCCGTGCGGCTCACAGCTGCCCGTCACCTGGGCGTTGCTGCTGGCCGGGGCGGACGTCTGCGCCGGGGGCGTGGTCGGCTTCGGCACGCCGGACGGGCAGTGCCAGTGGTCGCCGTGAGGCTCGCAGCTGCCCGTCGGCTCAGGGTGGTCGTCGTCGTGAGCAGACGTCTGAGCAGCACCCGTCGAGGTAGGGTGGCAGTGCCCTTGACGATCAGTCAGGTCGCGGACATGACAAGAAAGAATACGGGTCGAGTCTTACAGTGGTCACCGTGCGGCTCGCAGGCACCGGAGCCGGTGGGCGAGGGAGGCAGCGACTGGGACTCGGAGGCTGCCTGGGGAGAGGCGGCGACCAGGGCGGCCTGGCCGAGGAGAACGAGCGAAAGCCACGACTGGGGCTGCATCTTGACTGGACTTGTTCAACGACGGACAAAGGGTCTGTGCTAAGCTGGGGAGGCGGTAAACCGAGACAAGAGCGGAATGCTACGCACCCCCAAGGCTAACCCATATATATACTTGACATCTCACCTGCTGGCCGGGCGGACGGCGGCAGGACTACACCGTCGGAACCTCGTGGCGAGATCCACTCGCTAGGCCACGCGCAGTTTATTGTGCAGATGGGGATCATTGGATGGCTGTCAGGAAACCCTGGCGTGGTGAGCCTGTTGCCAAGGAACGGCTGGTTCGTTCGTGAGAACCTCTTTGGCCTGGCGGGTGCGAGGCTCGGGCAGGCTACACTTGCTCGATTTGTGCCAAGATACGTTCGCCGAGCCCTCATACGGATGGGACCAACGAACGCACGTTTCTCATTGGAGTGGCAGCTTCTGATCCGGTCGTTGTGTTTCTAGGAGGCGGGCAAGGACGTCAACAACATACAGTGTTGACTGTGTGCAGGAGCTTGCCCAGTATATCACTGGGCGGCATGGGGCACACCAAGCGCCTTGTTCGTTGCCCTCGCAGAGCAGTCCGCTACTCGTCTATGTATCCACGGGACAAACGTCCCTTGCTATCCTCCCAAAATGGCAGCGCCAAGCGGTTTTGTGCATTGTATGCAACGGCTCCCTTACCTGATGCAACCTCAGCTGAGCAAGCCCAGGGCATGATTCTTGCAGATTACCGCGGGCAATGCACTGAAGAGGTGCGTTGCGAAAAGAAGGCAACGCTGTAAAGTAGGTAATTAAGCATAATAAGCTTAAGGAAGCCAGCCGGACCTTGATGGACTACGTACTCGTACAATGGCGCTTAGTTGCTCCGCTCCTGCGCATCAAGCGCGAAGGCGAGAACCTTGATGGTCACAGAGGAACTGCATGGGCGGAGAAGGATCCTCGATTCAGCTGATGAAGGGCGTGATGAGGGGTTAGGGAGAAGGAGAGGAAAATGCCTCACGAGTAATGACCGTTGTAGATAAGTAGGCCTGCCGTCCGTGTCCACGGGCAAGGTTAAATAAAGCCTGGTTGATGGCTGAGACGAATGCGCGAGGTAGTTTAATCGATGCCAACCGCTCTGGCCCAGGGCACGCGCTTCGCACGGCTTATGCAGCGAACATCCTGTACAACACAAGGGATTTTATGGGACGTTAAGTCCTTTCGAGTTCCACGAAATGCCGTCCAACGGACCGGGAGAGCCAGCATCGCGGTTCGGAACCAAGCCACCGGCGAAGATGCGTCCAGGAAGGACCGAGCTGGTCCAGCGCCTTTTGAAGCGCATCACTTCTTGAAATGCTGTCCATGAATTCGGAGTGATGCCGCCTGCTATGCAGTAAAGGCCAGCGCCTTCATGCGTCTGCATTGTTTGTGGCCCGACCGAGTACCCAAGAGCTGGTAGCCAGTACGGGGCTGTCCCGCTGACGAATGATGTCCCCCAGGGTAAGCATCGCAAATCGCGGGGCAGGCCTTCAGCGGCTGACCAAATGCTGCCAGCTGACTTGCATTGCACCCCGGCTTGCTGCACGTCCACGGTCAGGAACCCGGCATCCCGGGATTCGGTGATGACCTCGGTTGACGACAAAGGACGACACGGCATGCGGTGGATAGGGAGGTGAACGCTTCTTTGCCTTCGCATTTAGAATGCTTCTAGGCAGCCGTGCCTGGTAATCAGTCTTTCTCCTGCTGCAGCATAATGAGAGGGAAATGCACCAGGCGACCCAGAACGTCGAACGTGACCTGCGGCCAGTCGGAAGACGGATCGCGACGTGAGGCCGGAGATGCGGCAAGACCTTGCCGTGCAGCACCTCGTGTGGTTCAAAAGGGAGCCAAAGGTGGCACCGCCGCAAGCCTGAGCGATGATGAAGATGGGCCGGTGACTGACCGACTGCTGCTGGCTGACTGGCCGGGGCGGAACAGGCGGTGGCTCATGAGGCGACGTGAGGCGATGTGCGAGAACCCTGATGGCCACTTTGCCGGCAACGCGGAAGGCACGAGGGCGCCCTGTGAGGCTATGGCCGCCTGCCTGCGTGTCTCTCTTCCTTTCGCGTTGGTTCCAGTGAGGCTCGCGCACACAAAACACCAGCTACTTCTTCTCCTGTCCTCGTTGATTGTTTCTGTACAGCTACAGCACGGCACTCCCCTCGTCCCTTTACTTCTCCTCACACTGCCGGAGCGGTAGGTGACCTTGGTCCTTTGTTAGATCGCGAGCCCGCCCACACGATACGTCCCTGTGCCGTGCGTCCTGCCAACTCCGTCACTAGCGCCCGCACCCAAACCCGGCCTTCTCCAACCCACGCCATTCCCTTCCGGTCCATCCATCCATCGCCGCCATCATCCCACCAACCCGAAAACAAACTTTGGTGTCCGCTGCCCCCCTGCAAGATTGACCCAGGCTCCGGTACGTCAGCGACCGCCGCCACTGCTCGTCGCTGTCGGTTTGCTGTCGTCAACACCGTCAGATTTGAGGCCCAAAACCTCCTCTTGCCGGCTCCCGAACACCGCGAGAGAACTCTGCCGCGATAGTCTCGACAACGAAGCAGCCTGCCGCCCTGTGTGCGACGAACCATCCCACCACGACGCTCATGACGTAGCGCCTGATAACGAAACCTCGAACGCTTGGGTCCTCCGCAAACCTCGCCAGCCATGGAGCTGGTCGTCAGGGGACTCGACAATGATACCCGCGGGTGGATCATGACCTTCGTCAGTGGCATAGGTGCGTCTCTCTCGTCCCCGCGCCCAGCCGTCGGCGCCTTGGGCCATCTCTCGTCCCCGTGCTGACCGTCGCCAGCGTGCGTCTTCGGCGCAAGCATCATCTGCGTCGATGTCCTCGTCCGCCTCCTGCCGGGCAAGAGAAACTTTCGCATACAGGAAAGCAGCGCCTTTCTTGCCTGCTCGCTGAGCCTCAGCTTCGGCGTCATGGTATACCGCAACCCCCTTGGCAACCTTCCCACGGGCCCACGATTTGAGACCCCTGGCTGACTGTCGCAGCTCTTCTCCTCACTCTTTAGCATGCTTCCCGAGTCAAAAGGCTACCTCAAAGATGCCGGTTGGGACGACCAAAGCGCCGGCCTCGTCATGATGGCTGGCTTTGTTGGAGGCTTCCTTGGCATTCAGGCCGTGTCGCGGTTCCTCCACCAGTACATGCCCTCGCACGTGGTCGACTGCGATCACTCCCACGACGACGCCGCCACGGTCGATAGCCATTCGTGTAACCACGGCAGCCGCAGGCACTCCCGTGTCAGCCGTGCCAGGAGACGCATGTCGCGACCCCGGTCCTCGCATGGACCCACAAAGAAGGACTCGGCCGTGTCTGAGAACGGCTCCATCCACGCCGTCGAATCGACGCCTCTGCTTGGGTCGGACCGGTCCGCGCCCGATGCCGGATTGCCGAGACGACATACCTCGGATAGGCCAGAGGAGATGTCTCAACGGCCAGTGAGCCCGCTGCTAGCTGCCCGCGGCCGAGCCACGACTGCCATCGATACCAGTGCGGCGCGCCGCCCGTCCGTCTTCGACGTGCCGAAGCGCGTCATGTCCTTTGTCAAGGACACCAAGTGCAACTGCGATGAACAAGGCTCCTGTTACGGCTATACCGACCCTTGCGGTCAAGAGTGTTTCAAGCACTTGTCAACGCGCTCCGCGAACGGATCGCGATTCCTGACTAGGCTGCGTACAACTACCGGGTCGCTGTATCACCCCGGATCTAGCCTCCACGGCCACCACGACCATGATCATGATCATCATCACCACGGCCATCACTCCGATGCTTCAGAACCAGTGAGCCCGCGATACCGCACCAGCCTACCACCTTCTTGCGATGCTTTGGACCTTGCCGAACAGATACCAGAGGAGGACGATGACGAACGCTCTTGTTCCTCGATGGAGGAGGGCGATCCCGAGGCGCAGCACCACCATCACGTTCCGGCCAACGCCTTCCTGTCTATTGGTCTTCAGACGTCCATCGCCATCGCTCTTCACAAGTTTCCCGAGGGCTTCATCACGTACGCGACCAATCACGCTAATCCCGCGCTCGGCTTTAATGTCTTCATGGCCCTCTTCGTCCACAACATCACCGAGGGCTTCGCCATGGCTCTGCCCCTCTTTATGGCCCTCGGCTCCCGTTGGCGCGCCATGGTATGGAGTGCTCTTCTCGGAGGTCTGTCGCAGCCGTTTGGTGCTGGCGTTGCCGCGTTGTGGTTCAAGCTCGCCAAGCGAAACAACATGTCTCCCAACTCTGTAGCCTACGCATGCCTCTTTGCCGTCACCTCGGGCATCATGGTCAGCGTTGCGCTGCAGTTATTCGTGGAAAGCTTGAGCCTCAACCACAACCGTAACCTATGCATTTTCTTTGGCTTTCTGGGAATGGCGCTTCTGGGGCTGAGCAACGCGCTCTTCGCATCTCACTGATGTACTGACGCGACGAGGGGCGGCTACGCATCGGCAAGGCGTTGACTGTTTTCCCAGGGAGTTGGCAGAGTTGGAAAGGAGTTTGTTTTGGGCAAAATGATCGGAATTATGAGCGAGGTCTGCTGCGTGGTTTGGAAACGGCGTGAGCAGAATCATACAAAACGGATACAAGAGAGCATTGACGGCTTGGGCATCAGCATTTGGACCAGCGAACACTGGCAGCACAACGTTGCTGTATCGTTTCGTACAACCAGTACGACTTTCTAGCATTGAGTGTTCTCTAATGTGATCGTGACATGTCATTATGAGGTTTCCCAACCTGCTTCGCCCATCTCGACAAGAGCCCGCTAAAACGCCCAAAATGACACCAAAAGCATTCGACAGTTCTTCACCAGGGGTATTTTCGCAACGACAAAACACAAGTAGAAACAGCACCGTCCCTGCACTCTCGAGTCCACTTCTAAGCTCCACCCAGGGTAGGATCAATGCTGTGGTCGAACGGGCCCGGCGTCTCACGCGCGAGGAGTAGAATGTTCGCCTCGTCCTGGAGCCAGTCGTCCTGTGGCGGCCCGTAATCCATCTGCGCGGCGAAGATTTCCTCGTGCGGCATGTCTGGCGGCCAGGCCGACTGTACGTAGTCCTGCTCGAACTGGTGCAGCTCAGAGGCCATCATGCCGTGAGATTGCGCGAGAAAGGAGGCCGGGTCCGGGGTCGTGTTCCCATGCAAAGGGTCATGGCACTTGCCCAAGTGGACGTCCAGGTCATGGTAGCGGATGAACGTCTCGGCGCAGTGCGGGCAGGGAATGGTCTGCTTGGCTTGCGTCGCGGCGCCGGAGATGTCGTCGATGAAGTCGGTCTGGGAGCCGCCCGGCTTGGAGAGCTTGGGCCGCTGGTGGCCGAGGTGGATGAACCGCACGTGGTCTTCCAGTCTGCTCTTAGTGCTGAACTTGTCGCCGCAGCCCTGATCCTTGGTCCAAGCTGCGAAATCCGGGCCCGAGAGGTCGACGTCTCCGCAGACAAAGCGAAAGCCCTCGTGGGCGGTGCGGATGTGCGCGGTGAGGTTCGACTTTTTCGTAAACTTCTTGTCGCATCCCTCGTAGGTGCAGGCGTGCGTCTTGCGGTCCGCGACAGTCTTGCCCGAGTGGCGCATTTCGACGTGCTGCTCCAGCTCCCACCGCGAGCTTGACTTGTACTCGCAAAAGATGCAGTTTTGATGCTCCTGTTTCACGTGCTGCTGCAGGAGCAGTTCCGTCGTGAAGCCGACCCGCTCTTCTGACCCATCCTGGTTCGTCGTAACCGCGCATTCATTGCACCAGAACTTAATCTCGCCGTGCACTTTGTCGCGGTGTCTCTTGAGGGATGGCTTCGATGGGAAGGCCTCGTCACAGCCTGGCTCCGGGCACTCGAAAGCGGGCTGGTTGAGATGGTCCTTGCGGACGTGCTTGTGTAGTGTTTCTTTCTTGCGGAAGCTTTGGCCGCAGTCGGAGCAGCGGAAGCGGTCGGCGCCCTCGTGGACGGCCTGATGGCGGCGCAACCGCGTGCCTGTGACGAAGCTCTTACCGCAGCCCTCACGCTGGCAGACGTACTTTCGCTCCTGTGTGTGCCAGGCTTTAATGTGCTGTTTTAGGTGCTTGTCCTCTATGTAGTCTTTGTCGCAGCCGTCGTACGGACATTTAAAGGGCCGCGAGTTGGTGTGAGAGTTGAGGTGATCCCTGAGGCGGGCCGGACGGTTAAAGGTCTTCGGGCAGCCGGGCCAGGTGCATGCCAAGGTCTTGAGGTCGGACGGGAACTTGGCCCGCGGCGTGGTGGCCGTCGTGGCAGGCGAAGAGGCGTCGACTATGGAGCTGGCCGGCGTGTGTGGGGTGAAGTCGTCGTCGCCATCATCGAGATCTGGTAGATGTAAGTACTCGATCGACTTCGAGGACTCGCTGTCAGCGCTGGAACAGCTGACGCTGCATACCTTCCATATGCTGCCGCTTGGACGGCGAAGCGCCCAATGCCTCATCTGAGGCGCCGCGTTTGGTCATGGTGTGCCGTCGGTCGCAGCGCCTCGACGGGGTGGTTGCATGTCGAACGATAAGAGAAGGGTGGCAGAATTGGCAACTTTTAAAAGGCGGTGACGTGAAAATTTCCGGGGTTGGTGACGAGCCGCAGCAAGGTGAGCTTCGGTGAGGTCCCCACCGACTCCACCTGGCGGACAGAAGTACGTACCTCACGAAACACCCAGGCAAGCCTGCCGTGAAAAAGCGGGTCTCGGCGAAGGCCCGGCAAAACCTGCACTTCTCTCCGACCATCTTTTTTCCAGCGCGGCGCGAAACACCACACTTCATCTGGTGACGACTGCGCTCTTGTCTAGCTCATTTCCTTACGTTCCTTTTTGAGCTTTGCAACATGTCTGACTTTGGCGACGATGATGTCGGTGTCGGCGGGTACGTTACTGCCAATTTCTGGACGAAGAGCACGCGTCAAGACAGCCAAGGCTAACGAACCGACAGCGACGAGCCGATGCTCGAGGATGAGGACGTGAACGAGTACTACGACCCCGAGGTCGTCGAGGACGAGGATGCCGAGCGCACGGCCGAGGCCGACGAGCAGGACAACGTCATCATCTCGGGCGACCCGTCCGCGGCGGCCAACGCCCTCAAAGGCGGCGAGAAGAGCCTCAAGGACAAGAAGATTCCCGAAAGCGAGCGCACGACCACGCCGTACATGACCAAGTACGAGCGGGCGCGCATCCTGGGCACGCGCGCGCTGCAAATCAGGTACGCTGCTCCCCGGTGGTGGGCTACGGCAGGGCAGGGTTTTGACTGACGCGCGGGAACAGCATGAATGCGCCGGTGCTGGTGGACCTGGAGGGCGAGACGGACCCTCTTCAGATTGCCATCAAGGAGCTTCGAGAGAAGAAGATTCCTTTGATTGTGCGAAGATACATGCCGGATGGCTAGTAAGTCTAACTGGGGCACGCGCTGACTGACACAATATGCTAACGTTGTCGCACAGCTACGAGGACTGGACGTGCGAGGAGTTGCTTCAATGAGCGAGGAACCCAACCGATCAAAAATGGCGACGAGCCTACCCGGCGAGAACATGTGTGGGCCAAGGCTCCCGAGCATGGGATCCGGATCTGCTGCGTCTGAATGGGTCTTGATCCCCCATTCCAGGATGGCAACTCTGCGCGGACAGGTACCTCGGAGTGTCATGTTTATGTGCATGAGCGCGGCGTTACGAGTAGTCATTAACTAAGGACCTAGACAAAAACAATTTGGGATATGCATTTCGAGTTGTCAGCATCGATCAGCGCAGTGTCACGCCTGTCGCCCAGCTGGAAATGGCATTGCTGCCGGCAGAGGGCATCGCCGCCTAGACATGCTGTATGACGATGTGGAATGCCTCTCAAGGCTTAGGTCTCCTTTGTATTGGCGGCTGGCCTGGGCACAGCGGCGCGAAGCCCTCGTTGCATCTACCGATGACCGACGGTCATTCACGGACTCGCTGCCAGTGCAACGCCCGAAGCATGTCAAGCAATTGGTTGTATCGCTCATGTTGGTGCGATGAGCGTGTGTATGACTGCAGAATTGCCTGCCAATCTACCTTCAATCAATACAATCAGACTTGGAAAACCTGCATTTGATCTCTGTCGTGATTCGCCAGGCCGAACGCTCCAGGTTGTCGGGATGTTTGAAACGGACTCAAGTCCGCTTGATGGTCAACCTGTAGTCGAAACGTAAGCCCATCACCGGCGTTCTTGGCGTTCTTGCCGTGGCCGTCACCGGCAAGCGGTTCGTGATGGAGTTGTCGAGCCGCACCGTAAAGGCGAAGCGCGTCACCGAAGTCGATGTTCCGATTATATGCCTGCTCACAACCAGTCGTCGCGGACACAACAGCAGCAGCCAGTACATTCTACCGGTGTGTAGAACACCTCTCGCGAGACACAAGTCATACGTCCTATGAAGCCCTGATATGGCTTCACAGCTACTCGCACGTTCCGGCCAGCGACAAGCTGCATTGCGCTGTGGAGAGCAGTGGCCTTGTCAGATGCTGGGCAATGGCTGGCAACGTGCTGCGTTCCGTTGCGCATCCCACTTCTCTAAGTGTTGGCCGTGTAACGGTTCCAATGGTATAAAGCCATGGCCTTCTTTCCAGTCGTGAAGCTCCTCTCTGTCAAGTTCACCATGTCCTGCCATTACAAGTATCCCTTGAACAGTATATCACTTGCCTACTGATACATAACTCGTCAGTGACACCAGCCATCATGCCTGTTGCTCAGCGGAACGATGCTTCCCGCAATACCTCGGGGCAGAGACGCGGACGTACCTCGAGAGCGAGGAGGCCGTAAGCAGACAGAACTTTCCCCTACAGTTTTGCCCGCTTCCTCTCCATACTGATATCTGGAATCCAGCTCGCTGCCTAATGCATTGCAACGCCACCGCCATGTCGAGGTTCCTGTACGCCCCAGCCGTCCTCTGCTGCCGATACAGTACCGGTTTGAGACGAGAGAATGGTGGAGAATGATCAATAGCGTCCAGGACCTCATGAGACGCGGGATGTCGGTCCATGATGCCCACGACATGATCAGCACGGCGTCGAGGCACCTCGAAGGCATCTACGACGCCTGCGGCCCGGCCGTGGACGCCAACGTCCGTGTGGCGATGCTCAACCGGCAAATGTACCTCCTCTGCACCGAGGACAGGATCTTCGTCACCTTTGTTCCGCTCGTGCACTGGCAGACGGGCGAGCATATCCCCATGTTCCCCACGACGATTCTGGAGCTCTTCTGCACGACTGGTAAGTTTACTCTTTATGACGTTGGAAAACCTGAAAGGCGGGCCGGTAACACGGTTTATTAGATGCCGACTTGGACCGGATATTGGATTGCCTCGGAGACAGGCCTCAGGAGGAGACGTGGAACCGAGCGGTGAAGCTACGCCGGCTTGGACTCCGGTGGATTGCGGGATTCAAATATTCTCTTTGACTGCCGCTCGATCCCTCATTGACCGCCGCGTCTCTGTCCCTCTTCAAGGCTTTGATTCCCTGGTGACTAGGCAACTTCTCGGCAAAAGCTTGAAGACGCTTGTGTTCACCTCGATGCCTCCTCGCCGTCCTTCCCTTCAACTGCTACCACCGGGGATTCAACATCACGGTCTCCGCACGATTCCGCCGCAGTGCGGCCAACAGCCCCAAGTCCTCAGACTCCGCAATCAGCCTTGATGGCGGCCCGGGTAGGAACATGGGAGTCGGGGCGGATGTTATGGATGGAGTTACGATAGGGCATGGTAATTTTGGGGGCGTTGATTGCGAGTCTAGAATGAAGAGGAACAGATTGTTTACAGATGTTGTCACCTCGGTACCGAGCCTCGCCGCCAGTTCAAAGTTCCGTCAATTGCTTTTGACCCTTCTTGAAGCTTTCGCGTGCCGTGATAGACGAGATCATGTTTCCTCCATTCTCTGACAGTGTCTCTGCATGTGAGAATGGTGGTGTATTTATGTGTTACATTAGTCCGTGCGCCCTCCCAGCTAGCCAGCTTCTTCACAGCCGTCTCTGCTGTAGCCGCCCTGATAATCTTTCTGATCACCATCGCTTGCTGCTCTTCAAGGCCCACGTTCCTCATTGCGAATACTACCCATCCTCAATCGTCTACGCAGCCGTCGTGGCCGGAGCTCGCCCAGGGTGTGTGACTCGGGTCTCGGACCCGACGCCCGAGTTTCGGTGAACGGTCCGGGCGCTTCATACGACTGTCAAGGGCGGCGACAATGGGGCCACTGCAGAACGTTGCCGAGCGCGTTTGGTGCTCTTTGTCGTCTCACGGCTGCTTCCGTTTCGTCAGCAACTGAAGGGAGGGCACCATTGCGAACCGACGACGTGATGATGCGCGTGGCACGGAGGCCATTCCGCGATGTGAAGACATCTGAGCCGCGAGTTTGCGACGTCGGAGATGGAGAAGCTCCATAGACTCGCGACGTTAAAGTGATTAATGGGCTGCTATCAATCCTTTCGGTGGAGTCAAACTGCCGCACGCGCGTGTCCTTTGAGCGTCGCCGTGTGTAGATACGTATGCAAGATTCCACTGATGAATATACTGAATTTAGAAGGGCCAAGCGCCTTCTGAAGGCTATATAAACAGGGCTTGGCTCGGTCTAGTTGATACTTGAGGCGTGCCCACGGGTCGCGATATACAGCCTAGAACAGCCGCAAGACCAGGCGCCGACGACATGCATCCCAACTCGATTTGGCATTTCTTCTTTTTTTACATGGGCGTGCTGGGGCTGGACCATTCCGCGGGGGCCGGGCCCCTAAGGACACATGTCGGCGTATGAAAAGACGCCTTTCGTGAATACTGTATGATGTGCCCGTCGCTAACATGGCGCTGTCAGACTTGTTCAACCGAGACTCAGCAGTGCATGTTTAAAACGCCTCTTTTTGTCGACGGGCAGGTGCACCAAATACCGACCGAGCACGCATGCCACACCGACCACCCGGTATGCCACTTATTGAAGCCTTCTCTCTATCTCCCCTGCGAATTAGCGAGACTTGCTGGTCAGCTCTCGCGTACTGTATAAAATACTGATTTGTGGTAATAGTGCACGCGCCCGAACCAGATGTGCTACTACCACGAGGAGGAATGCTGGGCCGAGTGCTCGTGATTGGTGACGGCCAAGGCAGATGGACTGATACCCAAAGACTCATGGAAGTTCATATGGGGGCTTTCTGGATCAAAAACGCTGCATAAACGGAGCGTCCAAGTGGTCTCATGGTGCGAAGCGGACATTCGTGCAGCTGGAGGAGTGTAAGACAATTGCCCAATCGGGCGAGAAGCCAGGCCAGGGACGGCATGACATCATATCAGGGAATCAGGGCAGGCGATCGGAAGTTCAAGACATTCATTCAGCGAAGGTTTGACGCGAGTAAGATTGCCGTCAGCCATGGGCCTAAAGTGCCCAGCCAACCGATTGCGAGGGACGGACGGCTTCCCTGCACAAGATGTATTGCTGCAGCGAAAAGGTCACACGAGGACGGCTTCGCCGACGGGACAATCGGGCAGACTTGTATCCATGAGACACTCGGAACATCGGAAGAGACAGTCACTGGACGAAGATACCCGGTATAGTATATCCGTCATCTGTTGAATGGCACCCTGCTGGCTGACCGTACGGGTCTGGTGACAATGGCCGCTCGGCTTCGGACGTTATTAATAGAGGGCAACAAGAGAAGCCACGAGACGACGGCAAGCGGGAAGACAGCCGGCTCTCGACGGTTGGTCGGCAGTGGGCGCCGATCATGGCTCGTTGAGGCAACGCGCCGGCAGCTCGTATTCACCTAGGTGGTGGTGGAGGGGATGATGACGTTTGGTGGGATTCGCTCCCCCTCGTGCCGACTGCGACAATGTGACATGGTCGGTAGGCAATTAATGTTGCTCCCACGCAAGCCGTTCATTGTACGAAGTAAGCTGCACAGGAACACAAAGGGCCAGAGCGGTGTGAAACGAAACGAGGGTGCCCAGACCACAAACGTGGGACACTCCGGGAGGCGGCCTGCACAGATGGTGGGATGCCGCCCTGGTTACTCTGCGGCAGCCCATCGTCCCGTGTCAGCAAAGCGCACTGCTCAGTAAATAGATGTATATAAAAGTGGCACCATTCGCGCTCTCTGACGCAGGGCACTGACGCAGGTTGAGATCAACGGGACGCGGCGTGGCCCAGACGTGCTTCAGAGACCCAAAGCCCCCCTCTCCCTCCGCCAAGCTTTAAGACACGGCTTCTGCTGCTGCTACCAGCTTGGCATGATACATTGTTGATCTTTCCGTCAAGGCAGTATACGCAGGTACGGGACAGTCCGACAAAATGAGATTCTTTTCGTTCGTTACGGCCGTCGTGGCATCGGCGATCGCAGTCGGCGCCTCGCCCGTCGAGAAGCGTGCCGTCGGGGGTGTAAGTCGCATAGCATCACTCTCAATTCATCCCCCCCGTCAAGCAAGGCAACGGCCAAGACGACAACAACGATCATGAGCTATAGGCACTGACGCCAAAGCCAGGTCCTCCTCTGCACAGGCCCCAACTCCACGGGCATCTGCAGCTACAAGGTGTACGAGCTCAAAAAGTGCCATCAGCTCAAGGCGCCGTTCCGCGTCAACACCACGACCTTTGCGCCCGACGGCGAGGACTTTGTCTGCTTCCCGCGCGCCTACGACTGTGGCGGCCTCTGCACGAGCCCGACGGGGTGCACGTTTGGCGGCGTCGACTTCAACTACGAGCACAAGTACAACCTCAGCGCCATCGGCTGGGGCAACTCGGTTGCGAGCTTCGATTGCCAGCTGAAGTGAGGAAGCTATTCGGAGTAGGGCTCAAGAGTCAAGAGAGGCGGATCGAAAGAGGGATGAGCGTGGGAACCTGGCTGCTGTGACTTTCATTCAGGTGCTCCTGTTTTACTGTACTATGCCTGCGTCTTTTGGTGGGGGGCCCGGTTGGTGGCACAGTAGTAATCAGTTGTTTCGGTTGGTGCAACTCGAGGCCATCGTCTGTGGCTGTGGCGTTATCTGGAGTTCCGACGGACAGGACACGATCATGCATGTACTCGGAGCTGATACGGAGCAATGCGCCTCGGCCCATGCTCAAGGCATAATTCTTTGCCCCAGTTTCGCCATATTTTGGCAAGTTCCAAGTGTTACAGTCGCGGCTTAATCGAACCCTGCCGAGGCGTATTTCTGTTGTATTGTTAGTGCGGCTGAGCCCGCCCGCCGATATAGGATATAGGCTGCCTAGCTCTCTCACTCCTCCTCGCCTCACAATCTCACGGCCACACCGGCGCAACTCAGCATGACATGGCGCGACTCGCCATAAATACCGCGGCAAGAGACATTCAGCACCGGTGACCACCAAAAGATTCTACGAAACATCGCCATGCAGGAGCCGAGCATCGCCTTCGTCCTGGACCAGCCCGAGGACAAGGCCCATCGCCCTGGGGACGAGCTCACGGGGCGGGTCAAGCTGCTCGGCATTGACCGCCCGCAGGTCCGCGAGCTGCGCGTCCAGTTTCGAGGCATTTCTCGCATAACGATTCCGTCGCGGCTTCCGTGGTCAGTGCCCAGCGACTCGATCGTCCGCTCCGACGAGACTGTCGATCTGTTCAGCCAACAGCGCGTCTTCGCCAAGGACGCCCTGCGCGACAATGAAGATGGAGGACTCTCGGCGCCCGTCTCCTTTGCATTTACCTTGAGAGAAACGTCCGGGGCCGGTTCCGTGACGCCGTCCGCAGGCCCGCTCCCTCCGTCGCTGAGGTGTTTCAGCCAGCCTTTCGACTGCACGGTCGAGTACGCCCTGGAGGCGGAGCTCACGCTGGCGCAAGCCGGGTCTCGGGCAAAGACGTGCACGGCGAGGCGCGTTCTCGACTTTGAGCCCGCGGGCGGGAGTGAAACGGTGGAGCCGCAGATGGTATCCTTTGCCAGCAGCTTCACTCTTGCGCCGCTGCCGCACACGCTCGACGTGAGAACCGAGGGGCCTCCGTTGTCCTTTCGAGAAAAGTTCAACTCGTTCATCTATCGAAACCGTCAGGCTCCGTCTCCCTTCTCCATAGTTATCCGGGCCTCCTCGCAGCTGGTACGGAGAGAACCGTTGCCGCTCTTGGTCACCCTACAGCTGGAGAATGGCACGGTAGCGATGCACCGCAAGTTCCAAGTCCGGGGCGCAACTATGGTGATAGAGAGGAACACCACCGTCCAAGGGCCTGGCAACAAGACCCTGCAACACAGTGACAAAACAGTTGTCATTGACAGCCGGGAGCTGGACATTGCGCTACCTGCCAATACAGAAGTGGACTTGTGGCCACGGATATCGAGCCTGATCGCCCCTGAGCTGCCGCCGCCGACCTTCGCCAGCAATGGCATCACGAGAGATTACAGTATGGACGTGACACTCTCTGTGGGATGCGGCGATGAAGAGTTTCAGGTCAAGGGATCGATTCCCTCTCTTGTAGTCCTACCATCCGCCGCTCTCGACATGCCGAGCCTGCCTCCGGATGATGAGCCGCCCAGCTATGAAACGGCCATGGGCTCCAGCTCCGCAATGGGCACCGCCCCGCCTTACTCTCTTCCAGAGTCCCAAGCAGATCAGCACATCCCCGAAGCATCCGTCGACGTAAAGGTCGACTTTGAGATGAGGGGCCGCGTGTTTGAGTTTGTGAACGGCGAGAAGAAGTACTGGAAAGAGCGCGGCATGGCAAATGTCGCTCTGCAGAGGGACAGCTGCGGCAAGCCGAGGCTGGTTGCAAAGTACGTAAAGACGGGGGAGGTCTGCGCTGACCACCACAGTAAGTCGTCTATGAGGCTCCCTCTGCACTGGTCGTGGAGGCCAGCCTTGGCAAGCAGCTAAAACTTGAATCACGCAAGTCACACTCGATATGAAGCTTTCTCCCATCGTCCAGTCGGACCGTAGCTGGACGTGGTGCGCGGGCAACGACATGAGCCGCGATGGCTCAAAGGCGCAGACTCTAGCCGCACGATTCAAAGACTCGGCAAGTCAGTAGTCGGCGCACAATACTGCAAGGCCCCATAAGTTCGACGTTAACATTTCACAGGCGCACACGAGTTCAAGGACGCCTTTGTTGGCATCCAGAAGGCGGCGGCTTAGAGACGCCCCTGCATGTAACGCATCGCGCGCCGCGGTCAAGTCGAGTGGCGAGACATGCCATTTTGCTCAGCGTAAGTCGGCTTTCGGTCTGAAGCACTGCAAATGCGACTGTGGGCGAAACGTAACGTTGTTTAAAGTGTGATTTTCAAGCGAGGCGTTCCTGAGGAGCGATGCTGGAGCGATAGAGTATATACGCACGAATTACAAACGCAGAATCAGAGACTAGTCAAGCGAACTCCATGCGGGCGCTCGTATGTACACCGGGTTTGGCAAGCCTTGCTTGCTCGCTTAGCAAGCTCTACAACTAGTTGCAGGTCGTTGCTTGCCGGGGACCGAGATCGACGGCTACCCTGCGGATAGGCTCAGCGGCGTGGCGATGTAACCTACGGTCCGGGGAAGGAGCCGACGGGACAATTCTCGATGCCGTCCGGTAATATTTCGCATCGACATGTCCGGCAGACTCCAGTTGCTATGAAGTGCAGACACGTTGGCGGCGATTGCGACAGTGCAGCGACACCCACCGAGACATAAATCACCAACCTCTAGCCATTATGGCCAGCGGCTGAAGTTGTGCTCAGGCACAAAGAACTTCCGCATGTTTACAAGGCCTAACTAGCAATTGATGAGCTTTGAAGCCGCGGCCAAGAACAAGGGGTAGCCGCATGTGCGGCAGTTGTACCCCGCTTCGTGTCGCGTCTTTAGCCGACGGCCAGACGTCGAACATGAACCGAACTGCAAGTGATCTGCGCTTTTGCTACCTTGAGATGTAACGGTCGCTTCAGCAACTCGCGGGTCCGCATCGCAAATGTTGACGTTGCGTGACCACGACGCTCATCTCTCGCCCAGGTCCGTATGGGGTCAACGATTTCCGGCTCAGGGTCGCTCCAGACCCAGGACCGGAAGAAGCACACGATGCGGGGCTGCTGGTCTAACAAATGCATTAAAATGCTATGATGTACTCTTTATTTAGAGATGGAGGGAGTCTCGCAGATGGGCAGTCCAATGCTGATTGAGTCTCCATCATGAAGGGCTCGCTTTTATCGGCCTTGACGGCGACCCTGTCGCTGTTCCCTGGTACGTCTTGGAGGAGCTTGTTAAGCTCGTGGCCATCCCATACCATAAACTTACAAGACCCAGGCATTGTGCAGAGCCAGCTCGTCGGCATCCCGACGGTCCCCTTCACGCAGTCTGGCGATGGCGGCTTTCAGCTCCGGCGCATCAAGCGCATCGTCGTGGACAGCAAGTTTGCGGACGAGCGCGACACCTCGGGCCTGACGCTCATCCCGCCGACGCTGCACGACTTTGCCAGTACGTTTGCGCAGGACCTGCACGAGACGCTGGGGGTACAGGCCCGCGTCGTCGTCGAGGACTCTCCGTCTCGGCATGGCGCCGACGGTGACGCCGTCTTCCTCACGCTTAGCAGCGACAAGAGTGCCTTCCGCGACGCGGCTGGGCGGCCCACCGCAGAGGGCTACTCCCTGACGGCGGACGGGGCCGGCAGTGGTGGCAGCATCGTCATCTCCGGAGCGAGCCCGCTCGGCGCCTGGTGGGGCACCCGGACGGTCCTCCAGCAGGCCGTGCTCCGGCTCGGCTCCGGCTCCGGCTCCGGCTCCGGCTCCGGCTCCAGCTCTGGCGATACCGGCGCGACGTTCCCGCTCGGCACCGGTGTCGACGCCCCCGGCTGGGGCGAGCGTGGCATGATGCTCGACTGCGCGCGGCACTTCTACCCCAAGGAGTTCCTCGCCGACCTGTGCTCGTACATGTCCTTCTTCAAGCAAAACACGCTGCAGCTGCACCTCAGCGACAACATCATCGCGTCGCACTACACGCCCGACAACTTCCGCGACCTGTACGCGCGCTTCCGCCTGTGGTCGGATGGCGAGGCGGTGCGCGGGCTCAGCACGCACCGCAACGAGTCGTACTCGCGCGACGAGTTCGACTGGATCCAGCGCCGGTGCGCGGCACGAGGCGTGGCCGTCCTGCCCGAGATTGAGGCCCCCGGCCATGCGCTGCCCATCGTCCAGTGGAAGCCCCAGGTCGGGTACGAGGGCGACCTGAGCCTGCTGAACATTTCGCACCCCGACACGATCCCCACGATGAAGACCATCTGGAAGGAGTTCCTCCCGTGGTTCCACTCCAAGGTCGTGTCCATCGGCGCGGACGAGTACCTGGGCCCGGAGAGCGAGTACAAGAAGCTCGTCAACGCGCTCGACACCTTTATCCAGGGCGAGTCCGGCAAGACGATTCGCATTTGGGGCACGTTCCCTCCAAAGAAAGGGACGCCGTCGGCGGATGAAATCTCGACCGATGTTTCCATCCAGCACTGGGCCTACGCCTTCGACAACCCGCTGAACGACTACCTCAAGAACAACTACTCGGTCATCAACTCGGACGAGATGTACTACGTCGTGATCAAGTGCTGCGCCTACGCGCGGCGCGTCGACATCTCCAAGACGTTCACGGGCGACCCGGCGGACAAGGGGCCCTGGCGGCCCAACATCTTCAGCACGACCAAGGCGGCGGACAACGCGCCGCGCGACGAGCCCCTGATCCAGGGCGCCATCACGCCCATCTGGAACGACCGCGGGGCCAACACGAGCGTCTACTCGGAGGCGTACTACGCCTGGCAGGACGGCATCCCCGCGCTGGCGGACAAGCAGTGGGGGGGCAACCTGACGAGAAGCCAGTTCGACAATGTGTTTCCCAAGCTGCATGGCCCCGTCGTGCCGGCGCAGAACCTCGAGCGCACGGTGCCGTCTCGTGGCAGCACCATTTTCAAGTACGACCTGAGCCGGCAGCGATCCAAGTGCATCAAGGACCTGTCGCCCAACCGGTACCACGCAAAGACGACGTGTCGAACGACTGGCTCATCCGTTCGCATCGCGCCGGAATGTTCCGTCACGACGCCCCTGGAGTCCAAGGGGCGCAACTACACGCTCTCCCTGACCATCAAGGTCGACAAGCTCGACGATCCGACAAACACAACCATCCTGACGGGCGGCGACTCGACGCTGATGCTGACGCCAAACCTCACCCTTTTCGCGGCCGGCATCCACTTTCGACTCGACAAGGGCATCCCCCTGAAGGAATGGGTTACAGTCAAGATAGTTGGCCGCGGGGAGCAGACGTTCGCGTCCGTAGAGTCCAAGTCGGGCGGGTCGACGGGCGAGATGGAGTTCCAGGCGGGCATCACGCAGGGCGACAAGGCGGGCACGATCAAGTGGTTCCCCGTGGCGGTGGAGGCGCCGATCCGGGCGGTGACGGGGTGGACGGGGGAGCTGCGGGCGCTGAGCCTGACGGGCGAGGCATGAGTGAGGGTCCGGGTGGAAGCGAGAGTCGAGCGTTGGAGTGCGGAATGGGATGCCGGGATGCTCTGCTGTGGTTGCGCACCTACCACAAGGTACAGTGGCGACAATTGCAGGAGCTTATTGTGTTGTTGACAATGTCAAGGTCCAAGTGCCGTGCGTGTAAGTCGGACGCAGGCGGGGTTGGGCTGGAAGTGCCGGTGGCCAGTGCGTGCATCAATCACACAGTGTACATAATAGCCTCCATGTCCGTAGGCGGTTACTGTACTGTACCTAGGGCCTACAGCACACCGGCACTGAGATGCGGTGTGAGGCACCGCGGCAAGAGGTCAGTGCTTGCTCACAGTGGACTCAACTGCATTGTGTACGGGCTGTCTCAGCGTGGCCCATTATGGCGGGCAGCGAGCACTGGCAGCTCCCCACATTCACCCCGCCATCGGCGATGTCATGGCTCGCTCAGTTCCCCGACTTGCCCCTCGCAGCTCCCCTCCAGCTCCAGCTCCCCGCCGCGATGCCGACTTTCCTCCACCTCAGACGCCGAACCTCCATCATCAACGTCGTTGGGTCGAGCCGCCTTGCCTGACGTCTCTCACCCCTCGCACTCTCACTTCAAACCGGATATACTCATATAACCCCCCATCGTGAATACACTCTATCCTCATCGTCGTCCCATTGTCGTCGTCGTCGTCGTCGTCGAAAAGACACCAACCGTCACCATGGCCTTCACCACCAACGCCACCATCGCTTCCTTTGGCGGGCGCTTCCTCAAGCTCACCCACTCCTCGTCTACCACCTCCACCCCCATGAACCTCACCCTCTTCCTCCCGCCCTCCGCGTCGCCCTCGTCCCCCGCCCCGCTGCTCGTCTACCTCTCGGGCCTGACGTGCTCCCCGGACAACGTCACCGAGAAGGGCTTCCTGCACGCCCACGCCTCGCGCCTCGGCCTCGCCCTCCTCTATCCCGACACCTCCCCGCGCGGCACCGACCTCCCCGGCGAGCACGACTCGTGGGACTTTGGCAGCGCCGCGGGCTTTTACGTCGACGCCACGCGCGAGCCCTGGACCAAGAACTACCGCATGGAGTCGTACATCACAAAGGAGCTTCCCGAAGTGCTCTTTGGCGAGTTCAAGGAGCTCGACCCCAAGCGCGTCTCCATCGCGGGCCACTCCATGGGTGGGCACGGCGCCCTCACCCTCTTCCTCAAGAACCCCGGCATTTACCGCAGCGTTAGCGCCTGGGCCCCCATCTCCAACCCGAGCAAGTGCCCCTGGGGCGAGAAGGCTTTCTCGGGCTACTTCGGGGACGACAAGGAGGAGTGGAAGAAGCATGACGCCACGGAGCTGGTCAAGGCCTGGAAGGGGCCGCTCAACTGCCTCATCGACGTGGTAAGCTCCCCCATCTGCTCCCCCGCTTCTCTCGCTTCTTTTGTGCGTCGTCTTATCGTGCGAGCCCCAAACTGACGACCTTTAGGGCACGGGCGACAACTTTTACAAGCAAGGCCAGCTGCTGCCAGAAAACTTTGAAAAGTCGGTCAAGGATGCTGGGATCGAGGGCGTCAAGGTTCGCTATCAGGAGGTATGTAAACGATTCACTCGTCATAATCGGCTTGCGTGAATGCCCGCTAACGGCTCCAGGGCTATGACCACTCCTACTTCTTCATCTCCACCTTTGGCGAGGACCACGTCAAGCACGCAGCCAAGGCTCTTGGCCTTCTGTGAAGTACGGGCTAGAGCAGGGAAGAAAAAAGGTGCACAGCGCCGGGGACAGGCCGTTCTTCAGCTGACAAGATACTTGTATGTACGGAGCAGGATCAAATATCGAAACCAACCCATGAAACCAGCGGCTTCTTGACCACTTGTTCCCATGAAATAATACCACAAGGTCGCTAGTCTGCCTCGGTGCTCGCCATCCGATGATCCAAAATGCACAGCAACGTACCGCCCAAGCCATAAGGATGCTTACCATCCGCCCCCATCTTAACAAATAAACGTCTCGTTCAAGTCATAACCCGTGAAATACACCCGCATCCCCATCATTAGCCGTATGAACGTAAACGCCGCCCAATGGTAGTAGTGACTGGTACGCCAGTGTCTGGCCCACTAGCTGATTCTCTTCTCCAAGCCCGGGCTGAGGCCGTCCTTCTCCAGCTTGGCCCGCAGCTCGGCTTCGGACTCGCGTCGGAGGCGCTCATACGCAAGCCTCTCGAATCGGCTCAAGCTCCGCCACCAGTGCTGCCCGGCCTCGTGCTGCGAGATGCGCTCCAGCAGGTCGGCTGTCTTGAGCCTCACGTCGCGCTCCTTGTGGAACAGCCCGAGCGCGAGGTAGAACAGGCCGGCGTGCGACTCGGGGGCCACGTTCAGCAACAGACAGATTTCGTCGTAGGAATGAATGTACTTGGACAGCGTCAGGTAAATGTCGCGACTTTGCGTCGGCGTCAAGCGCTGCATGCGCAGCCGGTCGTGCATGTGCGCCAGGTCGAGACCCTTGAGGGGGCGAACGGTGTAGAGCTGGGCGAGGTCCTGCAAAGGTCAGCCGCTATTACGCGCGATGATGATACCGAGGCAAGGGTCGCCTACCTGGATATAGCTATAGTAGCTGCGGGTGTTGCGCCAGCCCTCGATTCTCGTGACGTTGCCGGCAAGCTCCTTGTTCTTGGCTGCGTCGTCCGCCCACACATAGCCGTGGCCGCTGGCTCCAGGAAGCGTCATCTCCTGGTCCTCGCTCCCGATGTACAGGGCGCTTGCGCCGTACACACTCTCCTCGAACTGCGCAGCAATGCGGCAAAACTTGAGCACCCAGCCGCGCCACTTTGCCCGAATGACTCGCTCCCCATGCCTCACGGCGATGCTCTTAAGAATGTCCGTCATGAAGGCCGCATCGCCCGTCAGATCTTGGTGGTTGTTGGAGTTGCCGGCCGCAATGTTGGCGAGCGACGGGTTCTGCTGTTGGAAAAATATGAGTCCCTCGGTCACTGCCGCAGGCTCAATCCTGCTGCTGATCTTGATGCGCCCGCTCGGCAGGTCGCAGAGGATGTCCCACCACTCGGGGTGGTTCTCAAAGGTGGGATTCGTAACGCCAGCGATGAAGCCAGGAACATTGAGCAGGTCCTCAATCTTGGTCAAGTCTGTGTAAGGGAATGCGTGCCGGGTGAAGCCTCGTAGGGTGCCTCCGGAGGCGAGCGCGCAGGCTGCGAGCACCGCTTCAGCAACCTCCCCAGACGGCATGTTGTGCCCCAAAAAGACGATGCGCTTTTGCGTCAGCAACGCATTCACCAAAACAATGATGGGATGCGTGTGCGTGCCGTTGGTCGTCAGGTGCGGGTGCAGTGAGAACGGTTGCGGCGACTTTGAGTGCGGGTCGGAAAAGTTCTGGATGAGCTTGATGAGGGAAAAGTCTCCCACCGTCTCCGGCATGACGGCCGTCGGCACCTTGATGGGGATGGGGATGCCCTTGTACATGACCTTGCTCTCAAACTCATGCGTGTCTCTTGGTACCGAATACACCGACTGACTTCCGCCTTCGACGTGGGCTTTGGTGCCAGCTCTTGAGATGCTCGTCACCTTGGTTAGGCTCCTGCTCTCATCGCCGCTGCCATTGTCGAGGACCTCGCCCCTATCTTCGGCCATGCGCATCTGGATCATCTTTTCGAATTTCTCCACGAAGAGGTCCCTGTTCTCACTGGCGAGTAGCAGATGTCTCTCCAAGATGCTGAGTTTCGGCATGAGCGAGAGGTCCATGGCGTTGACAGCATCATACAGCAGGGCCAGGGTCTCTGGAACTGGTGACTTGAAGTACTCTTCCAACGCGAGCAGCAACAGTGGCTGTTACGGTCAGCTCCTCTGTGCTTACATGACGGGGATGCGCGCTCCTAGACTCACCTTGTATATGTGCAGAAACGGATGCCGCGTGCAGATAGCCATGGCCTTCACGATGGCTCCTCGCTTCACAGACTTATCGTGCTTTGTGTTGACCAAGTTCAGGACGTGAATCAAAGGCGGTCCCTCCCCGCCTTCCGGTTCGCTGTCCGTCGAGTCGTCGTCCAAGTCGTCATCCAGGTCGTCTTCTTCAGCATCCTCGCCATCCTCCTCGGTGATGATGCCAGCGGCGCGGTCCCGCAGTCTCCTGCGCCGCCGTCGTCTGCGCTCCTTCAGCTGACGCTCCTCGTCTTCCTCCTCCTGGCTCGTATCCTTGTGCAAAAAGAAGATGGTCCAATCCTGATTGCGAGCGTGCGCCTGATCGGGCAGCATCAGCTCAGCGAGCATGTTCTCGTCGCCAGTGATTGCCACGGGATACTGGTGCTCCATGACGGGACCGCGGTCAATGTCAAAGGAAGCGACCAGGATGTATTCGACGTGGTTGTCCGGGGATCCCCGGGGATACTGTGACCTCAGCCTCCGCGAGGACCGGGCATCGGCGTTCACACGGCGCGGGGCCGACAAGGACGAGTGCTGCGACGACGGGCCGAGCGACGGGGTCTTGGACTTGGCGCTCGGGTCCGAGGTGCGGTCCGTCTCGGCGACGGGCGGCTGCGGTGACCTCGCCTGCCGCGAGTTGAGAGACATGTCGGAGGCGGAGCGGGAGGAGGGGAAGGACAGGAGCGAGGCTCGCTTCGTCAGCGAAGCATCCGAGCGGTTATTGCTGGCGCTGTTGTAACGGGATATATAAGGCAGGGTGGAGGTCGTCGCCGCCATCGTCGGGATGCGAGGGAGCCCGCCCTACCGCGGCGGGATATCGACCGACGAGCTGTCGACGCAGAAGCGGCGTGGGCGGCCAGCCGCAAGCCCCGCCGGCGTGGTTGGCTTTGCTTTGCTTTGTTCGGGGTCGTACTGTCGTGGACTGCCACGGAGAGTGGAGGCGAGTGGAAGCAGAACAACGGACGGCGTCGAGGTCGTCGTGGGCACGGGCCCTGTTTCGGCTCGGTCGATTCCGTGACGGCGACAGAGGTTCGTCGGCAGCGCAGTTATCCGGATTGTCGCTTCGCCATGCGCAGGCGGGGGATCCGCCGCAGAAGCGGTCAGGAGCTGCTCAGGGGGGTGAGGCGGGGTTGTCGACGTCGAGCTCCAGGTCGAGGAATCGAGGGTCCGGCTGGCGGGCGGGCGAAAGGCGACTGATGCGAAGACAGCGTGTCGCAGACGTGCTTGCGTCTGGTGGTTATGCGAGACGATCAATCAATGCTGCAATTGCTTGGCAGGGCGACGAGGGCATTGAGACATGACATGGTGGTGCTGCATCTCTCCTAAACTCGAGACCAGGGGCTCTCGTCGGGGTCGGGCGTGCTGGTGGCGGCCCTGGGGGATCAATCACCGAGGGTGGAGAGTTGAGGTGCGCACCAAGGCAGGGCTCTACGGTGCCCTCACAGGGCTGGTGGGTGGTGGGTGGTGCCGCTAAATGCAACCCTGGCGGGTGCTCTGTGGTGCTCATCCACCGCTGCGGTGGATGGCTGCGGCGCATTGTGGGCTCGCAGTGGTGGGAGCTGGGGGAGGGCTGGCAGAGTCATCCGATCTTGAGCCAATTCCCGGGCCTGAGTGGCTGGCTGGGGGGCTCTCAGGGGTAATCAGACGCCGCACCTAGTCCCGTCACTCACCAATTGGCGGCTGCGAGGACCCCTGAGTCCGCTACCAGGCCCGCCAAGGGTTCAACTATTGTGCATTCTCCTCCCTGGGCGAGGTATTGAGGGCACCCTAGCGCGCCTCCTCCCCGCTGCGCTCACTGCAGGCTGCCCGACCCCTTTTCTTGCCTCCAGGGCTTCTCCCGTCGTGTGGGCGCCACGGCATCAGAGCGCTGCAGCTTGACGCCACACCTGCCCGAGCCGCCACGGCAGCCACTGCACGCACTAGCCACTCGCTGCCCAGCACCCCACCAACACACCACCTGGGTCTGGGCCCCGCTGCAAGGCTGCCGTTGTCACGGCTGTTGCTGCGTTCGGTTGTTTACTTTGGCGAGACACGGCTGCGCCTGCGCAAGGCCAGCCAACGCCCGTGCAGCACCTCCGCACTTCCCTTCTACGAGCAGCACGCAATCCATCGCAGAACATATTCACGATTGCAACCACAGCATTTTCGGCAATCAACGTCTTGAGACTGTCTTCGCAAGCCGTCGCCCATCGATCGCTCATTCTCCACCACTACGGCCCCCCGCGTAGATCCAACGTTCCTTGGCCAACCTGGCGCGCCCCTCGTCAGACGGGTCCGCTGCAGTCATGGTAGTAGCCCCAAGTGCCCAAGTCGAAACGCCGGGATCTAGCAGAGCTGACAACCCCATCCTTAACCCTTCACAGTCCGTATCAACAGCATACAAGCCCTCTCCCCTCGGCTACGGCTCGCCTCCTTCGCGCAGCTCGCCCTTCGGACGACCAGAATCGCCCGCGTCACCTTCGCCGCTGCGACACACGACTCCGTCCTCATCGCCGACGAAAGCTGCGCCGCTGGCCGGAGCTAGCCGATTCGCAAGACCAACGACGCCGACTAGCACGCAGGACAGCTGGACCCCAAGGGCACAGACGCCCGTCGAGAGCATGGCGTCGCCGCAGAGACCCGAGTCCATCCCGCGGGCACCACCGACAAAGGCGCTGAGCAACGGCAACGCGCTGTCACAACTACTGCCTGCGCAGGTCAGGACGCTGCGGGACGGCTTCCAGATCCTGGACAGGGATTGTGACGGCGTCGTCAACCGAGAGGATGTTGCCGACATGCTGAGCCAGCTTGGTTAGTTGCCCTGACGGCATTCGCCGGGAGTAATGCTGACAACTGTTGCCCTTCAGGACTACCAAATGGCCACTCTGACGTGGCCAAATTCTTCCCTCCATCCCGGCCGCAGACCATCGCGCTGGCCGCGTTTCTCAACTCGCTAGCCGAGGCGCTCGCAGCGCTCTCCCCCAGCGCCGAGCTCCTCTCTGCATTCTCGGCCTTTGATGACGACGACAGCGGCCAGGTAAACTGGGCGGAGCTGCGGGACGCCCTGCTCAACACGGCGCCCGAGCCCGGGGAGCGCGCGTTGACGGCGGCTGAGGTCGACAAGGTAGTCGACGGCTTTACTGGCCGGCGGGCGTTCAACCGCAACATGAATGCGCAGCTCGGCGCAAAGAAGGGCGAGGTGTTTAAGTACCAGGAGTTTGTGCACTCCATTATGGGAGGAAACGGCAGTGCCGACAACGGCTCTAACGGTAACTCGGAGGACTGATGAGCGCCTGGCTTGCTTGGGAGGCGCAGGGGCGTTGGTCTACCATGCTTCGCGAATTACGACTACATGTACATTTACTGTCACCGGGGAGACCTTCAGTCTGCTACCAAAGCTTGATTTATTGGCAGGCCCGGTTTGATGACGGTTGACTCTGGCAAGGGGGCGGCACGCTGCAGCATCAGGGATGCAGCCTCGATCGGGTGTCTCGGACGGTTGCACAGCGGTTGTGCAACGCGAGGGACAAGATTATCTGACGACATGGCACACGACACTGGATGAGACGTAAAATCTGTATTAATGCTATGATAAAGGGCCAAGCTGTTGCCGCTGTGACGCAATCGAGTGTTCCCCCCCGTTACGCGCCGCAAACGTGGAGAGCTGAGTGTCGACTCAGACGTGTCTCTTCAGCGCAGCCAGCGCAGGCTAGCGACGCAGCTTGCGGCGACGGACGCAGCGACCGGCCACTCGGCGCCGTCTGGTGTCAGCTCCAGCCGCCGTAGTGGCCGCAGGGGGCGCCGCAGGAGCCGCCGGCGCGCGTCGGCAGCCGGGCCGGCCCCACTGAACCTTCTAGAACCGCATCCGCGTAGATGCAAGACCCCGTTTGAACGATGGGGCCGGATGCACGAGGACATCATGGCGCCTCCGGAGGGGCCCTCGGGGCCCCGTACATTTAGCGATAGGACGAGCGACGAGCGGCCTGCATGCGCGCGACGCCGTTGCCGGCACAACAGCGCGACAGCCAGCGAACAGGCAAGAGCAACACCTGGCCCAGCGAAACAGAGCGGTCGGTCGGTTGGGGGGACACGCTCTCAGTGGCCGAGTGGCGAGGAGCATGCAGGGCCGCCCGGCAGGAAGGAGGTTGGGGATGGGCGTCCGGACACGTCAGGTACCCACGGCCTGCCTACGGGGGCAAAGAGACGATCCAGGATGTGCGAATCTGCAGGCCTGCGAGCCGTTGAGAGGTCACGGGGCCCCATGGCGGGTGCGGCAGCGGTGGCAGCGGCCCGCCTGACTGGCCGTCGTGTGCTTCGCTCCGCCGTCAAAAAGACACGCCCGGTGTCGGCGACGATGGGGGTATTATGTAGGTATCTGTGGTATCAAGCACCAGCCAGCGGGCGGCATCATGGGATCGAGCACGAGGCACGGAGCATGCGCCCGTGTCAACGGCCGCCGTCGTCAGCGGATGAGCCAACCTCGTCGTCGATGCTTTTTCCTTGCCCGTCTGGGATCATCATCTCTGTGACGTTACCACCCCCCCGGGGGGTCCTGTTTTATTTCTCTCGGCCTCCTCCCCCGGCCAGCCAAAAAGTCACAATTTCGCACCCACGCCCGGGGCCGCTGTCAATCATCTGCTGCTGCCGCTGATAAATCGCGGGCTGGGGAGGAGGAGCCGCTGGACTGGACGCCGTGTGCATTTGCAGCGCACCTCACCCGCTGTGCACCTGTTGTGCCGTAGTGGTAGCAGTAGCAGTAACTACCTAACTGCTGGGCTGCTGGGCTGGGCTCTTCTGTCGTCTGGTTTTGGACCTTCGTCACGCCTCGCCTGGCCTGTCCCCTTCCCTCTTCCTCCTCTCGCTCTCTCTTTTTTTCTCTTCCTTCCCCCTTCACCAGCCCTGTCCGTTCCGTTGCGTTGCTTTGCTGTGCTCTGCTCTGCTCTGCTCCGCCGTCGCTTGTCGCTTATCGCGTTGGTCGCTTGCTGGAGCCGTTCGAATCTACCCCTGGCCCAGCCTTGTTTTCGCTCGTCTTCTCCCATCTTCGTTTCCCATCGAGGGTCCCTNCCACCCTCCCTCGCGCGTCTTCCCGCTCCCGCACGCAACGCCGCACGCTTTTTTTCGCCCAGCGCCGGCGTCGTTTACCTTTCCCGCTCCCGCCGGTGGCCCCAGACTTTTCCCCCTTTGGGAGCTTAACGCCCGTTTATTAGCCTCGACCGCCCCCATCTATTTCCAGTATCCGGCATACCGTTGTTTCGGGGACAGCCCTGCCGCTGAGTCGAGTCGCCCTCGACGCTGCCAGTCCCGCATTCCGGCCGCCCCAAATGAAGTTCTTCGGCGGTAGCAAGAAACCCTCCTCTTCTGCGTCCAAGAAGCACGCGTCCAGTCCCAGCCTCGACGACCGCCCAGATTCGCGGCAGCACGCTCATTCAGAGCCTCCCTCCCCCACCAAGCCGTCGACGCCCTCGTCCGCGTCGGCCACCCCGCGGTCGTCGCCCAAAAAATCTTCGAGGCCCGCCTCCTACCGGGACTCGACCAGAGACCGCGACCCTGCCGCCTCCCCCAAGTCTTCGTCGTCACCACGCACCTCGAGGCTCTCCCGGCACGCCACCGAGCCCACGTCGTCGTCGCGACGGAGCAGCAAATTTGACTCCGACATCCATCCGTTGAATCTGCCGCCCGAGGAGCGCAAGCGCTTCTCCGCCCTCGCCAATTCCGCAATGAGCGGCAGCAACGCTATGGATATCGACCGGGAGCCTCCCGTCAACGGCAACGGCACCGCGCCGTCCTCCTCGCCGCCGCCGCCGGCTACCCCAAACCCCTCGGCCCAGGCAAACTTCTCCGTGCCCATTCCCAACGGCACCTCCCACGACGAGGCACCCGCCCCGCCGCCGCACAAGTCCAACCCTTCCAGCCCTGTGCCCACGCCGCAGGAGGACGCCGAGGCCTACAAGGCTGCTGGCAACCGCTTCTTCAAGGAGAGGAACTACAGCAAGGCAATTGAGCAATACACCAAGGGTGCGTTCCCCCTATCTAACAGCCATGCATGTTGTTGAGAGTGCGCTGACAAATTGTGACTTTTAGCCGTCGACTTGTTCCCCGATTCACCAACCTTCCTCAGCAACCGCGCCGCCGCGTACATGTCCAATGGACAGTACGAGTCCGCCCTCGAGGATTGCTCTCATGCCGCCGATGTCGATCCGCAAAACCCCAAAATTCTGCTGCGGTTGGCGCGCATCTACACCGGCCTCGGCCGACCAGAGGAGGCCATGACCACCTTTGGGCGCATCGACCCAGCCCCGTCTGCCAAGGACATGGCGCCGACCCGGGAGATGCTTCACCACATCAATGCCGCTAGGGATAGCTTGCGCGAGGGCACGGCTGGGTCCATGGTTCTGCATGCTTTGGACCAGGCTGAGCGCGGCCTGGGCCCGGGCGTGAGCAAGCCCCGCAAGTGGCAGCTCATGCGGGGCGAGGCGTACATCGCCATGGGACGCGAGAATTCGCTGGGCGAGGCACAGAACATCGCCATGTCGCTTCTGCGGCACAACAGCCAGGACCCCGAGGCCCTCGTTCTTCGTGGTCGCGTCCTCTACGGCCAAGGCGACAACGAAAAGGCCATCCAGGCATTCCGCATGGCCATCAACTGCGACCCGGACTTCCGCGACGCGGTCAAGTGGTTGAGGATTGTTCAGAAGCTGGACCGCATGAAGGAGGAGGGCAATGTCGAGTACAAGGCTGGTCGGCTGCAGGCCGCCATTGAAAAGTACACGGCGGCCCTAGAGGTTGACCCTTCCAACCGAAACATGAACGCAAAGCTCCTGCAGAACCGGGCGCAGTGCAAGATCAGGCTCAAGCAGTACGATGACGCCATCGCCGATGCAGAGCGCGCCGTGACCCTGGACCCCGGCTACACCAAGGCCCGGAAGACCAAGGCCAACGCGCTTGGCCAGGCGGGCAAGTGGGAAGATTCCGTCAAGGAATGGAAGGCAATTCAAGAGCTCGACCCGGAGGACCGCACCATCCCCAAAGAGGTCCGCAAGGCCGAACTGGAACTCAAGAAGAGTCTGAGAAAAGATTATTACAAGATTATGGGCCTGGAAAAGGACTGCGAGCCCGACCAGATCAAGAGGGCCTACCGCAAGATGGCCGTCAAGCTTCACCCGGACAAGAACCCTAATGATCCCGAGGCCGAAGCCAAGTTCAAGGATATGCAGGAAGCCTACGAATGCTTGAGTGATCCTCAGTAAGTCACGCCGCCATATTTGCTATTGCGCACAATCGTTTCTGACCCCATCGCAGGAAGAAGGCCGCCTACGACAACGGTGACGACCTCATGGACCCCGCCGACATGTTTGGCGGCGGTGGCATGGGCGGCGGCATGGGCGGCATCGACCCAGAGATCCTCTTCAGCATGATGGGTAACCAGGGCGGCTTCGGAGGCGGTGGTTTCCGCGGTGCCGGTGGGTTCCCAGGAGGCGCCGGAGGCTTCCCCGGTGGTGGCGGCTTCCCTGGAGGCGCCAGCTTCAACTTCAACACGGGTGGCCCCGGTCGCGCGCGAGGTGGCGGGTATCCTTTCCAATGACCAGCCGAGTCAGAGTATGATACGGGCGATGAGGTCGAGGACGCCGACGAGTGGGCGTGGGAAGAAGCCGGCATGCCGGAGGACGCAGCCAGGGCAGCAAAAGAGAAGCTGCACGGCGATTTCCGGCGACGGCGGGAAGCCCGGGACGAGCTGGTCGATACCCTGCGACGCTACGGCATGGCAGTGCTGGCCGCCACCGTCCTGCTCCCTCCACAGCTGGTCGCGCTGGGGCTCGTCGGCGTCGGCCTCTTGTACTTGTGCAACAGGTACCTCTGGCCCGGGAGCGGCAACAGGGCCACGGCTTCGAGTGGATAGAAGACACTTGGAGACACAGCGAAAGACAGACACGCTTTGCATACACCATTTTTCATTTACACGGCGTTACTCGATGAGGGCCCAGAGGAGCGGGTTGGCTGGTGCCCGCCGTCTCTGAAGGCTCACGCAGAAGCAAACAGTCGGAAAAAGGGACAAGGCCAGTGGGCATTTTGTTACGCTCGTCCGATGGCTCTCGCATGCGCATGGATACGACACTAGATGGGGAGGGAGTCGTCGGACGACGTACTGGATGTAGTATGATTGCATGTAGACATTCTATTTGTTGGCTCCCTCCGGGGCTGTTGAGTACGCCTGCTTTCGTCTGAGAAGGTGTGTCATTATTGGAGACCACTGGGACTCTATTCCACGGCGAAGTGCCGGAGTTTCCGCTCATGACGATAACTATTGTGACACGTCCGGGAGCCCAATGCAGGGACTATGAGATCGAGTCATACACTCGCATCTGGGTATCTATATGCCGTAACGCCTGTCCCTCCGAGTATGCCTCCCTGGGGCAGTCTGGATGTCGCATCGCTCCAGTCCCAAACGTACCTGATCCGCTGGTGATTTGTGGTCGTCGACTCGTCTCGAGCCACCCTCGTCTTCTCTCTCATCCAGTCGGGGCCGAACCACCTTGCGCAGGTATTTGCGTCGCAGCCCCAGCCGCAGGAGCAGCACCAGCACCGCCAGAAGCATCGCCATCGCCGCCGCCGCCGCCGCCACCGGCCACAGCAGAAGCGCCTGTCACGTCAGCAGCACGGGCGCCGCCGAGAGCCTTGCCGCCCGTCGCCTCGAGGACGCGCTCAACGTCGTCGCGCAGCTCGGGCATGGCGGCGGCCATGTCGGCGGCGAGGACGTCGCGCAGGGAGTCAAAGGCGGCGGCCTTGCCGCGCATGAGCTGGTTGCCGCGGCGGACGAGCTCGACGAACTCGCGCGTGTAAATGTCGGGGTTGCGGCCGTTCTCGACGTACTCGAGCAGCTCGGGGGGCACGGAGGGGAGGGCGGCGAGGGGGTGGGCGGCCGAGGCGTGGAGGGTCTGGAGGGACGTCGAGAGCGTCTTGCTGCACGGGCGGTATGTCAGTCTGGTTGTCTTGCGGCTCGCGGCTCGCGGGTTGCGGTGCGGCGGGCAGGCAGGCAGGCAAAGGAAGGTGGGCAAGGTCCGGTGCGGGACGGAGACGGAGACGGAACGGGCATTCAGACGCACACTTGGTTGGAAAGCACGTCGCGGCTGGGCCGGCCGGTGGTGTCGTAGGTGGTGACCTGCACCATGATGTTGTAGAGGTCCTGGATGATGTCCTTGAGCTGCTCTGCGGGAGGGTGTCAGTCTGGGGCGGGCGCGCGCACGGGGTGAAGGAAGCATGGAGAGATGGATTCGTGCAGGCGCGGTGGGAGAGACGTACGCTCAAGCTCATCGTGGCTCAATCGCTCGACGGGCGCCATGGTTGCGGTGGCGGTGGTGCGCTGGCCCGGGGGGCAGGCGGTGATGATGGCGGAGGGAGGAGGTTGACCGTGATGCGCTGGTGAGCCTCTGCGCGCCAGGTGAGTTTAGGTGACGGAGGGAAGGAAACCTGGGAGGTCCCCACCGCAGAAGCGCCCCGCCTTTTCAATGAGCGACAGCGACCGATCGCTAACTCGACTTGCACTCTGCATCAACCCAGCTTTACACGACCATGCAAACCCGCGCAACCATGTCAAACTGACTTGCGGAAACACGTCATTGCTTTACGTCGAATTAAGCCATGCCAATAGACATGGCTTCCTAGGTTACATACAATTGCACAGCCCACGGCATCACAGCGCGATCAAGGTCCACGAGCTTCAGCGATTCGTTCGTCATTGCACTATCTGCATCTATTTTTGCGACGTTACCTCGTCGTGTAGCCGCCGTTGGCAAACAGCGTCTGGCCGGTGATCCACGAGCCCTCGGTGACGAGGAAGCGCACGAGGGGCGCAATGTCCTGCACCTCGGTGAGGCGGCCGTCGAGCGCCTGGCTCTTGTGGAAGGCGACGGCGTCGTCCGACTCTTGCGGGTAGAAGAAGGCTGCGGCGATCATGTCAGTGCTTATTCCCCTATATGGCTGGCTCTCATCCTTGTGAGGGCAACTCACGAGTGTCCATGGGCCCCGGGGCCACGGCGTTGACGCTCACGCGGCGCGGCTGCAGCTCCTTGGCCACGCCGCGGGTGAAGTGCTCGACGGGCGCCTTGGAGCCGGCGTACGAGGTGTAGAAGCCAGTGAAGGCGGCCAGCAGGGCCGTGACGATGGTGACGAGCTTGCCGCCGTCGGCGACGTGCTTGGCGCCGGCCTTGAGGATGAAGAAGGCGGCCTTGGAGTTGACGCTGCGATTTCGGTGTCAGCGTCGAAGGCCTCACCCCACGTCACGTCATGACACAAAACGGAGGGTGAGAACTTACGCAAACATCTCGTCGTACTCGGCCTCGGTAATCTCCGTAATGGGCTTCTTGAGCACCTTGCCGACCGTGTTGACGACAATGTCAATCTTGCCAAAGTCCTTGATGGCAGAGGTGAAGAGCTTGTCGACGGCGGCCTCGGTGGTCAGGTCGCCCTGGTAGAAGCGCACCGTGACCTTGGGGTACTTGGCCTTGAGCTCCTGCTCGAGCTTGGCGGCGGCGTCCTTGGACTTGGGCGAGTTGTAGTGCAGGGCGAGGCCGGCGCCGAGAGCCGCCAGCTCCTTTGCGATGGCGGCGCCCAGGTTCTTGGCGCCGCCGGTGATGAGCGCGACCTTGCCGTCGAGGGACATTTTTGTGTTTGTTTTGTCTTCA